CGTCTATATTAAACGAAGAGCTTTTGCCTAATCCGTCCTTTTAAGCTAGGAAGTAAGAGAAACACTAATATTAATAAAAGGTAGGCTCCCTACTTTTTTTAGCTATTTCTACTAGACTAGATATCTCTTTTATAGTCTCCCGGCTAGCTAGGTATAACTAGAATCCTAGCCCTAGGCACTAAAAAGTAGTAGACTAAGTAATCCTTTATCTCTATTTAACAAGATTATATAGTCTACGCCTAGGAGGGTAGAGAAGGAAACTAGCTACCGAAATCTTCCTCTATTTAAGCGATTCGTCCTTTATAGATAATTCCTTAGATAGAATAAGCTTATAGGGGTATATTATATCCCTTTTTAGAGGAACTATTACTTAGAGAGCTTTAAAGTAAGCTACCGTTACGACTTCTAGTATAGAGGCAGAGCTACTAGCTCTTTTAAAAGCGTTAAAAGAAGCGATTTTCCTTAGCTAGCTACTAATATCTCTACGACTATAAATTCCGACCCTATTAGCTATAGAATGCGATAACACGTAAACTATATAAATTCTTACGGAGGAAAATAGTAAGCTATTAACCCGGCTATAGTATATCGATATCTACTAGCATTAGTTACGCTAAGAGGTCTAAAGGGGACTTATTTCCGTTTATTAGGTTCTAACGGTATTAATAAAAGCCGACGGTCTTATAAAGCCCCTACTAAAGTAGAAGCTAGCTATCTTTTTATAGCAAATTAAGCTAGAAGACGTTTAAGAGAAGCTATCCTTAGAAGCCCGCCTTAAGAGTCTACGAGAGGAGCTAATAGCACGTAGGAGGAAGGAGACGTCTATAGCTAAAGAGAGGAATTAGGACTTATCTTAAAGGAGGGCCCCTAGCTTAATTAGGACTTATTCTTCTTAAAGGCCCCCTTTTTAGGGACTTATCCTTAGAGAAGCCCCCCTTTCTTATAGGACTTAATTTCCTCTTTAAGGCCCCTTTTCCTAAAGTAAGTCTAAAAGAGCCCGGGGCTAAAACCTAGATTTCTTAAGTAAGGGATAAGTATAGACTAAGACCTCCTCTATACGCTTACCGGCCTAGGTTTTTAGCTTTACCCTTTCTATAAGGGCAGGCTATAGCTAAGGGGGTATATCGCGAAGTATAGCCTAATTTCGTAGTTCTTAGAGATATCCCTTAATACGAGGGACCTAGGAAGCTAAAAAACAGGTTTTAAGAAAGGAGCTAAAAGGAGGTATAGAGAGGAGGGTAAGGGTAAGAGGGGAAGCAAAAGTAGCGATAGCTTCCTATAGAGGTAGCGAAAGATAAGACGGATATGCCGGCAACGGCTAGAAAAGAGGGGAAAACCCGGCAAAAAGCTCGGTAGTCGAAAGGATATTAGTAGCTTCTTTAAGTAGGATCTTCTTTATTAATTAAGATGCTAGATAGGTATAAAGAGGGGCGTTAGATAAAGGAAAGAAGGAGAATTAAGGCAATATAATAATTATTCCCCTACTATAATTGCTGCCCCCGTAAGAATTAAATCTCTCTGCCCTGCCTATCCGACCCCTTACTTTTAATTTTACCTTCGTATATTTTTTATGCACTTCTTATATCTCTCTTTACGAGAAATATAGCTAGGTTCCTTACTTTAATACTATAGTTTAAGCGTTATAATAGCGTTATAATAACGTTAATAGCTCGTAAATAGCTTTAAAAGTAATATTAGCGGGCAAAAGATAATCTATTTATATAGACCGGGCTTATAACTCTTAAGTAGATGCTTAAGAGTATAGTAGAAGAAATAGGGGTATAAAAAGGTAAATTTAGTAATATATATCTTAGTCTATCTATTAGGATAAGAGAGGGGCTTATATATATAGCTAGCTAAAAGAGGGCATTAAGATATTCCTATACCTAATTTAAGCCTATATAATATCCTTAGGCTAGGGGAGTTATATTACTTAGGCAAGCTTCCTTATATATAACTATTAGGTCTACTAAGTATAACTATAGCCTCTTATACCTACTCTCTTTAATAGTCTCCTTTATTAATATTAAAGCTAAGACTAGTATAAGATATAGCCCCTCTTATTATAGACCTTATAACTATATAAGCGCCTAATAGCAAAGTTATATAAGCGTTCCTTACTACTAGTATTCTAGAAATAGCTATAGAGGATGCTATAGAAAAGGCGTTTAATATAGCCGGCTAGCTTCGTAGTATACCTTACGCTTCTAGCTGCGATATATCTTTAATATATATATAGCCTATAAGGAGTTAAATCTTAGCGGGCTTAGCGAGGGCGTATCTATTGCGAGAGGAAGTATAAGGATAGGCGATCGTATAGATTCTTATAGGCGATAGGGCTTTTACTTAGGTTTAAGAAGTAGAGCTTTAAGTGGTGTCTAGACTATAAGAAGGTGTCTTAGCCTTATATTACTTTAATAGGATTAGTAGAATAGACGAAGACTAGATGATAGCGTATTTAGGCTAGAGGAAGGCCGAGGATAAGCAAATTAAAGCTTAGGTAGCTTAAGAGATAGGAGATGATTTTTTTAGCTAATATAAGAAGAGGCGTAAAAGATATCTAGAGGAGAATAGAGACCGACGGTAGGGAGCAAGAGGCTTTATATTTAGCTACTAGGAATGCAAAGGATTATAGTTAAAGGCGAGTTAAGCTCTAGTTAGTAGATAGATCTATTAATCGCGTTGACGGCAAGCGCTTGCTCTTCCGTGCTAAATAGTGCTAATCGGGCACGCCTATATAAACACTGGCTCGCAATGTATTATACTTTAAAGACAATAGCAGAAGTAAGTAATTATAAGAAGAAAAGAAGGACGCTTAAATAATCTCTCTATTAACGGAGAAAAGAGCCCTAAACTATAGGCAGCTATTATAGACCTACTTTATAGGGTGTTATCTTTCTTTATTAAAATATTTTCTTGCTACTAAATAGCATATAGCAATAAGTTTGTAAGCTAACTATATAAGCAATAGCATTCCCTTTAGAGAGAAGAATCAAGACCTTTTCAGTTCTCGATCCGTATGCCTACTGCTATCCCTATTGCCTTATACTGTGCACGAAATGCTTATCTCTTACGGTACCTAACTCTACACCCGGCTTAGTCTTACAGGGTTAGATTCAGTATAGAGGCGCAACACTTCTCACGAAGAAGACCTATAGGAGCAAAACTCTTGGGAGAGACTTAAGAGAGAGGACTGGGCTACGAACTAGGCCCCGTCAATACACAGCCTTCTTATATTCGATAGCATTTTTAAGTGATTTAACCTAGTACCATAAGTCGGGACCAAAGTATCCCTTCGCAGGCAGGTTAGGGAGCAGAGCAGTCTGGCCTGCCCCGCCGTCAATTGTGTTCGATGTTACGGCCAGGCACATACGAGCCTTGACGGCTATAAAGATGTATTGGCACTATGAACAAAGACTCAAAGCTAAGGAGCAAGAAAGGAAGACTAGACTACACGACCGAGCGGGCCCTTATATAGACACGAGGTCGCGCGTGGGCACGTGATGCTGCTTGGGCACGTGACACTGGTGAGGTGCTGCGCTGGCGGCTCTACGCTGGCGCCCAGGGTCGTGACACTGCCCCCCGTCTAAGGCCTTGATATGCGTATCAAGGTAGTCAGTCGTGGCGGCGGCTTCTTGGTTTCACGGCTTTCTCTGCTGTGTCGTCATCGTCTCGTTCCTCGCAGCCCTCCTCCGCTGCAGCACATTCGATCCAGTATTGCAGGTTGACGGGCGGCCAGCTGAGCCGTCACTTGGGCCATCGTTGGCGGGTCTTCGATTGAGGCCGACGTCTCCTCTTGCAGCTGGAGAATCGGGGTCGAGTCTTGGTCTTGGTCTTGGGTCGAGGGGCCTTGATCAGGCACTTGCGATGCCGTACGGACTGACTTCCTTGTCGGGGGTCCGTAGTCGAGTTTCTTCGGCATCACCTAGTCAAGGGCGAGTCGGGGTCGAATCCAACACGAAGCGAATCGGTGGGCCAAACCTCCTGATCACACACAGGAGGGTCAAGTCGACAGGCGGAGGTTGTTCCTTTCCAGTCTTTAGGAAGAGGGAACGGGTCGATGCGCTGCACAGTCCTTAGTGCGTGCGCGGGTCAAGGCCGAGCCGAGCTGCACACGCAGACGAGTCGACAGGTGCCTCCAGTACCTTCGGAGGGCTTGGTCGAGTGTCCTCACGGACAGTCAACCCTCTGATCACATACAGAGGGGTCGGAAGTGATTCGCAACGCAGTCCTTAACGAAGCGAATCGGTCGGGCTCCTGATCACACACAGGAGGGTCGGTCGGTGTTGAGTCGGGGCACAGTCCTTAGTGCAACGGGTCAACGGTCGGTCGGAGTGCACGAGTTTTCAGTCCAGCGCGAAGGACCAGGTTGTGGGTGCCTATTTGTTTATCGCGGGGCACGCGAAGGTTGCCTATATTTGTTTCGCGGGGCACGCGAAGATTGAGCTTTGAGTAGTGTTACGGCCAGGCACATACGAGCCTTGACGGCTATAAAGATGTATTGGCACTATGAACAAAGACTCAAAGCTAAGGAGCAAGAAAGGAAGACTAGACTACACGACCGAGCGGGCCCTTATATAGACACGAGGTCGCGCGTGGGCACGTGATGCTGCTTGGGCACGTGACACTGGTGAGGTGCTGCGCTGGCGGCTCTACGCTGGCGCCCAGGGTCGTGACAGCGCCCAGCGCAGCACCTCACCAGTGTCACGTGCCCAAGCAGCATCACGTGCCCACGCGCGACCTCGTGTCTATATAAGGGCCCGCTCGGTCGTGTAGTCTAGTCTTCCTTTCTTGCTCCTGCTTGAGTCTTTGTTCATAGTGCCAATACATCTTATCCGTCCTCGTCGTAACACTACTCAAAGCTCAATCTTCGCGTGCCCCGCGAAACAAATATAGAGCTTTGAGTAGTGTTACGGCCAGGCACATACGAGCCTTGACGGCTATAAAGATGTATTGGCACTATGAACAAAGACTCAAAGCTAAGGAGCAAGAAAGGAAGACTAGACTACACGACCGAGCGGGCCCTTATATAGACACGAGGTCGCGCGTGGGCACGTGATGCTGCTTGGGCACGTGACACTGGTGAGGTGCTGCGCTGGCGGCTCTACGCTGGCGCCCAGGGTCGTGACATTCGAGAGCACATCGTTACCCCACCAGTTGATCTTTTTAGGGTTATATTGCACGGCGAAGAAGATGATGATGCCTGAGAACGCGACACCACCGGTGAGTGCGGCCGAGAGAACATAGTTGTACTTCTCCCACCACGCGGTCTTGTATCTCTTCAGGTAGTACATGAAGGCGAAGGAGAAGTAGAAACCGCCGGTGAAGTAAGTGAGGTTTACGGGTGCCCATTGCAGCATTCCGTTGATTACGAGCGAAGGGTGGACGTGCTTGAGCCAAGAAATGGGTATGAAGATGACCGCATTGACCGGCTCGAAAATGGCGGCAGGCAATACAGCTCTGCACGTCTGGCGGACGTGTGGCCCGAAACGTTTGGTAGTCCACCACACGAGGGAGAGGAGGAAACCCAGCAGGAAACAATACTTAATGGACGGATAGATCTGGTCGAATATTCTCTTTGGACCGATAGCGCCCTACGACAATGTCAGTACTCTGATACCACTGGAAGCTGATAAAAGTGACATCTTACCCAAACGACAGACGACGAGAAGTACACTTGTGAGCCGTTTGCGCAGCTGAACTTGGAGCGCTGGTCTGGAGTACAAATGCCAGGTATATGGTTGTCGGCGAATTGCACGACCCCGTAGGCAACAAGGGCCGTAATGATAGCACTCAGTACTTGACCACGGTACATGGCGCGAGGAGGCACCTTGGCGTAGAAGCCCATCTTCTGGTCCGAAATATAATTGTCTGCTTGGCCGTTGATGTTGTACCCGAAAGCCTTGACAAACATGAGTGCTTCGGGGTGTCCAGGCAAAGCATAACCAACAATGAGTTCCGTGACGACGTTCAAACCTTCAGTTGTGCCTGAGATTGCGTAGAGGTACGACATGGGAATAAGAAACACTAAGTTGAGGCCAATCACGAAAAATATTGTCCAGACAGGTGTATCGAGCTGAGGCCAGTGACATACGATGATGACCGCGAAGATGATGGCAACGAGGGCGATCATCAGAAACCACCAGTCCGGAACTTCGGGATAATTGCGCATCAGCTTTGTGAACGGGTCATCGAACCCGTCATAGATTGAGGTCTCGTCATTTAGCATGTTGTATAAGTGCCGACCGGCCGCGCGTACGTCACCCCTAAAAAGTGACGAGATTGCACCTTTTAGGCCGACAAACAGCTTCTTAATTGATGAGAGAGCAGCAGCCATCATTGATTTGTAAGCCTTAACAAGTGGCCGCCAAGCATCAAGGGTGATGAATACCATCGTGAGCGGGTAGAAGGCAAAGTAGGCACCATAAAGTACCAGGTTTCCAGCACTATAGAAAGCGGGAGAGTAAGCCTCGTAGGCATCCTCATCAAGGATTGCATTATCAGGATTGACGACCCTCGTAATATTGTATGGCTTGCCGGTATTATCGAAGATGCTAGACGAGTTGGGAGGGAGATAGGCTGTCCACTTGGTATTGGTAAAGTATAGTGCGATGATAATCAAACCAGCCAGGATGGTGCCTATAAACTGTTGCGTGAAGGCGAAAAAGGGATACGCGAGAGGATACGAATACGAGGAGAGCACATTCCAGTCGAAAGTCGAAATGGGATTGAATCCAAGGCCCATCTGGGAACCCGTGATGACGTTCAGCTTGAAGTTGTTAGGTGAGATCCACGTCATCCAGGCGAATAAGCTAAGGGCGGGGAAAATAAAGTCGGGAAGCCAGAAGTAGACGAACATGCAGCTAAAAACGATGAAGAAGAAGTTATACCGTGACAGGCTCCAGCCGTGCACTGTTTCTCTCTTTTCGGGCACCAATAGCGCTCTGTTTAGTGCCAAGGTCGGCAGAATGTTGGGCCATAAGGCTTCTACTGGGTAGACAACAAAGCGGCGGAGCAGACCGGAAAACCCAAGGCCCATAAGCTGGGTAGACAGCAGGAGCAGAATACCGTAGCCAGGGGTAAGCCATTTGTCCTTGTAGTAGACGGTCTGGGTCTGGATGTTCCAGAAGCAATAGGCAGACGTAAGACCAACATCAACGATGACGGTGGAAAGCACCTGTTCTTTGTACGTCCATTGGCCGGGATTAAGCGAAATTCTTTTGCCGCCGACGGTGAAGCCCCAGTCGGGCAGAACCAATGCAAGAAATTTTCCGCATGGATAGAGCAGGATTTGCGCAACGGCAGATGATATGGTGATGGCAGGAAAGCGCGAATTAAACAATGAATTGGTGAATTGTGCGAGAATGGCCCATGTGTAGCCGAGAAGGTGGGCGCGGATAGTCTCGCAGGGAGTATTGACGTCGTCCGTAGGGGTAGAAACGGCGCGCACCTCAGGGTACGGTGAGTAGAACTTATTCACAGCCGCCTGGGTCTTGAGTTCCAACTCCCATTCTTTAGTGCTCTGCCCCTCAAGAGGCCCTTCAATCAAGGCCGTGAGCTTCTCCTGTTGAATGGCAGAGAAATTATAGTCGTACTCATGGTGCTTAAGTAGTTTTTCGATAATGTCTTTGCACTCCTCGATGGTCAAGGAGTCAATCTTGTCTTTAACGTACTCAATGTCGTCCATTGGTGCCATGTCATGGTCTCTGCCGCCCAACTTCTGGGAAAGGCGCATGACGTCGGCGTCATGAACGGTACCTGGGGTACCAGTTTTCTCGTTGACGACTCGCCCCGGCGTGGAGTAGTCCATCTCGATTGAGTCGTCAGGGTAAGGACGCCGCGAGGTCATGGTGACTTCTTCCTTGGCTGCCGCTGGGCAGGTGCTTGGCTGAGGATGCGACCGATAGGAGACTTTAGGGCGAAGAGTTGCAGCGATCCGAGGACAAGGGGTTGTGTGTCGCGTGAGCAGACTTGAGGCGCGCGAAAGAAAGGAGAGCGCAGTGCAGCCGAGGTGGCCAAGTTATACTTTCCGTGCGGCTGTACGAGGCAGCTCGGCCAGGCTATTATACGCCCACGAGGTCGAGATTCTAATCAGCACCTTCCGCTTATGTACAAGAACAAGGACGAAACGCCTATCGGGAACTTATGTCCAAGAGCCATCGTACCATAAAGTCTTAGTCTACTTAAGCCTCGTATAGACTGGTATTAATATCAAACTCACCTTACTAATTAAGAAAGCCGCCTGCTCGGCAATCGGCACGCTTATCGGCATGCTAAAGGCCATCTCGATCTGATTAGGCCGGGCTAGACAACAAGCTCGACCAACAGGAGTGAGATAGAGGAGTGCATAGCACAGTAGTCTAGAAGCAGCCATATAGAATAAGGCAGGTGGGCGTTTTGTATCGCTGGAAGGCGCGGGGAAACTTGCCCCGTTTCGGCAAGGGATAAACACGACTATACACGATCTCCTCCTTTTTCATTAGCGGACTCCTTGAGGAATCGTTGGACTTTTCCGAGGTAGCCTTGGGTCCGATCAAGAGTTTGATTCGAGACTCTGCCAGGGACCCGGCCAAAGACTCTGCTGCGCGGGCTGTCGGTTGGAGTACGGATGCCCCCGTCAAAATACAAGTTATAAAGAATCTAGCTATAAGCCCTACTGGCTGCTGCTAAATTCGCATGTGCGTGTGCAGCCTACCCCTTGTCCGCACATGTGACGTTGATGGTTTAGGCCAACGCCCAAACTGCTACCAAGGGTGAAGACCCTTACAAGCAGGCTGTGCCGAGCGAAGCGCCTCCTATAATCCCTGGAAGAAATGCAAGTCTCTTGGTGGCCCTATGCCCTCTGGCTCTGTTAGCGGGCTCAAGGACTCAGTTTCTCAATCTCCTTCCTCTAGGTTGGCCGGCCTCTTTGTCCTCTTCGTCGAGCTCGCCCTGTTCACCAGCAATGTTAGCTACATCAACTCCGGAAGACTGCGACGAGTCGGCCTCTGCATTCTGTCCGTCGAGCTCGATCTCGCTACCCGTAGCCTCTGTCACAAGCAGATCGTCTTTCTCGGGGTCGTTTGCATACTCGACGTCTAGCCAAAATGACCTCGAGTCAGCTTTAGATCACCATTGCAAGCCGAGCTCAGCACGACACAGGTCAAAACTCACCCTTGACATCCCAGTCTCGGCTCGCCGCCCCCGACTCTGCAAACGTGACCAGACACCGCGCAACCTGTTGCACCTCTTGGAAGCCGTCTGCATCAAACCGCCGGCCCCGGAGGCAATAGGCGTTGTATTTGCCTTTCCACTTGTAGGCGCGGTCCTGCCCGAACGTGTTCATTGCACACAGAACAGAGCCCCAGCCGCCGCGGGAGGAGGACTCGCCAACATTTGAGGGCTCGAAGCTGTAATTGGTTGCGTGCCACCACTTGCTCGAAGTGGCAGCGTTGTCGACAGCAGACCACGTGTAGTTTCTCCGAAACATCCACGATGTCCGTAGATTTGGCCGTCTGGCCATACCGTCAGGCACTGGCATCTTGCTCGGATAAGTCGTTGCGCGCTGAACGTTGCCTCCTTGTTTGCCCGCCGTTGTCCACTCTTCATGATTTTCAGTCAGCAGCTACAACTATCTCGAAGCAGAGCATCGCATGGGTCAGCTCATGTGGGTTCTCACTCGAACTATCCCCCCATCCAACCCAATTGTCGACTCGGCCGCTCACAGGTGGCTCCGGCTCCAACTCGCCCCAGTTCGAGACGAGGTCAAGCATCAGTTCTACACGCACCCAAGCAGTCAGCACGGGGACAAAGTTAAGTCAGAGACGGCAACTACGGACTTTGGCAACTGGCGGTTGTCCAGGCGAAGGCCTGAAAGGCTGGAACGCAAAGCTGAGAGCGTGATGAGGCGGGCATAAAGTCGCCTCCCTCTTCAGCCGACGCAGGGGGGGCATCGCTGCAGACCGTCGTGATCTTTCGTCCCGTCTTGGTCCAGTACTTATGGTTCTCGTGTTTGCAGGCATCGGTTCGACAGTGAAAAGCTTTTCTCTTTCTCTTGCGCTCCTCGTCGGCGGAAAACGTCAAGGCGGTAGGAAACCCGGCGAGTCCTCGCCACGCTTGGCATATGCCTGGAACGACAGCCTTTGTGTAGTTGCTGTTTCCAGCGACCCTTGTTGGGCCAAGTAGATCACAATTGTCTAAAGGATGAGTCGAGTTAGTTCCGTCTTTTTTGGGACCCCAAGTGCTCAAGGCAAGAGAACTTACACCGGAGCTCTGGCAGCTTGATTGTTCGTTTTCCTCCAGTGGGACAAGCAATAAAGTTGTTGAATGTGGATGCAGAGAGTCGCTTGTCTTAATAACCATCAGCACCTTGCGTCGTTTCAAGCGTTCCACCCGAGACATAAGACAAGGTGTCTAGAGACTCACTTTGTCCGCCGGGTTGACGTTTCGAAGCCCGGGTTTCGAGCTCAGTCTCATCTAGATATGTTGACGTGTTGAAGCTTGGTAAACCACTACGTGAATCGAAACCTGCCTCTTCTTTTTCGGAGCCGCGTGTGCCCCTAAATTTGCGCGGAACTGATCCAGTCACAGGTCCGTAGACGTTGACGCGCTTGGCGGGATAATATGCCTCGCGAGGCTCAAGCGCCCAATTGACCAAGCCCATAATAAAGGCCGTGGCTTTATACCCAAGGTTGTAAAATAGGTATACTCCGTAGGAATACTGGATTTCATCGGACGATGGATTGACATGGCTACTTGCCTGGAAGGACAGGGTTCCCATCAGGTAGCCGGTAAGCTGGGCCTCGGCGATGGAGAGGCCTCCAGTCAGCTTGTCACCTCCAATCTTGATGCCAAAGCTTGCCTATGTCACGAAGGGTGTCATTACCTCCGTTCCTCTTCTGGCCATTCATTATCCTTGGGAACGGCGCGGACTTACCTCTGGCTGTACGGTGACATCCAGTGATCTTGTTGGACTGGACTAGCATTGGAGTGGATTTGGATGGACTGGATTTGGCTGGACTGGATTTGCAGTTTCAAAAATTTGGACTGGACTGGATCGAGAGGTCTGGAGGCTCCTGGAGCTCCAATGGACCATGCCTAATTAGGAAAGAAGAAAACCTCAACGCCAATTTTCGTTTCAGGGCTACCACAACAACGCGTTATTGATTGGAATACAGCGTGCTCATGACGAGCAGTGGTAACTACCAACGTAGAAATTCGCCAGACGGGAGATGTGACCGACTGCCGGTATAACTAGCAGCAGGAATCCCATATTTCCATCTGGCCAACAAGGTAACCACCGTAACCTTAACTTGATCAACGTTCCAAATGGCCGCATCGACAATCACCCAATTCTTCACTGGCGCTTCTAATAAGCCCTCTAGGTCAGATAATGTTGTTCTCGCTCCGGAATCGATCAACAGTCGTCGCGATCCGGAGGCCCTGATCCAGCCAGATGAGTTCAGGCTTCAGGGAGAGGAATATACTCGCTGTGCCGTGCTGGCAAGAGGCCCTAAATCAACAAAGAAGCGTACATCCGTCATATGGTTATACGGTGAGGACCTGAAGTCAAAAATAGATGATAAACGTGTCTGGTACTGCTATCTCTGCGAGAAGCAGCGTCGTCAACAAGACCTCCCAGCTATCTCAAGTGGCAATTCTACAGCGCTTGACCACCTCCACTCGAAACATGATATCGACAAATCTACTGGGGAACACAAGAGCTTTCGAGGAGACTCGGTTGACTCGAGCCAGCCCTCGATATCCGACTACCAAGACGTGAAGTCGATCATCTTCTCCCGCCGCTTAGATAGGTTCAAGGAACTGCTCGTCCGGTGGCTGGTCGGTTGCCATATCGCCTTCTTCCAGGTTGAGAATGACTACTTTCGCGATCTCCTCTTTTACCTGTTCCCGCCCTTGACGAACTTTCTCCCAAGGGCAGCGTCAACTATTCGACAGTGGGTGATGAATTCGTTCGAGGTGAGGAAGGAGAAATTGCGGCAGGACATGCTCGACAGTCGGAGTTCCATTTCGTTGTCATTCGATCTATGGACGTCGCCAAACTACCTCGCAGTGCTTGGGGTAGTAGCACACTTCATAGACAAATCTGGGTTGCGTCGAACTGCTGTCTTAGCGCTGCGCGAAATGGAAGGGGAACACTCGGGAGAGAACATGGCCGATGTCCTGCTACAGGTCATCAAAGATTATAAGATTACGGACCGGGTCGGCTATTTCATGGCCGATAACGCGACGGCCAACGATGTGTGCGTTGACTCGGTGCTGCGCGCCGTTTACCCCAGTATGTCGGACAAGCAGCGAAGACGCAGGCGCCTCCGCTGCTTTGGGCATATTGTGAATCTCTGCGCGCAGGCTTTCCTGATCGGAAAGGACGCCAAAAAGATCTGCAAAGATCTAGACGCTGCATACAAAGAAGGCGACATGACGCGAATCCGGGAGCTCTGGCGGAAGCGCGGCGCCATCGGCAGGCTTCATAATATCATCAGATATATTCGAGCCAGTCCTCAGCGCCGTCAGTTTTCAGATCAATTGCCTGTGGGGAGCACTGTCGGAGTTCGATGGCTTAGAGGTGAGTTGCCTTTGTACCCTCTGGGAACCAGCAGATCGATCAGGACTAATTTAGCCCAGCTTATCCAGAGCCAGCAAACGCGCTGGAACTCATACTTCATGTCAATCGGCAGAGCTCTCAATGTCAAGGAGAGAATTCAGATATTCTGTGACCAGTATGAGGCTGGCCAGAGCCAGAAAAGTCTCGCTGAAGACCGCCTGTCTGAGCAGCAGTGGAACGAGCTTGCACACCTTCATGATCAGCTGGAGACGTTCTACGACGGAACCCTGTCGACGGAAGGCAGGCATTCAACGCTAGCAGATCACTTTCAGACGCTCGACTGGTTGCTAAATGAGATCCAGCAGGCCAAGATTAAATTCGAGGAACTTCACAGGGCGGCTGTTCGAAGGAAGACCAGTCGTGGAGCTGCCGCTGCTGAAGCCGACAACTTTGCGTTTCTTGCCGCTTCGGCAGAAGCTTCCTGGCGTAAGGCCGAGCAGTATTTCAATAAAGTGGACGAGACACCGGCATATTATACCGCCATTTCGCTGAATCCGACTCTCAAAAGTCAGTGGTACGTCGAGGCTTGGACAGACGAAGAAAAACGGTTATGGATCCCGGGCGTTACGAGGCTTGTTAGAGAACTCTGGCTAGAGGAGTATCGGGGAGGCATTCCACAAAGCAGGCTTCGGTCTCCGCTTCGCCCGGTCCAACGTCGTCTGTTTCAGTTAGGAAGGAGAAGCCTTTGCGGCTGTTAAGAGCCATAAAAGACTGAAGCTTCGTCACGAGGTCGGATCAACAGACCTGCCCGCCATCGACCTTCTCGATCAGTTCCTGGAGACAGATGTTATCCGGCTTGGTGAGGAGGAAAGCTTTGACGTTATCAAGTATTGGAACGATCGCTATCATACACAACCTGATCTAGCACGCATGGCACTAGATGTTCTATCTGTTCCACCAATGTCGGATGAATGCGAGCGGTTATTCAGCAGCGCTAAGATCCTGCTTTCTGACCGGAGGTCGAGGCTTAAGATCGACATCATTGAAGCTAGCGAGTGCCTCCGGTCCTGGTACGGCCCACCTGCACGAAATACTTTTGAGGATATCAACATCGGGAGACTAGAAGGGGAGTCTGATCTGCAGGAGGCTTACAAAGCTGGGGATGGATCTGAAGCTAAAATGGACGACGAGGACCTTCGGATCGTGGATCAAGATGATTACCTCCATGATAATACTCCTCAGCCCCAGGAGGGCTTGCGGTAGTTAACCAGCGTTATTGATGTCAATCACACACCGCACAGCATTGAACAAGGATCGACTCCGTGGTAATCTCGCGATGACTATAAAATACGGAATATCGACTACCTTGAGCTAATCCATTTAAGGATTGGATTTGCATTGGCGGTTCTGGAGTCCTCAGCGCTGTGCATTGGACTGGACTGGATCCGACCTCGAAATCCAGTCCAGTCCAGTCCAACAAGATCACTGGTGACATCCAGTGCAGCGTCAAGCTCCACGTCTGCTTCGAAGACCGGCTTCAAAGTGCCTTGGTCAGGAACCGATGGGTTGCTCTCTATCCCTAGCAATTTTTGGTACTTGCTGCTGGATTCATCGTTCTGCGGCCAATACACTTCAGTTTTTCCAAAGTCGAAGTGTGCCCCTGCTCGAGCCTTGCCAGATATCGTAATCTTCCCTACGATCTGCGCACGTATATATTAGCGATTCTCAATGCCTCACAGATATTACATCAGGTAGCTCCGATTTTATTCGTGTCCCGGATGCTCAACGCACCTGGCCGTAAATGTCCAAAGATGGCCCAATAGAAGCGAGACCCTTGATCGCCAGGCCTGGGTACGTGATTGTGGGGATGATCTTCGCCCTCTCCGACGTGTACTGCATCTCTGCCTGACCAGATATGCTAAGCCCGACGTATGCTCTCGGTTGCATGGCGAGATAAGCATAGGCATCTGGAATATTGGGCGGTATGATGGTTCCTGAAAAGTAGTAGGCATAGGTGATGTCCATGTTGACAGAAGCCTCGAGGTCAATCTCCAGACTCGCCGAGGAACCCGAACCCACACATCTATAATTGAACTCCGAATTTTAGAAGAGCACTTTCAGGGTCTCGACTGGTTTGAGCAAGGCGAAAAGCTTCGACTGAACGTCTCCTCGAACCGTTAACTTACCCCTTCTGCTCGCGAAAGAGATTAATCGTGTCCGCCCAAGCGAGTGGCAGGACCCTAAGCGTCGACTTCTTCACCATATTCTAGGTCACGCATTTCAGAGTTGGACGATTGTTTTAGGACGAAAAGGGGGGCAATAGAAGACTGACCAACTTTGAATGCCAGCTTCCGAAAGATCCCCACCAGCGCTTGTTGAGGTCATGCTGCCCTGTTTCCTGCTTATTGCTCATCGGCACCGTGACATTGACCAGCGTCGAGCGCTTTCGAAGGGTGTTGTCTCGAGCAACGGCCTTATTAACCCTGGCATGCCAGTCTGGGTGTCTTTTAGGCGTCTCGTCCGCGTTTCTCTTGCGCATAGGCTCGGCTCCCATCATTTCGTCTCTGTAGCCGGCCAGATTGCTATGGTCGATGCGAATGTGGACCGGTTCACTGTCCCTTTTGAGCTTGATAGCATGGAAGTTGTAGTCTATCTTCATCTCATACACCGGGTCCGACAGGCCTTCAAGGGAGCGGTGCTCGAGATGGTGGCTCGGGAGCTCAAAGTCTTTGTGTGCCGCTTGTATGGAGACCAAGCGAGCAAACGGTCCTTCTCCTACGTGCATCGGTAGATTTATGATTGTGTCTTCGGCTCCATCCAACCAAATCCTGTCGCACTCCTCCGACCCTGGCGAATAGTTGCAGTAGATGTGCAGAATCTCCTCTGAGTGGTCAAACACGGAGTCCAGGATTGTTTGATTGCTTGTGAGTGCCGACCGCTTGACTCGGGGAATTTGGCGCTGTTTCCGGACTATCGTGTAAGTGTCTGTAAAGGTGTGATCAATTGAACCCAAGGGGCCGTCCAATATAACAAACCCGTAGGCATCTTTGCCAAAGGAATCTTCGTCCGGATCCAAACTCTCGCCCTCATCCTCACTATCGTTGTTGGAGGGCTGTGTGCTGTAAGACCACAGAGCATCAGACTGCTCCGCTGAGTTCGTCTTGTCAATCTTCCAGAGCTTCTCGGGATCAACCGGCAGCTTATCGTTGCGCTTTGCGGGCGGTGAGCAGCAATATGAGAAGCGATTATCCCGCCCTAGCTCCGCCGTGACACAATTGCAGCTGAACCCAGAGCCTCCATTCTCCAGCTTGGAAGATGTCGGGGGCTTTAGGGCCGTGACAATTTCAGTCTTGCCGTTTTCACACGTGCGAGGTAAACAGAGCTGTGGTTTGTCCTTGGTGGTGAGAGAATCGGTTCTTGGATCGTTGGACCAACTGCATTGCGAGAATCCTCGTCCCTTGGGACAGCAAAGGGCGCTCTTGAATAAACTGGCTTGGGCACGGTCGAGGTTTCTGTCCGCTTGCGAATTCTCTCCGGTATAACAAATTCCCAGACCATCAGGCCTGTCGAACCGGTATGTTTGGTACTGATATCCATCCGGGCATGTCGGGACTTCATCCAGCGTCAGAGGCCCCTGGCAGTGGGTCCAGTGACAGTCAGAAATGGCGGTTGTCGAGTCACAGCAGAGAGTACGTCGGCCATGGAAGCAACCGTGTCCTCCTTTGGCGTCTTTGTGGCCGTCCGTGTTGAGCTCGAACTGCCCGCGTCCACACTGCCCGTGGCATCCAAAGGCATCTTGGCTGCCAGACCATTTGCAGTTCTTGGGCATGGCATCTTTGGGACAGCAGATGTGTCGGTACCAGCCCTTTGCACACTCTCCATGTAGAGGATGGCTGCGGTCTTGCTTCGGCGAGTGGGCTGTCGAGACGGACTGATATCCGCCGGGGCATACCTGCTCGGGGCCGAGCTCGCCGTCGGTGCTGTCGGTACATCGTGGAGTGACGAAGCAGTTTTGCCCGGTGAATGAAGACAAGTCGTGTGAGGAGGATACAGGCTGGCTGGGACTGGCACCGCCTCCTTTCAGCTGCAAGTTTGAGAAGTCGCCCATGAGACGGCTCATCGCATCAAACTGACCACTATCCTGGTCTAGAGACCAGATGAACAAACCACTCAGGCAGTTCTCTGATAGAAAGGACTTTTTGTCGCGCCAAGATTCCTCATCGTCATAGGATATCCATTCATCGCCTTCGATGACCTTATACTTTACCGTCGTGGTGGAGTTGTAATGGACTTGAGCTTCAGTGCTTCCATTCCGGGCGATCACCTCCGCGTATGTCAACAGTCCCTCTGCATCAGAACACGATATTGGCACGTCTTCGGCCATGAACCTGCAGACGCCTTCAGGCTGCCAGCAGTCGACGTCTTCAAGTGTGTGCGCTCGTCCTTGGAAGGCCATGCCCATGACCACCTTGTCCATCGAGATGTGACTGTGCCGGAGGATCTGGAGGGCAGTCTCAACCTCCGAGATGTCCGTGTGGCCCTGGAGATATGGGACTGGCGAGTTCTTCTCCTTACTGTACACCCAGCGCTGCAATGGTTCCAAGAACAGGCGTTCGTCAGCAGGCGCCTCATAATGCACACGTATTGTACGTAGGCAATGCCTTTGCATAAGCGCTTACCCGGTCAAAAGGCATGAGATTGAACCAGGAGATGTATTCTCCCATGCCTTCAATGTTGAATCCCTGGAGATATTCGCTACTCGTGGGGATGGAGGCGGTTATCGTCCACCCAGGGTTACGGGAGTTGAAATAACCGCGCATTTCGGCGAGCAGTTGGACAAAGTTGCTTGCATCGCTTTGTCTTCCGCCCATTTCTGACGCTGAAGGATACTCCCAATCTTGTTTCTAGTCAGCTTATGATCTGCAAAGGACAAACAGTCCTATCAATTCTGTCTACTCACCCAGGTCTACGCCGTTGAACCCGTACTCGACGAGAAAATCTACAACAGAATGAATAAATGTTCGGCGGGTTGCTTCGGTGCTCACCACTACAAAAAGTTAGGTACGTCTTTCGTAAATAAATGGCCAAGTTGCACATACTGTCGGACCAATAGCCGGAAGTTGGCCCGTAACTGAAGCCATGGCCTCCAATAGACATGGCCACACGAAGACCGGGATGCTTCATCTTGAGAAAAGAGGCCCTGAGCAGAAGATCTCTGCTGGGGCTGGTGAGCGTAAAGTTCTCGTCGAAGTTGACATAGGCAAGGTTTAAATCCGTGAGCGGTGTCATCTGCAAATCATCAATCTCGATGCGATGGCATGAGCCTCCAGGGCTGAATAGGTTATAGTATCCTATTCGCCGCTTAAACTCCAGAGCGTTCGTGGTGGCACGGCATGTTTCATGTCTTCACATTCAAGTCAGCTGGGCTGAAGCCGGCGCCGGCAGTCTCGCCTGGGATTCCAGTGACTCACGGAAGGGAATCGAGGTCGAGTGTAGCGTGTTTGACCTGGCCAGCCGTTTCAGAACAGTTGGCTCTAGTCTCCTGCGTGCTGGAGCCGTTCCTGAAGTTGCTCTGGCGGCGGTGTCGACATTTCTCAAGGGTGAGCTCACAGGGGGGACCCTTTCCGCAGGAGTCAGAATCTGCGCCGCCGCACGCACCATCCAGGGTATATTCGGCATTAGATTGCAGTGAAAAGAGAAAAACAATGAGAAGGAGGCATGAAAGAGCTTGGCGGCCGGCGAGGGGATTCCTTTCCCCTTCGAACCTCATAGTGAGTGATTACTGAAAGAATGGCATTAGTTGGAGAGATATCGATGGAATAGGACAAGACAGCGTGTAGTCGGACCTAGTTGTATAACTTGTCGAATCTCTGGGCATAAGACTTCAAAATTTCAGCCTATATCAAGCTTCCGTCATGTTATATGATCGTCATCGGGAGAAATCGTACGCCTCGAGAGGGTCTAGACAGTAAGGGAGCAAGTCAGGGTAACCAAGGCCGGAGCGAAGACCACGAAGCCTCGGCCGAGCTTGGTAAAATCCACTGTGCCGGATACAAGGAGCTGCGCGTGCTTGAGAGGTTTCAGGGTAAGTGCTGCAGGAACCCCATATCGCAACGACGAGAGTGGGCATAGAGGGCCATGCTCTCACTCTAGCTTGAGGCTCAGAGTTGCGATGACTATCGGGGGTATATATGTATACGACATGCAGGACGTTATTTCTCGGTCTGAATAGGGCTCAACCCGGATGGCTGATTGTCAGATGATGCTAGGCGAATGAGCCTAATCGAAATGTTAAATTTATTAGGTGGAGATTTTGACGACGGTCTCGATGGTTTTACCTCCTGTTGCGACGATATATCAGAGCATCAGAAGGCAGCCCGACAATCTGTCCACGTATTGCCCTTTTGTTCCACTGTGCCTTGCCACTTCGAGCTGTTCGGCCCCAGTGTCATACTTGTACTTGAGGGAGCTTTGCAAACGTTTGCATCGTGAGCTGAACTATAGGCTGTCTTGGTCAAAATCATGGTCGCCAGGGTATATGTGGCATGGACATGGGACACCGGCAACGTCCCGCCAGGGTCCGGCATAGACTCAGTTGGGACTAAAGTCGTGAGTCGTTTGGTGCAAGTTTCTTTGCCAAGCATGGGGGAAGTCCACCCACGATTTGGATGCTCCGAGACCATGCTGGATCAAGCATGTACCTCCATTTATCGCCACATCTTACCTATAAGCACGGCCTCGTGGTGTCTCCAAGTATTTGATTTGTCTCCGGTCCGTTGTCGCACGTTATACATCCTAAATACTCGGTGGCCGACGACGACGATCGAGCTTAGGACATGTTTCCCCTATCTAGTGATCGGACAGGTGGAAGACAGTAGCAAAAAGACATGAGAACGTGATGAAAATAGCACTTGCCTATATTACGAGGCTAGTCTATAGGCATATGTAGAGAGGGCGTTGAGTCCATATATAGAGCTATAGATAGTAAGTGCGGAAGTACCCGAAATTGGCCGGGTTGAGCATTATGCGTCTCAACTTTCGCACGAGGCACACAATAGCCGACACCACAGTGACGCTTTTACGACTGGGGGTAATTTCGGCTAAAAGCCAGCCGTTAGGCCGTAAAGGAAGGTCGCAGGCAAGCTGCTCTCGATACGATATCGCTACCGAGATCCGGCCCCGTTCTCCCGGGTCAAACCACGACTTGCTGAGGCTCTCGGCGGTCCCTTTGCTCCCGATTCGAGGAACGCAGGTCCACAAACGCATTCACTAAGCCTATCTGCCCAGGACGGGCGACGGCAAGAGATGTGTAGGCGCCAAAGCTCGAGGTTGATGGCACTTGGCACACAGACGGACACTCCTCCAGAGTGTCGGCCGAGTTGCTGCCATTGATTCGTTTTGCTGAACCTCACTCACACTCGTTGACTTTGAACCACGCCACGACCTATCGTGCTAAGCTGAAGACTAGTCTGCCAAAATTCCTGTCGAGGGCTGCATACGTTAACTCTCAGCTTGCCGGAAACGGGACTTTTCCGGGCGCTTTTGGCTTTGAGAACTCTTTTGCTTCCTGGAACCCGGTAATAGCGAGCGTCTAGTCGTTTTGATGTGTTCAGTCGAATCCCTCTAGCTGGTTCGAGCGCCGCAAGAGACCCCGAAGCCTAAGCTGTGGGATGCAACTGATTCGCCGATGCATGTGAAGGATGGGTTGTTCAAGGCTTGGTCACCGCCCGGCTGGGGCGAATCAGCAGCGAATGGAGCAGCATATATCCGGCCAAAAAAAAACCGACAAAAGGGTTCCCCGAGGGTGGTAACGGGAGCCAGCGGCGGACACATGGGATCTGCCTGTAATGAAGCTAGGACGGCAAGGAACCCTTGACTTCAACCTCTTAAGCCCGCTCGGCCGTCGGCTAGCCAGCTCTTTCGCAGTTTTCCAAGCACAAACCGCTCAGTAGTGGATATGCACTGGTAGGTGCGCACAGAGTGCTCCCGACATGACGCCCAGGAGCTCTCATGTCTGGCACTGCAGCTCGATCCGACAGAGACTGAGCTCGGGTAAATATGGGGTTCTAAGGGTAAGTTTAACGAGTACCGCGGTAGCATTGCAGCGTGTCATGGGGTGGAGAGATGATTATCACTCTTTTCCTACAGTTCAAGGGGCAATATGCATGATCATGGGGCCTTGCAGCGTTGCCCGTCTCTTATTAACTGAGGCTCAGCTTTTCAAGCAAAAAGTGGTCAGCGCTAGTTCCTATATCTGTGTTGAAAAGACTTGAAAGTCGTATGATATATGGGGCAGTAATCGTCTGGGAAGCTGTAATTATATGGTATCCACTTTCAATCACTTGGCAAGTGATCCAGGTCGACTGAGGCCAAGCGAGTTGATACGGTTAGCCAGCCATAGGAGTGAGACGCGCAACTTGTCGTTTTCTCTCATCGAAAAGCCATTCAATAACAAGAAGATGTACATGTGACCAACTCTCGCAATGAACCAAGGTGCATCAAAAAAAGAATGATAATGCCAAGAGACCACAAATCACCAATGATATGGAGTCCCCAAGATGAACACTCCTGTGGCCACTGCTTCTCGCACTCGGCTGCGTTGGCGTGGGATTCGCCGGAAACGGCAGCCTATACGAGACTGCAGCGGCCGGGGTGCACACGGCCGGGATGTGAGCTGGCGACGTGGGCACCAGCGCCTCTGGCCGCGGGAAGCAGTACGTGTCGACGAGGGACTGGCAGTCGCTGGGGAGGTCCTGGGGACTCAAGCCTTCGGCCCAGGCGTCGCTCTCGATCCAGCAGTACTTGGAGCGCTGGGCTATCAGCGATGCCCGCGTCGCGTTATACGAATTGGTCATGGTCAGGGGCGTGACTTCGAGATCCACGGTCGGCGTGTACCAAGACGTTGCGAAGGCCGAGTAGGTGGCCGCCGCCGTGGTTGGGATCCAGCTGGAGAACATTGGTGAGGTCCTGCGGCGGATGAGCATCATGGGCATTGGTTCAGTTTCCGGCAGAAAAGCAACTTACAGCGTTGGTCGGTTGTGCTTGGAGGGTTTCGTGCCGACATCAAAGGCAGCTTTTCCAGGTGGGCTGAAGGGGACGCGGGTTAGCTGCGAGAAGCAGCGAGCCGAGATATACGTGCGGTCACTTACGAAAGGCATATGCTCCGCCCAACCATGGCATCTAGATTGCCGCAGTCGAAATGAATAGTCCTAGATCCCCGGGTCAGCTTTTCCTCGCCTTGGACGTCGAAGGGTAGGGCGGCTCACGGGTTCCACGACGTGAGCTGAATCTTGGAGAAGCCTGTCCCCCGGGTGATGCTGGAGCAAGTGTCGTTGGATGTCACGGCATGTACCGCACATTGGTCTTGCAGGCAAAGCGCCATGCCGGGAGTGAGGGTCGTGCAGTTGTAGTCCAGGTGGTTGAGGTCAATCATGCGGTCCGTAGCTACGCCTGCTGCGCTCGAGATGGATTCGCATGAGTCCCCCGCCTGGACGACGTACTTGGTGCCGGAGCATGTAGCCGACGGGGCTGTGACGGTGGTCAATGTCCTAAGAATATTCAGCTCATCGCCCGCGATGGATGGGGACATGGGCAGGCTTGAGAGGAAGGGGCCCCCTTACGAGTACGCTGCGGCGGTCGAGGCCGTTGCTAACGGCGAGGACATGTATGGATGGCGCGTGGGATCTGCGCTGCACGAATAGAGCAGCGACGAGAGCGCGTCTGGACTGACGGCCCCTTGTCCGTAGTCAGAGCCGGCCATGACAACACCGTACTCGAGCGAGCATTCCGAGCAAGCACCTTTCCCCCCAGCGTACAGGTCGACCAAGCAGAAGCCAGATCTGGGCCCGGCATGTTAGCAGGGCCTATTTGCGCATCGAAGGAAAAGGCTGCCATCTCACGAGTCCCGAAGGCAGCTCAGCTCGTACGCCCACAACAGCCCGCCCGCCAACATGGCACCAGACTGCTCCCAGGCGCTATCGTGAAACATACGGTACGGCGCGTTGCCACAATGCCTGTCCACATGGATGCGGAACTCTTGAAGCGAGTCGTGGCACTCCAAGGTGCAATAGCGCGCCGCCAACTCGTCTGGGAGTGTTCTGCCGCCCATGGCGTGAGCGGCCGTGACCAGGTCGTCGTCGCAGGTGAGGTTCCGGGCGAGCGCTTGGCGGCATGCTGGCGGGACGTCGGCCGGGATGGCTTCAGCAGAGGGCCAGAGAGTGACGGCGGAAGCGGCCCGGGGGAAGAGGAGCCAGGCTGCCAGCTGGAGCATCGGGTGCAGCATTTTCCGGGCGTCGAAATGGTGCTACGGCTTTGCGAATGGCGTGGAGGTCGCGCTGGGATGACTCCAAGACTTGCGAGAGCGAGCGAGCAGTGTCAGTTCTCGAGGGGGCTCAGGCAGCATATGCTCACACACTTGCCGCGGTCACGACACCGAGGAAGCCGGAGCGCGGACCGCTCTGGCCATGGTTTGCCAAGTCTCGGCGATGGAACCGACATCTTCTCCAGTAATGGGGGTGCTCTACCGCAGGGCTGGCAAGGAAGACGACGATCAAGCCCATCGGCCTAGACCCAACCCGCTCACCTGCTCCGGGCCCCTGCAGCCGAAGCTCCGGAGGCGGGACCCGATTGCGGGGCGCGGCTTCCGGCGGGCGTCCGGTGCTCTGAGGGACGCGCGGTATCCGTACAGAGTCGTAAGTTAAAGTCCCGAAAGAAGAAGGGGAAAGCACAAAGCGCAGCGACCGGGGGGGTTACTGCTTTGGCGGATGCGCCACGTTCAATCGAGGCGCGGCGAGCCCGGGGCATCCTTGTTGGTGGCCAAGTTCTGACTCTGCGCGAGACGGGAACCAAGCTTTCACTGTACATATCCGTACCTAGTCTTTGTTCCCCCTTGCTGGATGCTGGTTATTGTTACTAGTCGGCGGCAGTGGGCGTCTACAGTTATTGTGCCTGTCGTTGAGAGGAGTCGTTTGACGGCCAAGTGTGTCCGAGCCGCATTGATGGCCGGCGGGGGCAGCAATGCGCCGGCGCGAGCAGCACTCGTGGACTCGTTTGACATGTACTGTAAGTTGGCAGTTGACCCTCACGCGGCGGCCATCACAAACACATCGTCTCGTGTACTCACTCCGTAATAATCTTCATCGAGATTTCCTCCTCGCGGGCCAAAGCGTCTAAGCCGCTCTTGGGCAGGTTAACGTTTAGTTAACGTTAACGTACAGTATAGTCGGCAACTCCAGCGCCAGCTCGCACTGTGCAGTCGCACGACAGCCGTGCCGAAGAATGCACAACACTGTGCGCCCTACACTCAATGCATACCAGGACAAAGAGGCGCATCGGCTTAGACCATAGACCTCCCGACCTCCCTCCTTTGTGGAAGACGAACGCCTAAATACCGACTTGCAGTGCATTTACATACACACTCTTTTCATCAAGACGAACCCTGGCTTCATGTCGACTCCTCCTCGGCGAATGCCTTCCGTACAGTGTCGAACGCAACGGTCGACTGTACGCCATCCGACGCCCCAGGTAGACAGGACTCCTACTCCGTGCCGCCTGGTCGACGGACAAAGGTCTCGGGTACTTGTACAGCGACTTGCACGGCGACTCGTACAGCGGACTGGTACAGTGAGCCCGGCACCGGGTACACAGACAGTGCTGGGTTTCGGGTCCCCTTCCCTCCATCTCCCCTCCCGGCTGGTCAGCCAGCATCTGGATCGTCAACCTTTTTCCTCTTCTTCTTCCGCCATCGTCGCTCACCTCTGCTCGTCGCCCTCATCCGCCGTCTCGCAGCGCCCGGGCCAGGCCGTTGCTTCTTCTTTTCGTCCGAGCGAGCCACCACGTGTCGTCATCGTCATCCGTCCGTCACTGGCCGCCCCCCCTTTTGTGCGCCCGCGCCCCCGAGCAGGGACCGACCTGATTGCGCGCCACCGCCTCGTTGCTGAGTAGACGCACAACCATCGCCCATCATGGCTTGGGAACTCTCCAGGCGACGGCTCTCGCGCGCCATCAACGGCAAGTTCATCTTTGGCCGCATCGTATGTTCCTTCCCACTGCCAGTCCAGATGCTTGTGGAACCTCGGAACCAGCCATGCTTCCTCTCCCGACCACAGCCTGCTGCTCCACCGTATCCCTCTCTTTATTGCATTTCCATTTCCATTTCCATTTCCTCGATTGCTTTCGCCCAACTGTGATTCCTGGTCGCTAACCACTCTCCATCAAAAGCCACTCCTCCACGCCATCATCTTTCTCATCGAAATGGCCCTCGTCGCCCGGCTGACGGCGAGGTTCAACACCTACTACGATGAGCGACCTCGTACGTCTCCCTTCTCGGTATATGATGCATTGGACGAGCAAAAGAGGACTCAAGCAGGATTCGTTGGAGAAGAAAACAAACCAACACCCTTCTCGCGATGCTGACTCTGGCTGGCAGTCATGACCATGATGGTCACAAACGCAATCCTCGGAGGCATCGCAGACACCGTCGCCCAGGGCATCACGTCGATCCGCCAACGCGCCCTGCGCAAGCCCGGCGGCGTCACCAAGGACGACGATTTTGCCATCGAGATCCACGACCTCGACCGCAAGACGTCCTTCCTCGACCGCGACCTGATACCCGACTCCAAGGCGCTCCCGCCGCCCTTTGACTTTGAGCGCCTCACCCGCTTCATGGCCTACGGCTTCTGTGTCGCCCCGCTCCAGTTCAAGTGGTTCCGCTTCCTCGAGCGCGCCTTTCCCATGACCAAGACGAGCGCCTTTGGTCCGGCTATGAAGCGCGTCATCTTTGACCAGTTTGTCTACGCGCCCTTTGGTGTCGGCCTGTTCTTTGTCGCCATGACGGTGGCCGAGGGGGGCGGCAAACGCGCCGTCAGCGCCAAGCTGCGGGACATGTACGTCCCGACGCTCAAGGCCAACTACGTCGTCTGGCCGGCCGTGCAGATCGTCAACTTCCGCTTGGTGCCGGTCCAGTACCAGCTGGTAGGATCTCTCGACCGCTCAATGATACTCTGGAGAGGACTATTGCTGACTTGCGATCTGAAACCAGCCGTTTGTCTCGACCATTGGCATCGCATGGACCGCTTACCTGTCGCTTTCAAACTCTTCCGACTGACGCGACTCGGACGGACCTGGCTTTTTTTGGAGCAATCGATGGAATAGAAGTGCGTACACGCAACCCACGATGAGGCCTTGGGGCGAGCACTGTCCAGTCATCGACCCATGGGCTCCATGCACGCCCTGTGCTCCTAGTCCTTGCCAAAACATACTGCTTTCATGTCAGACCTTGCACCGTTTGGCGTCTGGAGAATCGGAGTCTATGATGTTTGTGTTTGGGAGGTGTCGAGACTTGATAGGACTGCTTGTTGACGAGGGCAGGCCGGGCCGCCTGAAACAGCGCCAAGCAGTGATTATGGATGTGGTGTTGACTCGGTAGACAGTCCTCGTCAGCGGTCTTAGTTCTCCTTGTCTCGCCTTTTGTCGCGGGAGGAGGGATGGATCAATTTAAACAAGCATTTTCGTCAAGATGTGAATGCAAGGGCAGCGTACAAGCAAAGCTGGCCGGACTTGGAATGGTCCGGCTGCCTAGATCGGACAACATGAGCATATCCATGGCTTTACATACAAAGATGCCTCTTCATAGATCTTCTTAGTATCTATACTCCTCCGTAGACACTCCAGGGTTGCGTGAGGCGCGAAAGCTACAGGCCGCTTAGGGAGAGCGCAGCTTCCCCCACTTTGCCCACGTCGACCTCGACCCCGCCACCCCTCGTTGCCCCAAAAACCTCATCCTCCCTCTTCCGTCATTCTCCATAATCATCACCACGAGACACTTCTCCCGCCTGCGCTGCTCTCGTCTTACATCTCCGACTCTGCCATCCACTACTCGCCGACTGCCTGCATTGCCCGCCACCATGTCTCTGGCCAGCAAGCTCTCCATCACCGATGTCGACCTCAAGGGCAAGAGGGTTCTGATTCGGGTGAGTCCGGCTTCTGTTCCGCCCGCAAAGGCCGAATACTGACGATGGTTATAGGTCGACTTTAACGTACCCCTCGACGACACCAAGAAAATCACAAACAACCAGCGCATCGTCGGCGCCGTCCCCACCATCAGGCACGCCCTCGACCATGGCGCAAAGTCGGTTGTCCTCATGTCCCACCTCGGCCGCCCGGACGGCATCCCCAACCCAAAGTACTCGCTCAAGCCCGTCGCCGCCGAGCTCGAGAAGCTGCTGGGCAAGCCCGTCACCTTTGCCCCGGACTGCGTCGGCCCCGAGGTCGAGGCCATTGTCAACAAGGCCGACGCCGGCGCCGTCGTGCTGCTCGAGAACCTGCGCTTCCACATTGAGGAGGAGGGCAGCTCCAAGGACAAGGACGGTAACAAGACAAAGGCCGACAAGGCAAAGGTCGACGAGTTCCGCAAGGGCCTGACGGCTCTGGGCGACGTCTACATCAGTGCGTTGGCCCCCTTTCTTCCCTGCGCCGGACAGTAGCTAACACCGCCGCCGCCCGGCAATAGACGATGCCTTTGGCACTGCCCACCGCGCCCATTCCTCCATGGTTGGCATCGACCTCCCGCAAAAGGCAGCGGGCTTCCTCATGAAGAAGGAGCTCGACTACTTTGCAAAGGCCCTCGAGTCGCCTCAGCGCCCCTTCCTGGCCATCCTCGGCGGCGCCAAGGTCTCGGACAAGATCCAGCTCATCGACAACCTGCTGGACAAGGTCAACACGCTCGTCATCTGCGGCGGCATGGCCTTTACCTTCAAAAAGGTCATTGACAACATGGCCATTGGCGCTTCCCTCTATGACGAGGCCGGCTCCAAGACGGTGCCCAAGCTCATGGAAAAGGCCAAGAGCAAGAACGTCAAGGTCGTGCTGCCCGTCGATTTCATCACGGCCGACAAGTTCGACAAGGACGCCAAGACGGGCAGCGCCGCCGACCCCGCCGGCATCCCCGACGGCTGGATGGGCCTCGACTGCGGCGAAAAATCCATCAAGCTGTACAAGGAGGCAATTGACGAGGCCAAGACGATTCTGTGGAACGGCCCGGCGGGCGTCTTTGAGTTTGACAAGTTTGCCCACGGCACCAAGGCGACGCTCGACGCGGCCGTCGAGGGCTGCCAGAAGGGCAAAATTGTCATCATCGGCGGCGGCGACACGGCGACGGTGGCGGCCAAGTACGGTGTCGAGGACAAGCTCAGCCACGTGTCGACGGGCGGCGGCGCCAGCCTAGAGCTGCTCGAAGGCAAGGAGCTGCCGGGCGTGGTGGCTCTATCGAGCAAGTAGATTCCCGCGACACCAGGTGTAGCCGGATGGTGACTGGATGGGGAAAAGGCGGGCAATAACCGAGGGGACAGCTCGTCAAGGAATGGCTCAACTGCAGTGTAGCAGAGTGAAATGCGCAACTGTGGCCGTTTCGGCGGAGCCGCATGACATGGGTATAGAACAAAAAGAAAGGGTCGCTTTGTGTCAGGGCTAATGTCGTCCTATAATCTTTTGATCGGATCATCATCGCGCGACCACCAGTGCGTGCCTGGTCTCCGTCTCTAGTAAAGAGTGTGGGTGACGTAAAGAATTCATTCATAAGTGCCGACTCTATGGTCACTGTAGCCGTTTGTTCTATTACCGCCATTGCACACCACCGCGCTCTTCCCGACCGACGCAAGCAGTAGCACCATCACCTCGGCTTGGCCGCCTCGACCTTTTTCAGCTCCTCTCTGGAAGAAGAGAGCAAGAAACAGTCAGCATCGAAATTGTGTCGGAGGGGCAACTCATCGATAGCCACGAGTGCCTTGGATGAAAACCAACCTTAGCTGCGCGGAAAAGTCGTCACTCGTATCATCGTCGTCCCAGCTTTCCTCCCACAGGTGCTTGGGGTCGCTGCCGCTGGCGGCCTCGGTCTGGTCTTCGGGCCAGTCTGCGGTTAGGCGGTGGTGGTTAGTGATATGGACGGGGAGCGACGGGACTGAGAAGGTGAGAGGCAAGGGCGCACCGTCGACGGGAAAGTCTTCAAACTCGTCATCCTCGCCGAGGGCCGTCGTGGCCTTTTGCTCGGTGGGCTTCTGCTCGGTGGGCTTGTCGTCGGTGGTGGCGCCGGCGGGCTTGGTGTCTGAGGTCGAGGCCATGGCTGCGGATGGCTGGTTCGCAGCCGGGAGGTGCAGGTGGCTAGCGAAAGTGGGCGTTGCTTGGCTTGCGTTGGGGGGGACTATCGTGGAGGACGGTGATGGTCTGCTGGAGCCTGGAGCTTGGATGCTTGGCTGATGGCGAGGCGGCGAGAGATGGCGTCGGGGCGGAAGAATTACGGGGCCGGCGCCGGGGTCTAGGGTAGGAGGCCTGGTCAAGCACTGGCCAAGATTGAAGCAAAGAAGACTGGCAAAGCGATGAGCTGCAGGATGGGGTGGTAGAGAATGGATTGTACTGCTCTATCTACAACACTGAGCCTCTTTCACGTGTTGTTTAAGAATGCTTGTTGATTTCTCGATGGGTTCGGGCGTTTCTTGCCATGGTTGAATGAGGACGTGCGTCGAGGCCCAGGAGCCGAAGACCATGCCGGCGGATCGGACTTGTGACTGGCCGATGGAGGAACGACGGGTTTGACTGAGACGAATGCCGACCCGGCAACATGGCCGGCCACGGACGCAAACGGAGACGAGACAGTTGAGCGCCGCCTCGTCCACATGCGGTGAGGGCAGAGTTGATGCGGATCATGCATGAAAGTACAGAGACATGCCCGCCAACGGACAGCTTCCATTCAAGGATTGGTCCGCGCCCTCTGGAGGCGCTTGGCAGGCGCCGTTACCGTTGGGCTCTGAAAATAGACGAGCAAGGCATGTACCGGTACAAGCCCTCCGACGGCACCGCACCTCGACTGTTAACCCCGAGTCTCGACAAGTCTTTGGTCCATTCTGAATCCATTCACTTGCAAGGGCCAGATACATTCTCCGGACTCTTACACGACAGAATCAAGGGCATCCCGCCAAGTCGTCGCGCCTCCAAGCCGCCCGCCGCTTGTCCTCGTCCTCGACGTCGTCGTGGGCGGATCAAACTCCGCCGGGGCCGACGACGTCATTGCCCTGATTGCTCACCATTCGGTCGAGTGGCTTGGTCTTGGGCAACTACGGCCCGGTTGGTCTACGCATTGACGGCAGCTCACGCGAGAGGCAGAATTGGGGAGAGGCGCTCGCAATCGTGACGGGCTCGAGTCATCTCGAGGGAGACCGCCCTCGCCGGTGCGGAGCATAACCACTCCCGCGGTCCCCCCCGTTTCCCCGACCCGAGCACGACAGCTGATCGAGGAAAAAAACACTCGATTCCATCAGCAATGAGCTTTACCTCGTGGTTTCGCCCCGGCGGCGCCCGCAAGGACGGCGCGGCCAAGGGCAGCCAAGCTGAGGCCGCTGCCGCGGTCCGGACCAAGCAGCGCGACGACCTCCAAGACGCCATGAAGTGGACGGCCCTCATCATGAACGACGACATTGACGGCGCCTGGGCGGGCCTGCAAAAAGGCCGCTCGGCCTTCCACGGCCTCGGCGTCGCAATTACCTTCTTCATGCGCTCCATGCTCGGCTCCGAGCGTCAGGTCATGGCGGACACGGTCGCAAAGCTGGCAGACTGCGAGGCCACGGCCGCCGCCGACAGCAAGACGGTCCAGCGCCACGCCACGGCCCTCGCCTCCGGCAGGCTGTACCCACCCGGCACCGAGTACGACCTGGTGCGCGCCCAGACGCACCTCATGGGCGCCGTCGTCAGCGTCATGAACGAGAGCATCGTCGAGGCCATGCGCGGCTTCTACAAGCTGCGCAAGGCCTTTGTCATTCTCGACGCCATTGTCGCCATCGAGGCCAGGGCTGCCGACTCTGCTGCCGCCGGGCAGGCTCCGGCACCCGCGGGGGGCAGCAACGGCAAGCTGAAGACAGAAGTCAACGACTCTGAGAGCTCCGGCGACTCGGAGGCCTTTGTGGACGCTCAAGAAACATCGCCACCTGCCATCGTGTCGCCGCCCGTCGAGAGGGCCGAGTCGTCGTCCATTGCAACGACCCCCGAGCCCAACGGCGACAACTCTGGCCCGGACGGCGCGACTTCCTCGCTTCCCCTGAGACCGCGGTCCTCGGCGGCCGTCGACAGCCCCCCCGACCTCGACGACCCCATCGACGAGTTCATCCATTCGGGCACCAATATGTGCTTCGGCCTCCTCCTCCTTGTCCTCAGCCTCGTCCCGCCCTCCTTCTCCCGCATCCTGTCCGTCGTCGGCTTCCGCGGCGACCGCGCCAAGGGCATCCGCCTGCTGTGGCGGTCGGCCGCGCACCACAACGTGCACGGCGCCCTGTCCGGCATGATGCTGCTCGGCTACTACAACGGCCTGCTGGGCGCCGTCGACATTGTGCCCGCCGACGCCGACTACGACGCCGCAGCCGAGAGCGTGGGACCGCCGCGCGAAAAGTGCGCCGCCCTGCTGGCGGACATGCGCGCGCGGTACCCGGCGTCGCAGCTGTGGCGCGTCGAGGAGGCCCGCCTGCTGGCCAGCCGGCAGAGGCTGGGCGAGGCCATCGACGTGCTGCGCCGGAGCGACAAGTCGCAGATGAAGCAGCTGGCCGCCCTCGAAGACTTTGACCTGGCCATGTACGCCATGGTGGCCCAGGACTGGGTCCTGATGCGCGACTCGTTCCTGCGCTGCCAGGAGAGCAGCGACTGGAGCCCGGCCATGTACTACTACTCGGCCGGGTGCGCGACCCTGGAGCTGTACCGGGACGCCGTGCAGCGGGGGGAGGACACGGCGGCGCTCAAAGCCGAAGCCGAAGAGTACCTGCGCAAGGCGCCGCAGGTGGCGGGCCGGAAGCGCGTCATGGCGCGGCAGCTGCCCATCGAGACGTTTCTGCAGCGCAAGGTGGCCAAGTGGGAGGAGCGGGCCAAGCTGCTCGGGGTGGACCTGGCCGACGCCGTCGGGGCCAGCCCGGCGCTGGAGTTGTGCTACGTGTGGAGCGGGCACCGGCGCATGGGTGCGGGTGAGCTGGAGCGGGCCGTCGGATACCTGCGCTGGGAGCGGTGCACGGCGGGCGGGGAGGCGGCGGGGCGCATCTCGGCCGAGGAGGACGAAGGCGCCGTGTGGGCCGTGTGCATGGCGGTGCTGCTGCGGTCGCAGGGCAAGCTGGACGAGGCGAGGGGTGTGCTCGAGGACAAGGTGTTTGCCCATGACCGGTGAGTCGTCTCTCGTCAAGGACCCCCGGAGGAGATGGCTCTTGACTAACACGGCCCGAACAGATCTGTCTTCAAGGGCCCGAATAAGGAAGACTACCTGGTGCCGGCGGCGACGCACGAGCTGGGCGTCATTGCGTGGGCCGAGTGCTGCCGGCCGCCACCGCCGGACAGCAGCATAACGCCGAGGGAGATGGCGGCGTACCGGCGCGAGCGGCTCGACGAGTGCCAGGCGCAGCTGGACAAGGCGCGAGGGTGGGAGCCGTTTTCGCTCGAGGCGCGTCTGGGGATGCGGGTGCAGTGCGGGCTCGAGACGGTGCGGTGGCTACGGCCGAAGCTGGAGGGAGACGGGACGGGTCCGGGATAGGTAGTAACATAGAGTATCCGATAATTAATAGACAATGGAATCGGGAAACACGGAGAGGATCAATAGACGAGGGCCGCGTGGATATCATGCATGTACAGACGAAGAACATGCATGTGACTACTCGGGGAGAATGTCTCATGCTTGATTGCAAGATGGCAGGGTCTAGAGACGGTCCGAAGATGCGATGGGCTCACCTCGTAATACAAGGCACACCTTGGCGGCCTGCTGGCGACACGGGAGGCGCGGAGATTGGGCACAGACAATTGGCCCGGGATGTGCTCGCGCACGACTGTTCTGTGCAGACGGCTCGCCGGCGGCCTGGCGGCATGATGCAATCTCGAGCAGGGAGACAGTCCAAGTTACCAACTTGCCAGAAGGCAGTATGGATTGGATGCATGTATGTATGTATGTACGCACGGCATGTCTGGGCATGGGCACTATATCGTGCATATGCTTATGTACTGTACCCTACAAGACGTACCGATGGCGTGGGGGAAAAGAAAGCATCACTACTCGGTAAGCATGAGCAGGAAGCCATTGTGTGCTGTGCATTCGGGTGAGGAAATGGTCGATGCCCCCGGAAACCCGGCCCGCCGCCGAGGCCCGGGAATCTCGGCGCAGCGGCGCGGGCCTCGGCGAGCGGGCGGGGCGTCTCTATGGGTGCATGTTAGGGGTTTGCCTGTGGAAGCTGCAAGTCGTCATTGTTCCCCATCCAGACTCGGTTCTTTTCCCCCCCTTTGGCTCGTATCTTTTTGTTTGTGCTTCCAAGGCCAACGGGGATCTGCGGGCCAATTTGGGGGACCCGGGTGCCGAAATCAGCGCCTGCTAAGCTGGCATCATGGCCACCTGCCTGTCTATAGAGACGGCTTCAAAGTAGGCGGGTGGCATTGGTCCCAGGCTCGGCATCTGTTCCAGATGCGGGCGGACATTTGAAATGCGGCATAGCGCCGGGGCAAGAGTCGTCATGCGGGAGCACCAGGTGCAGCAGCAGCAGATGGGTGGGTGGGTGGCATCGCTGCGACCTCCCGTGGCGATGACGATGGGGCCTGCAAAAGCCGAAGTGGGTTCCTCTCGGGACAGAAGCAAGGAAGGGAAAAAAAGGAGGCATCGACAGTCTGTGAGTACGGGCGACCAGGCCAGAAGAAGCAGCCGAAAGCCGGTCTCGCCCGCCCAAGACCTGCTGTGCTTTCGAACAAGGAGAGCCTCACCCACTCGCTGTCCGTGCCGTGCAGGCGCCACGCGCTGGTGAGTCCCAAGGGAGCGCGGGTAGCATCAGGGTACCGGTATGTAGGTTGGTGAGGATATGGACATGAATCGTGGATCGCGAAGTATAGGTAAACCAAGCAGACAAAAAAGAAGCAAATGAATAAGTTACAGTGGCGGGACGAACGAAGTCGCCCGGACAAGGGTGGGTGGTGAGTCAGGGCAATTTCGCCGGGCGCCCAATTGTCGCGGCGGTTTGCCCAGGGCCTCATTTCCGGCGTCACACGCTCTCTCCTCTGTCTCTCCACCCATAACGTCACCTCATCCTGAGCTTATGCATATACATAGATAGTACAGGGCGAGACGGCACAGTACGAGACCCTTGTCCAGATATCTACTCATGAAAGATGGCGAGAACAAAGTCTCTTTTTTTAGCCTCGAGAAAAAGGGGTGTCGAGCCGAGACGGTGGAGAGATGACAGGTGACAGCGTCTCTTGAGCACCCTGGCGCCCGAGCGGCCCCTGCGCTCGACTCTTTTGTCGATGCATTTGCCGCGTCACTGTTCGCCGGCACAGCAATGGTGTATTTGCGCTGCCTTTCGTTTCGACTTTCCGGCGTCTTCCTCTCCGTCTCTCGCCAACCGTCGTGTCATGCCATTAAGCGCTGTTCGTGTAAGCGCTGTCACGGGGCAGTGGGCGCCTTGCGGACAGACAGACAGGACAAGTAGCCGGTACTTGGACCGCCCAGAGTCAGTAATGCACGCCCCCCCCCCCCCCCCCCATCACGCCCTGGAGCCCCCCAGCCTACAGGGGAGAGCGCCCCAGGGACCCGGTCGGCCGTTCCCACTCTCCACCCTCTCCAGGGCGCCAAATTGGCTCGCCTCCATCACGCGCATGTAGACGATACTTGGACGCCAGGGGAAATTCATCCCATCTTGGTCAAACGACGGCATCTCGTCGGCATCCACCGAACTCCTCCCTCCCTCGCACTCTCCCTCCATCTATCCGTCCCATCCGTCCCATCCGTCCGTCTGCCCATCCGTCGTCCATCCATCTCGACAGCTCCGTCATCGCCAAGCAGCAGTCGGCGCGAAGAAAAAGAGGGGTGCCGTGCCCGGCCAGACTCCATCGCCCAGACCGCCCTGAACCTGAGAATCCTTGACCTCTCTCCCAACCGGGCGGTGCAGCCGACCGACGACGCAAGGCCAAACTCTCCTCTGGCACGCCCCCCTGTCCGGGCGCGCGACTTGTTTGTTTGCCGACGAGGAAGACGACGGGAAGACGACGGGAGGACGACGGGAGGACGACGGGAAGAGAGAGAAGGGAGAGAGGAATAGGATCAACGCAGAACAACACCTTGCCGGTCCACCGCGCGTCAGCTGCGAACAAAGCAAGAAAGAAAGGAAAAGGAACACACGCCCGCCCGGGCTGCGTACGTGCGTTTTTTGGCCTCGCCCAAAGCAGCGGCCGGGTGCAGGAATAGTCTTGGCTTTAGGGAGCGGTTAGCACCAACTGCCATGGACGTCACCTGTGCGCCCCCCAGCGCCGCCGGCTTCCCCCCAACGTCGACCCGCCATCGTCGCCCTCGGCAGCAAAACCATCGCCTCGGCCGCCACCTCAACCTCAACATCGACGCCGCCCTCCTGCCCCGGCGCAGAAGCCGCAGCAACAGCAGCAGCAGCAGCCCCTCCACCAGCAGCTGCAGTAGCGCCTACGGCACCGACCATCGTCGCGCCGCCGCCCACCGCCTCGAACAGCAGCAGCAGCAGCAGCAGCAGCCGCACCACCACCACCACCACCAGCCGCACCACCACCACCACCAGCCATCATCATCATCATCACCATCACCCTCACCCTCAGCCGCACCCGTACCCGTCGAGCCCTCCCGCACCTCCCATCCTCGTCGCCGCCGTCATCGCTCCCCACAGCCCGCCGCCCCCTCCGCCGCCTGCACCCCGCCTTCGTCGGCAACGCACCACCACCCAAGCCCCGAGGTCATCTCAAACCTCATCACAAGCCTTGCCGCCGTCTCCCCCCCCTCGGCCGGCGGCTACTTCGACTCTCGTCACTCCTCCGCCAGCCTCATCCTCCCCGACCCCGCCGCCTGCCCCAGTCCCCTCCCCTCGTCGGGCAGCTTCGGCGTTGACTACGGCGCCTACAACCGCCCCAGCCTCGATCACCCCGCCCGCGAGCCCCTCTCCCTAGACGACCTCGCCGCCTGTCCCCCCGTCATCCGCACCGCCAAGCCTCCGAGCGGCTTTTCCCCCCTCACCGCCGCCCCCGCCCGCCACAGCTCTCACGACAGCGTCTCGGGCCTGCGCTCCTTCATCCGCAGCAGCAGCACCACCGCCTCCCGCCCCTCCTCCCGGGGCTCCGCAGTCTCCAAGAATGACGATGCTCACAGCATCGGCAACCTCTCGATAGAACGCGCCTCCGCCCTGACCCCGGACCTTAAGCCCCGCCGCTCCCTCGACAGCTGGGGTAGAAAGGCCGCCCGAGGCGCCAAGGGGCTCAAGTACATGACCTCCCGGGAACGACTCCGCGAGAGGGATCTAGACAGGAAGCGCGCCTCGGCCGGGAGCAGCCCCGTCCCCGGCCAGGTCCCCGGCATCGTCCTCAGCCCCGGCGACGGCCCCACCGAGGCCCCGAGGCCCGACCCCTTGTTCGCCGAGACGGCCATCCGCGGGGAGCTGAGCGTCTCCGCCGCCGACCAGCGCGGCATGGCTAGCCCCAACCCCATCCCCTCACGAGACTCGAGTCTGCGGACCCCGACCTCGCGTCGAAAGCGTCTCGGCCCCCGCCACTCCACCAGGGACGGCGAGCACCCCTGGGGCGACGCCATTCTCGAGGATGACGAGCATTCGCGCGCCCGAGCGCATGACCCGTTCGAGTCGGAAATGACGGCCATGGCCGACAAGTCGTTTCTCCTCGGGCTCGAGGACGAGTTTCCTACGCCGCCCCGGACCACCCCGGCGGCGAGCAGGCAGGCCCGCCCTCGCACCCGCCCCAAGGAGCACGCCGTCGAGCGCGACGACGAGAGCGCTCCCTATCCCTCTGTTTCTAGTGGACGCCGGCGCGCCGAGCACAGTACCGAGCGCAGTGGCAGCCGCGTCTCGGGCAGGCAGAGCCCTGCGCCCCGAGACGCCCTCAAGCTCAAGCGCAGCAGCTCCAAGCTCAAGCGGCTCTCGGCCGGGCCCCTGAGCCCCCGCAGCGAGTCGCGTGTCAGCGCCGCCTCCCCCGAACCCTCGCATGCCGCATCACCTCCTACCGGCAGCGAGCGGCCCGGCTCGGCCGACTCGGTCGACGACGCCGTCGAGTCCTATCTCTGCTCCCCGCGCCTCTCCCAGAAGATCCGGCACCCCCAGACCGGCCGCGTCATCTCCTTTTCCGAAGTCGGCGACGCCAATGGGTCCGCCGTCTTTTGCTGCGTCGGCATGGGCCTGACGCGGTACATTACCGCCTTTTACGACGAGCTCGCCCTGACGCTCAAGTTGCGCCTCATCACCCCGGATCGGCCTGGCGTGGGCGACAGCGACCCATACTCGGACGGCACGGCCACGCCCCTAAGCTGGCCAGGTGAGTAGCTCTGCCAAGTCCCCTGCCTCGGACCCTTGGGCTAACGGAAGCTTGCTCCGCAGACGACGTCTATGCCATCTGCCAGGCCCTCAAGATCACCAAGTTTTCCATCCTCGCCCACTCGGCCGGCGCCATCTATGCGCTCGCAACGGCCCTACGCATGCCTCAGCACATCCGAGGGCGCATCCACCTCTTGGCGCCCTGGATCCCGCCTTCTCAGATGAACGTCTTTGGCTCGACGCAAGCAATGCCCCCGACCAACGCCATCCCGACGTCCCAAAAGATTCTGCGCGCGCTGCCGACTCCCATCCTCAAGGCGGCTAACTCGAGCTTCATGACGGCCACGAGTAGCTCTATCACGAGCTCCCTGCCCAAGAACCCGCGGCGGACGAAGCGCAAGGCGACGCTCAGCAAGGACCTCAACGCGGCCCCGGGCCGTAACGCGACGCCCATGCTCGACGCCGACAGCCTCGGACAAGGGGCCTATGGAAGGGATGACGAGGGCGTGCCAGGGCCCCCGACTGCGACGGAGAACATGGACCGCATGCAGCCTCCTCAAGGGGCCATTGGCGCGACGTTCGCCCCGGTGGCCGACCGAGAGCGGCAGATGACGTACGACACGCGACTGACGCACGCGATTTGGGAGCTGGCGACGACGGGGGCCAACCCGGCCGTCGACCTGCTCGTGTGCCTCGAGCGGCGACACACGATTGGGTTCCGCTACGTGGACATTACGCGGCCCGTCGTGATCCACCACGGCAGCCGGGACACGCGCGTGCCCGTTGACAACGTCAAGTGGTTGGGCAAGACGATGCGGCGGTGCGAGGTGCGGGTGCTCGAGGGCGAGGGCCACGGGCTCATGGCGAGCGCGGGGGTCATGGGCTCGGTGCTCATGGAAATGAGCAAGGAGTGGGAGGACTGGATGCGGGCGACGGGGGCGGATGGGAGGAAGGACCGTGACCGGGCCAGGCGCGCGACGCTCGTGGCTAGATGATTTCCCGGGCGCTGTCGGTGGATGAAGGCGGCTTTGAGGCGTTACGGGTGGTGCTGTTGTTTCGGGGGAGGTGCATGCGCCTAGATCCGCGGGTTGGTCGCAAGTGTTGTCGGCCTTTTACAGATGAAGAGTACGAGCCAGAATCGACATGGGTCAGGCGAGGAGTGGGCGTCTTGTAATGTAATCGACTTTTGACTATCGCATGATATTACCGCCAAGTAAATGGAGGAAATGACTGGCAGAACACCCTTTCCGTGTCCATTCCTTTGCCCTCTTCTCTCATCACATTTGATGGATGACGCTCGAGGTTGGCGACATGGCTTCCGACCGCCTGCGTCGGGGCCATCTCTATCTCATCGTTCTCTCCCCGTCGGGCCTACCATTAATTACAACAAGCCTTCATTTCTCTCCAACACTCATGACCCCCCGCCCTCGTCCACCAACGCCCTGGTCCAGTCGAACCGGCGCCATCCCCGGCGCCAGGCCTCGACGCGCGCAGAGTCGGCACCCGGGACCCAGCGGCCCTGGCGGCGCGCAACGTCGGGCTCGGCGCCGACGACGGAGGCGAGGACTTCGCGGGCAAACAGGTCGCCGCGGGGCCAGCGGCGCGGGTCCTCGACGACGTGGCCCAGGCCGCCGTCGAGGGCGAACCAGGCGTGGAAGTAGGGCATCTCGCGGGCGAGCGAGCGGCGAAAGGCGGCGCGGCCGAGCCCGCCGTCGCGCGCGCGGGCCAGCGTGTCGATGACCTTGGGGTGCTGCGCCCACTCCTCGTCGGCGGCGAGCATGGCCTCGCGGAAAAAGGCGGGCGCGACGGCGCCCTGGTCGTAGGGGACGGGCACGGCGGCCATGGCGGCGTGCGGGCGGCGGTGTGGATGAGCCGCGTTTTCGTAGAAGACGACGTCGCGGCCCTGGTCGTGGTACATGCGCGTCAGGCTCTTCATGAAGTTGCGCACCTCTTCCCACTCGTCGTCGTCGCACTCGAGCAGGTTTGCGCGGTGGGCGAGCGGGACGATGACGGCGCCGCCCTCGCTGACCTCGGGCTGCGTCGCCAGCGTCAGGAAGACGCGCGTGCCCAGGGCCACGACGGGCGCCGCCGGCGGGTGGCCGGCGTCCTCGTCGTGACACAGTGGGCACCGGTCGAGCGCCCGCGTGGCGCGCTGCACCTCGGCCACGGCCATGTTCTTGAGGCTGATCTCGCTCTTGTGCACCCGCCGCGCCAGCCGCGCCGCGTTGTCGTCCATGTACTCGAGGCTGTCGGCGAACCGCCCGTCCCTGGCGATGCGCTCTGCCAGCCGCATGCCCTCGCCGCCCGCCTGGCCCTTGGTCCGCCGCTCCTCGCGCACCATGTCGTCAATGGTCATGTCGTCGTTTTCCTCGACGGCGCCGCGCTCCCGGCCCCGCCGCGTCGTCACGGCCTTGACCTCGCCGCGCGGGCCCGCCAGCTGCCGGCTCTCCATGACGCCCAGCACGACGGCCTCGGGCGCGACGGGCTGCGATGCCTGGGCGGCGGCGGCGCGGTTGTACTCTTGCTCAAGCTGGGCGGCGTCGGGCGCCCGGCGCAGCTTGGCCTTCATCGTCTGGGCGCGCAGCCTGTTGAGCGCCGTCCTGTCCGTGGCGGGCGCCACCACCATCTCGTCGGGGATGACGGCTCCCTGCTCTGGCTGATGGTCTGAGCCCGGGTTCTGCTCCTCGGCGGGCTGTTTCCGCTGCCGCTCGCGGGAGAGCTCGCCTGTCGGTTTTTCGCGTTCCTTGTAGCCGGTTCCATAAATGCACCTCCGCGCTAGCTCGGCCTTTTCCTCTTGCGCGTCATCGTACTCCTCCAGGCTGCCGTACCGCTCGACGGCCACGTCCTCGACTGAGCGCCCGGTCTCCTCGGCGGTCTTGTGAACGGTCTTGAGCTTGGTCATGCGCCACGAGGAGCCCGCGTCGCCAAATGTGTAGTCGACAGTCCGCTTGGAGGGGAGCGGGGGATGTGCCTCATCGTCAAGCGCTTGCAGAGAATGGTTGAGCTCGCGGTGGTGAATGACGCGCTTGGGCTCGTCGGTCGGGGGCTTGGGCTTGCTGCGGTTGGATCGGTGGATGTGCTCGACGTCCAGGGCCGAGGGCGCCGTCATCCACGCATCGCGCACAAGTGGTTCAGAGGACTTGGACTGGCCGACGGGGTCCTGGGTCCGGGGCTTCTCGTCGTCGGGACACGGCAGGTCTTGCTTTGGATCCGATTGCTTGTCGTGTCGATGGGTGTGCCGCAATCGGTGATGTCGTCGGTGGCCGTCATCGGCATCGTCTCGAGAACGGCGGCTTCGCTTGTGTCTATGGCCGTCGTCGTCGTCGTCGTCGTCGCGGTCCTGTCTCGAATAACGGCGATGGCGGTCTCTGTCCCCGCCCTTGTCTCCATCCTCGTTCCGATCCAAGTCGTCGTGCCGGTGGTGACGACGGTGGTGGTGCCGGTGCTTGCGGAGCTCCTGGCGCTCGCGGTCGGCCTTTTCGGCAGCGAGCGTCTTTTCAAACTCGTCGAGCCCGTCCATGGTGTGGGGATCTGGGGATGCGGCTGTTGGGAGGAAGACGAGCCTGGTGGTTTTGGAGACGTAGGCTGAGGTTGAGTCAGGCTGACTGGAAAGACGGGTGGGGCTACCACTGTCAGCATGTACGTACTAGTAGGTGCTGGTCGTCCAACCTTTGGCGGCGAAAAGAGCGCTGAAGGGCTGCAGTTAGGTTACCTATGAAATACTATGAAATTCTATGAAATACTGTGAAATGCTATGAAATACAATGAAATACTATGGAAGAGATTTGACGTAATACTCAAGGTATGTACCAAGTGTAAAGAAACAAATGGATGTCGTGTCGTGTCGTTAATCCTCATTTTCCCACCTCTTGTCCCTGCCACGTGACTTTTCGCTTCTCGTGACCAGCCTCGGCTCCAGCTCAACTTTGACTTTGCCCCAAGCCTTCAGAGCGCGGATGCTGTTGGTCCGCTGCCCAAGCCATGCGACTCTCCCCCTCTCTTCCTGCACGGCCTGCGACGTTGCATTCAGCCTCTTGATCTGCCGACGATGCCTCCATCCGCCAGGATTGCCACGCCTTGGCCAACGACGGATGACCGGGGCAAAAGACAGCTCCCCCGTCCTGTCCGCGTCGTGGCCGTCCGGACGAACCCCGCTCTTGGATATTCAGATCGCTCCACGGTCCACAGGTGGACCCGGCATCCTCCAGAGCTCGCTTGCACAGCCGGAGTCTAGCCTCGGAACGCGCGCCTCGCGCGCCTGGAATCGACTCGAAAGATGGTCTTGACGGCCGCGTGGTCCGACGTCCACTCGTTGTCCTTGTGGTTCGGCTCGGCCTTGGGCTGGCCCACAACCTCTGTCTTGGAGTCGAGCGTCTTCAGGCCCTTGTGGTAGACAAAGTCGATGCGGTCCATGGGCTCCGGCCGGTTCTCGTTTTGCAGAAAAATGGGCGACCAGGTGTTGCCCGCCTCGGCCAGCGGATCCGGGTGCATTTCGCGGAACGAGTCAATCATGCCCGCCTTGGTCGGCTCCTCGGAGCTGGGCCACGGCACGTTGCCCACGTTGCAGTGGATGTTGCGCGTCGCCTCGGTCCAGTCGAGGTGCGACGGCGAGTTGAAGTCGCCCGTCAGCACCACCGGTACCTTGTCGGCGTTGGCGATCTGCCCCTTCATCCGGTCCACAATCTCGACTATCTGCCCCGTGCGTCCCGAATCTTTCTCCCGCTGCAGCACCTGGTCCACGCTCTTCTTGTCGAAGCAAAAGTCGTACGGCCCGTACGGGTTGAAGCCCAGGTGCGCGTTCCACACAATCACCTGGCTCTCCTCGCCATCGAGAGCCACCCGCACCGCCCCGGCCACCGCCGTCGCGGGAAACACCTCGGCGATGGGATAGCGGCTGATGATGCCCACATCGGGCCCCTGCCACGCGTTCCAGCCCAGAGCCTGGCCCAGCCGCGTCGCCTGCCCGCCGTTGCTCTCCTGGAACCCAACGATGTCGACGCCGGTGCCGCTGAGGTACCGCACGTGCTTGCGATGCGAGTCGTTGACGTTGCTCCCGCCCATCCAAATGTTAAAGGACAGCACACCGAGTTCGTCCACCATCGGGGACCCGGTCTTGCGCACGGGAATCTTAACCTTGAGCTGTGCCTTGGACCCGTTGGACCCCGTCGCCTCGACCGTCACGCGCGTCTCGCCGTCGGCGTTCGGCGTTCCGGAGAGCATCCCGTCTGTCGACACCTGAACCCAGTTACTGGCCACGTCACCCTCGGACGCAACCTTGGCGAACTTGGTGTTGGCATCGGGCTGGTTGTCGATGAGGCCCTTGACCTTGGCCTCAAACTTGTCGCCCGCGCGGGCGTTTTGCGTTGTGAAGTTCTGGACGATGAAGGACATGGCACCCTGACCGGGCACGACCACATCAATGGGGCCCGCCAGCTTGCCCCACTCGTTCTTTGCGAGCAGGTAGGCGTTATAAGTGCCTGGCTCCAGGTTCGAGGCCGACACCTGGACGCTGCCCTTGCTGTCGGGGGCGTACTCCCAGGCCAAGGACCGGGCAACCCACTTGCCGTTGTCGGGGGCGCCAAAGTACGGGTTGTAAATGCCGACCCAGTTGGTTGAGTCGCGGCTCGGCGTGGAATAATTAAACGTCAAGGGGGGCTTGCCCGAGGCGACCGAGAGCGTGCTGTCCTCGGCCGCGGCAGGGGCGGCCAAGAGAGAGGCCATAAGGCCAAGGGTGGCCGCGGCGAGGGATGAACGGAGAGAGAACATGGGAAGGGCGAGGATGGTCTTGGATATGGGCTCGAGCTGGGCAGAAGTGGTCTGGTCCCGAAAGAAGAGAGCGTGGTTGGTCTATCGCTCGTCCCGTGAGCTTGGCCGGAAGTCGAGGCGGCCCAGGGTCCTTTTAAAGCCGGCCAGCCTCTCTCCGTTTCAACTACCGGGGGCCATGGTCTTCCGACCAGGCTCATGACGGCCGGGCATCCCATGATGGGGTCGGCAGGGCCCACTAAAAGACCGCAGAGCCAGCCTTTTGGCTCTATGCTATGACTTGCAGCCGAAGCAACCTGCCTCATTGGCGCCACCAGCTCCGTCGAGCCAGCTCCGTCGAGCCAGCTCCGTTGAGTCGCGCGTCTGCGGTTGCCGCAGGGTCGCGACAGGGGGCTTGGGAGCGCCCCACCAGAAGGTCGGATCACAAGAAGATTGACTGGGGAAAGCGGATGGCAATAGCCATGCTGGGAGTAGTTATCTGGGTCATTTAGGTTCGACCAGAGTCGCGCCCACGTGTTCGCCAAAGGACGACCCGGCTTGGATATTACGGAGCACGGAGTTGCCGCCAACGCTACCCAGATCCCACCCCCTTTCTTTCCCTTGCCGGAAGAAGCAATATCTCGACAATGGCTCATGAACCGGGCGGATGACGGGAAAAGCCCACGTGCTGCCGAGAGAGGTCCAGAGAAGCCTCTGCCGTCTGGCGAAAGAGAGCGACATGGACATGCACGTGTGTGCGTGTGTGTCCTACGTGAAGTCATGGGCCACGGCCACAGGCGTTTAGCCCGGCTTGGCTCGGGCGCCATCCCCGGACGCTGCATCGGAGGGCTGACATGGGGCCACAGCGGCGCCTCCAGACACCTCCAGACACCTCCAGACACCTTAAATAAAGGCTTGTTGTGCGTCGGCCCTGATTGGCCTTTTTGCACCGGGGGGTTGGGGAAGGGGGGAAAACAAGACGAAGGCTAAAAGGAAAGCCGAGAGAGTGGGTTGAAGATGAAACGCGCTCGGCTCAGCGACGAGGCCCTGAGCTTCAAGGCGCTTGTTCCAAGGGGTCGCCATGCCTCAGATTCATGACAGTCAAGGCGGCCTTGGACTGGCGGCCCTTCCGTCAAGGCCGCCACAAGCCCCACAAGCCGCCCGTTGTGCCGCCCGTTGTGCAGCTTCCTGGCGAATCGCCATCTGCCCGTCAGCCACGCGCGTGGAGGCGTGCGGTGATTGACGCGACATGGCCGGTCAAGTTGACGTGATGCCGGTGGTGGTTGTCTTGCCGAAGGGGGGGTCATTCTTGGCCATGTCATCGTGTGACGGCCCGCGGTGTGTGGCATCAATCTGTGGACGGTCGATATCGCCGGTGCCGTGCATGCATGCAGGAGACGATGGCAGGGAGGGGAGGATTGCCGGCCAGGGCCCCTTGGATGCCGGTGTGGACTCGGGCGGGCGCCCGGAGCGGCTCCAAGACGGCCAGCCCCCCCACATGCCGATCGCCGCGTGGCCCTAGATTAGATGTTGGGAGCGCCGTCTATCCTATCTTGGATGCCCGATGGTACTGGACTTGGGCCTGGGACCCGGTGAAGCGGGCGTTGCACTCTGCGACACGGGACGACGAGACAAGCCGCCACACTTGGTTGACGACAGCCGCCTACGCGTGGGGGCAGCTCGGGGCTGCGAGGAGACATGTGCCTGCAGTTCGCATCAATCTGTAGACGCAGGCGACGACTCTGTTTTGCCCCGAGGGCGAATGGGCGACGCACTGCACCAGTGCTCCAGCTTGTGGGAGCCGCGCGCCTGTTTGAGCACGGGTGGCCGTGACTGGAGCGTGGGCTACTATGAATACCTCTTGCTTTACGTGTGTACAGTACAGGAGTCGCAGGCCACGTCTGATCCACTCGCCATGGCTGTATAGACGGGGTGGTGAGGTTCTTGGAGTATGCAGGGCACAGTTCAATGCGTCCAACATCGAGGTTGCATGGCTGCAGTGGCACATCCATAAACGGACGAGGACGGGTAACGTTTATAGACGGACAAAGGTCTTGACAACACTACTGTACAGTATGCGAGAGGAGAAGTAAAGTCAACAACACCAAGGTGGTGCTACTCGGCGTTGCCTCGGACGGTGAAGTTGACGGGCATTCCTCGCCGAACATATGATAACTCACCCATTCACGGAGCCGCGGTTGCTTTGCCGCACGACTGCGTCCTTCACCTCCCACTGCCACCGAATAGTGGCATGTAGGATGCAGGATATCCATGTGTATCTAAGTCATGTGTTGTTCGAACCTGTTTCGACAGCCATTGAGAGCACCACGTGGCGGCAATCATCTGCCGCCCCCACGGGACACTGCGCGGGTCTGGGAGGTCTCTCAAGGCTTGACTTGCATGCAATCGGTGTGCGCGCATAAGTGTATGCGCGTCGTTTCTCCGCCATTTGCATGAGTCCCAGGGGGATCCGCTTGGTCAAAGAACACCGAACACCCCATCAGTCCATGGAAAGTCTGTTGACGACTCTGGACAGGAGCGAGTAACTCGGCTTTGCGGCTTTTCCTTCGGCTCACATGCACGTCGTCGAGAAGCGGGAAGACAACATCAACCGGGCATCAACGTGGAGCGTTTCCCTGCTGCCATGTCGACTAGGCTCCAAGTCGGCAACATTGGAACGGTAAACCGGGGCGCATTGAGCACTGAGCGGTTCAGCGCGGCATGGCGAATTCTTCAAGACTCGGCCAAGGCTGGTAGAGGTGAGCAGTGTTATGGCGACTGGTAATGATGCCTGGTGGTTGGGCAGCGTCGCAATGCCGCGAGTTTGCCCGATTGGACAAGCAAATAAAGGCGAGGACGGACGCAATCGTCTTGTTTGCCGGCTTGCTTGATTGTGCCCCATCGTATCTGGATTTGATTTATCCCGTCGGGTAGCCGCTCCCTCTGTGCGCTCGACTGTAGCCAACACGGCTCAGCCGCTGTTGGGGCCGTCGTCTCAACATGGAGCCAAGGTTGGCACGATGCCATTCATGGGATGCCGCATCATAATCTGGGCACTGGCATCGTTTTATCCATAACTGCTGCCCGCCCCCATCGGCCACTCCGGCGTCCGGTGCGAGACGAGGCGCCTGTTGCAGCTGCTGCTCGACCTGTGCTCGCCGCCGCCTCCGGGTCTGGACGGACTTGATCTCTCCTGCGAGCAACTCGAAGCTCTGGCATAACGCTTGCTACATCTTTGGGTCGAGGACAGAGCTGGAAGAGCCAAGGACCCCGGCAATTGGCACAACTTACAAGCGTCGCCGCGAACTGCCTCGGCCCTGCCAGGGTCGAATCATCAGCGACGGCTGGGCTGCAATGGCTTCAGTCTAGAGAGCTTCTGGCCGGCCTCGTCATTACTCGTTGTGCGAAAACCAAAACATGGTGCGCCATGAAAAAGAAGCTTGCGCCTGGAAAATTCGTCCTCGTCCCCCTGTTGTGCGGCCATCAACACACCCCACACAGTTGTCTCAACCAGGCACCACTCCTCCGGGACGAAGCAGCGGTCTTTGGTCTTGCATTGAAATAATATTCGTACTTGGTACCCGCTGTCTCAAGCAAGCAGGACAATGGCGGAAGAGTCGCTCGAGTCTCGTCGTTCGCCCCGGCCCTTTGTGTCGAATCGAGGCAAATGGCCGAGAGCTTTCATGCCCCATGTGCCCCATGCTTGCAAACGAAACCGTTAGATGGCCAGTGTTTTCTTCAGCGGGAACTGCAGCAATGCTGCAGCCTGCAAGAACACGTCACTGAAGACGGTTTCTGTTGTGATGCATTGAACGACCAGTACGTCTGTTCGAAGCTCTCGTGGCTCGGGGCTGTACTACTGAAGGCCCGAATATCCTACTGCGGCTGTTCAAAGTCCCTGTAGTCCAAGGCTGTATTGTTGGCACCCTCGGATGGGTCTTGGAGCTTCGGGGCATAACATGAAGACGACGCCAACGACGCCGGCCATTTTGTGGGCTCGGCATCTTGCATGTGTTGGGGATGGACCCGTGTGAGTCCAGCCCCCCCGGTTGAACCAACAGCAGTCGTAGCCAAGACCGGGTGGCCTGAATCTGGGCCGCGAATCCCCAGGCGAGACTATGAACATTGAAGCTTAGGACGCATGTTTCCATCTCCTCTACGTGACTTCTCCCGAGCTTCAAGGCACGCATTGGACTTTTATTCCTCGGCGTAAATCTCAAGTTCTCCCCTGAACACGTCTGGTCTAGAGGTATGCCCGGAAGAATGGGCGACTATCCTGGCGTGGCTCGAGCCCATGGCCGCGCCGATCCGGCCATGTCGTGACGACACGGGAGCACTGCAGCCCTTTGGATCGTGCCTCAAGAGTGGGTTCGTCCGTCGTTGTGCGTCAGCAGCCAACGGGCTTGCAGTGCGGTGAGGAGAACGGAGATGACGGCGCCGCCACGGGGCAAACATGAGGGGTTTTTGCTTGTTTTAACCTCTATTAGGAAAGTGCTTAAAGAATGGGAGGCGAAATGGCAAGGCGGTGCCGGTTTGCCATCATTATTAATGTCCCTTTGCCTGTTCATGCCGGCATTCGGCACCGGCTCACGGCCTCGACCGAGAGTGGCGGGACAGGGATCCTCTCGCAGCATGCGGGGATAGACTCGAGCATTCATCTGTCCGTATGATACGGAGTGCCCCAGCCCGAAGACTCGGTGGAATGGAGGGCTCTCTCGGCGAGCGCGCTGGACGGACGGACGGGAGGGCACTTGAAGTAGGAAGAGTCCAGGCCCACTTGAAGCTTCAATGGTTGGGCGTTGCACGACACGAGGACGTGTCTGTGAAGAAGCCGTGACGGAAGGCAGGCCATCTGGACGAAGACGAGAAGCGTGATGCGATGGCGTGCCGTGCTGTGTCCATCCGATGCATGCAGGTAAGGTAGGAGGGCGTATCAGTTTCCGCGATGACGACTGGACTCGGGGCCGGCAGAGTCAAGGCCCCCCCATCTTCCCGTCGTCCGTTTATTCACTGACCCCAGCAGTCCTGAGGTGTCTGTGCATCCGGGTGCAGACCTGTGATCATAGCGCCGGCAAGATCGACGGGCTGCAGCACATACACACACACACACACACACATACACACATATACACACACATACACACACACATACGCACACACGCCCATGGAAATCTGGGCCCTTTCGTCTCGCCGCCATGTGGAATAAATAGAGGACGGTGCCGCGGCCGCAAAAAGGAGGAGCACGCTTCTCGTATACTCACTCTCACTGCTCCCAGGCTTGCGCTGGCCTCGACACCGGACAGACTGGCCGCCTACCTTGTTTGCCATCGCAGCCAGCTCAGATCAGCCGCAGCATGAAGAGCCAGATGCTCGTGCTGTCGCTGCTGTCGCTGTGGGCGACGGCGGCCTCGGCGCGCGTCACGCAGGCCGACCAGTTGCTCCAGAGACTGCACGGCGGCTTTGCGACGGGCCTCGACGCGCGGCATGAGCATGGGTTCTCATCGGCCAGGAATATGCACCGTCGAGCCGACTCGGCGCACCGGTTCCTCAACCATGCCACCAAGGGCGAGTCTCCATGTTCACTGCCTCTCCTTGACTCGATGCGGCATTGGTCTCTTCAAATCGCCGCTGGTGGCTGACTCGCTTTGAAGAATTCGTCGTCAACGGCACGGGCATCCCGGACGTCGACTTTGACCTCGGCGAGTCGTATGCCGGGCAGCTGCCCATCAGCGAAAAGGCCGATGAGAGGGACCACATGTTCTTCTGGTTCTTTCCCACGGCGAACGAGGAGCACCGGGAGACCAAGGAGATTGTGATTTGGCTCAACGGAGGCGTAAGTAAACCAGTCCCACCTGTCCGTGGCCGTGTAAACCGACTACGTATTTCACGGTTACGGCTGGAGCGTCAATGATCAACAATCATGGAACACGAATATTAACGCGTCCTGAAAGCCCGGATGCTCGTCTCTCCTTGGCCTTCTCCAGGAAAACGGCCCCCTTCTCTGGCAGCCCGGCCTGCTCAAGCCCGAATCCAACCCGTGGAGCTGGCACCTCCTGTCCAACATTGTCTATGTCGAGCAGCCCGTCACCGTCGGCTTTTCCCAGGGCAACGCCACGGCCAAGGACGAGGACGACGTGGCCAGGCAGTTCCTCGGCTTCTGGAAGAACTTTATGAGCACCTTCGGCATGCAGGGATACAAGGTCTACGTTGTGGCCGAGTCCTACGGCGGCTTCTACGGCCCATACATCTCGAGCCACATGGTCGACGCCAACGACAACCGCTACTACGACCTTGGAGGCCTGATGATCTACGACGGCATCATGTTCAGCGACGTCGTGCAGTCGGGCGTCATCATCGAGAGCTTCGTGGAGCAGCACCGCGACCTGATGCCGCTCGACGATGCCACCATGGAGCGCATCCACAACATCTCCGAGAGCTGCGGCTACACTGACTACTACGAAAAGTATCTGACATACCCGCCCGCAGGCCCGGCGCCCCGGTTCCCGCCCGGCGTCAGCGTCTTTTCCAACGGCTCCTACGTGCCGCACAAGGAGTGCGAGCCGCTCTTTGCCGTCGTATACGAAGCCATGCGTAAGATCAACCCGTGCTTCAACATCTACAACATCCGCGCAGGCTGCCCGCAACCATATGATCCGATAGGCAGCACCGACCCCTACTTCGACCGGGCCGACGTGAAAAAGGCCATCAACGCGCCCGCCGGTGTGACCTGGTCCCAGTGCGTCAACGGCGTCTTTAACTCGTCGACGGGCGACCAGTCGTTGCCCCCAGACAAGTACGAGCTGCCCAACGTCGTAGACACGACCGAGAACGTCATCATCGCCCACGGCTCCATGGACTACATCCTGCCCCTCGACGGCGTTCTCCTGGGCCTGCAGAACATGACGTGGGGAGGCAAGCTGGGCTTCCAGACGACCCCGAGCGACCCCTTTTACGTGCCGCGGTACGGCTACAACAACTCAGACGGCAGCACCTTCTACGGCGACAACCTGCCGGCGGGATCCGGCGTGCAGGGCACCACGCACCACGAGCGCGGGTTGACGCTCGTCGTGACGCATCTCGCCGGGCACGAGGGGCCGGAGTATGCGGCCGCCTCAGCCTTTCGGCACCTCGAGAAGCTCCTCGGCAGGGTCAAGAGCTTGAGCGGCACGGAACCCTTTACTCTCCCGGAGCTGCGAAGCATTGCCCAGATGGAGAAGCCGCTTGGCAAGGGTACCGTCAAGATTCCGTTTCGGGGCAATGGCTGTTGAGTAATGTCCATGACAGGCCTGGGAGCAGCAACATTGGTGCTATGCGTATTACGTGAATGAAGAGCACGACTATGACGAAAATGAGCTGGCACGGCATGGGTGGCAGCATGGAGTGTCGTCACCCGAGTGGGCAGCAGCATATAGATTGCAACAACAGAGCCAAGTCGAGCATTCTCGCCGCGGCCCGTCCCCCATGAATGCGGTGACTTGCTTTGAGCACAGTGAGGGCGACAAATGGTGTGGAACTTGAACCGTTATGCAGATGTGAGTGTCCAGAAGCCGGACAAGGACGCGAAACCTGGACAATGCGTGAGGACAAAATAGGAGCAATGTACAGCTATGAGCTCTGTAGACTTGGCAATGAAAATGCCAACTGACATTTGCTCTGGAACTAATAGTCGAATATAGACAATAAACCGCACGCAGAGTTGCAGTGCAAGAAACCGGCCCAGCGGTGCAAGAATTAAGTCAGGTTCAACACGGGGAGCAAGCCTTCCTCCTGGGCCTTTTCAACGGCGTCGTCGTACGCCTTGACAGCCTCAGCGTAGGCCTGGCTGTATTCGGCGTCGCGCTTGCTTTCGACTGAGCCGCCAAAGGTCTTGACGGCAAGGTAGTAGATATCGGCCAGTCTCTCGCAGGATGACTTGGCAGATACCTGTTCGCACTGAAAGTACAAGCTTGAAGACAAAATATGACATGTCAGCAACTCGGATATGGTGGTTTCGGAATGTGTCTCACACCCCGGTGAGACAGCTGTCAAGCAAGATTCAGGAGAGAGAGAGAGCATGGCAGTAGCCAGGGCATCAAGGGACACATACTCGGTCTTGAATTGAATGTCAATCCTGTCCTTGTTGTCTTGGTTGAAGCGCCGTTGCTTGCGGAAGTTGCGGTAGCCAAAATCGTGACGATGACAGCCGGGCAGGAAGGGGAATCCAAAGGGATTGTTGGGCGAGGCCGTGCAGCCGTCCGAGCTCCAGTCGAGGCTGGGGGGATCTCGCCTGTTGCGCCGCGCAGTAAAGCTAGGTAGCGTCAAGGTAAACGCGAGCTTGTCGGTGATGGCCTGGAGGCTCTGACGCCTGATGGCCTGAGGGGGCACGACGGCAGCCGGGACGGCCAGGGCCGCCGAGACGAGAGCGAGGATAACGGCGACGAGCTTCATGGTGGCCGTGCGGCGAAACAAGACGACACCTAAAGAGTTAGAATTAAGCGGCTGTGCTGTCGAACTCAAGCGGCACCCTGAAGAAGCTGGACCGGTTCGTGGCCGGATCACAACCTTATATACAAAGTTTCCCTGGCTCGGTAGCCAGGGGCTAGCGCACATCTTGTCGGCCGGCGGCAACCAAGACACAGCATTCATGACTGCAGAAAGGGTCAGCCGAGACACCAATGGGCAGTAATCAGGGACATGGATGTCTGGTTGGCTCTCGAGGGCAAGGACCACGAGCACGGGGGCTCCGTCCGGGGGCCCTGTGGAGCGCCACCGGCCGTCGGGCAGTTTACCCCAAAGCTCTAATCGGCGACATGCGGAGCAAAGGCAGGGGCAATGGAATCTGCAGAGGAGGACTGGGAGCTGCTTGTCAAGGAAGGAGAAGCGGGCCATCCTCTGGGAACCCCATAAGCACGCCCGCGCCAAGACGGGGGGGGGGAGGGTCAGCTCGTGAGATGTTCCCCGGCGAGGGCTTTTTTGATCAGATGCCGCCCACGCGCGATGCCGGCGGCTTATTACCGCTGTGATCGAGATGCAAAGGACAGGGGTCGAGTCTGGTGCTTCCAGAATCGTGGAAGGCGTCTGCATGCCGCGCGCCATAACAGAGACACGCATGTATAGGCGGGCTAGCATCGTCTGATCGTCAAGGCGCTCGTTGATATGGAGAGTGCGATACAAAGGGGCCTCCATCAACAACATGATGCCCCTGACGTCACATCATCCAGCCACTTCCCCATGGCGACTCTGCCGTCGACAAGGCTGGCAAGACGGCTCCAGATCGCGGTGGGGCCGTGTGGCGGTCATGGACTCATGGGTTGGAGATCCGGAACAGCCCGACCAAAGGTCTCGAAACCTCAGATACAGGGCTACGACGCAGGATGACGGGCATCTGGATACGATGTTGCTTCTCCGACTTTAATGAGACTTGCCTAAACAAGGACACCTTCGAATACCCGTCCCGCCCTCGGCTCCGGGCCGCAGCAAGAGCCGGAAGGAGGAGGGCGCTTAGTGTCTAGGCACGCGCTGCCATCGAGTCAAAGCGTCGGCTCCTCCCGCCGCTCTCTTCTCCGCCGCCGGCCCCGACATCGGTGGACTCGGCGAGGACTCGGTCGTCGGTCGGGTACCGGATGTTATAGACGGGCGTGCTCGTCAGCCGCGCGGGCTCGCCCAGGACGTGCGGACAGACGGGCTGCTGGCCGGCATCGTCGTCGAGGCGGCACGGCTCGTCGTGGCCCAGGGTGCAGATGGGATCGAGGGTGTTGTACAGCGCGTGGTGCGTCGCGAGCCAGCTGTCCGGCCGGTCCAGGCAGGTGGACAGGAAGCCGATGCGGTTGGCGGCGCTGAGCGGCCGGCGAGCCCCCTGCTCCGGGTGCAGGAGACGATGGCTGCAGCGGGAGGCGTCGACATGCTCGAGCTCCATGCCGACTGCTCCACCGGCCGCAGGGGCATCGGCTGCAGGGCTGCCGTGAGCAGACAGTTCCAGCCGTCGTAGCCGATGTCCTGCGCGCCCGCCGACTGGTCCAGCCGCTGCAGGTAGGCCTGGCGGCCGCCGTACGCGAGCGAGACCCAGAGCCCGTCGCAGTCGAGGGGGCGGTCCGGGTTGATTTTGCAGCCCAGCGAGCCCATGGACGACGAGAAACTATGGTGGGGGTTCGCGGCGATGGTGCCGCCGCCCGGCTGCCCAGGCCCGGCAACCGCGGGCATGGCCAACCATGTAATACCCGACAGGAGTATAGTAGCAGCTATAGCGCGCCAACAGGCTCAAATGGTGTCCAAGAAGTGGGCGCCGCGGCCGGGACACCGGCGGATCCATACCATGCTGAAGGCCGAGTTGACTCGGAGGCGGGAAGACGAGCTCCGCTGGGCCTTTCGGCCGGAAGCAAGACGCGCGAGCAAACTCAATGACCATCTTGTTTTTCTCGCATCCCCTTTACAGCGCAAGTCTAGGGCTGCTTCCGCGAAAAGGGGAACCAGGGGGTGTGAGAGGGGTGTCGACGGTTTGCCAGGGGCACGGGACAGTCCTCGCCGCAAGACAGGGCGAGACAAAACAAGGAAACTCTTGTCTCTTTTTCTCAAGTCCTCTGTGCTGTGCCCCTCTTCCCGCCTGCCTCCCGCCCCCCCACACATCACCTCTCGCTCGACTGAACATTACGTCCATGTATTCTGTATGTACGCGCACATATGCAGGTATCCATACATGAATCTGACAATGTTCGTCCGATGATTTTTCTGGGTCTTCATTCAGTCACCAGTGCCCTGTCCTGGACTCTGAGAGGGGCTGTGGAGACGAATATCTTGCTCTTGAGCCTCGAGGCCATCACCACGGGACCCAGCAGTGGACTCTTGGCGGTCGACGAGATGCGCCAGGGGGGCAACTTACCTAATTCATGCCATTATCTTAGTCATGGCTCCCTTTCGAAACAACAGAGGAACACGTGCTGGTTGCTCCTCTGCCGGGCCATAGCCCGTATTGCAGCTCTGAATGGGAACTCGGGGGTAGATCATCTTGTGTCACGAGTCGAGGCCGCAGAGTATAGGGCGCTCACGCATCGCTCCGACGTTACTACGGAAGCTCCTTTGCTTTCCATGCTGTTTCGGGTCTTCGCTTATATATTCTTACGCCTTACACGCGACGCGTGCCCTTTGAGACAGCCACGCTGCCTCACTCCTCGAGGTCCCAACTGGCAGGATTTGTGAGTGAGCCATGCCTCTGTAGCCTTTGTTCGAAGTCCTTTGGGCGGATCGAATTATCTTTTCCGTTTCATCTCTGTCATGTTGATCCCCAAAGCAAGGGTTATTATCTTCCGTCCCGTCCCCAACCGTCCAGTGTCAGTCTGCTGGGCTTTGAACATGGCTCGAAGAATCGGCAGAATACACGCCGGACAACCCCCGACATTCCCACCACCAAGGCCCTTGCGGGACAGCGTAGGATCTCGATCTCCAATGGAACAGCCCCCCTCCAGCGTGGACAATCTGATGCTGCCCGAATGGGTAGGTGGCATTGCAAGGTCCCGCCCGCCAAGGCCACGCGCGTTTGCAAATGAGCGATGGGCTCTCAAAGTCCAAGGGGCATGGCGCCCAGCCTTTCAAGTTTCGTCAAGCCTCAACCAAGCTTAGATGACGTCTGCTTTAGGCCATTGCCATGCTAGCTATGTCGTATTCCGGTCGAAACCAGGCGGGATGCACCCCGCAAGACTTTACCATGGTCCCTTGCCTCCTTGCCTCGTCGCTGACAGATACGCAGCGGCCATTTGATGCTACTCCGCCGTAGCCTGCCTACGGTTCGGCATGGCCCGAGGGATCGTCAATGAAACCGTCCTCTCTCGTCCGTGTGACGGTCTACAGCTGGTCGGTGATTGAACATGCACGGCGTCCAGTTGCAGGATATCTCCTCGAGGTGTGGGGGGGCTTGCGTCGGGCATTGACTAGTCAACGAGGTGCATGCTTGATGCAGGCGATCCTTGTTCGCTGGACCGCAGCCATTGGCGGCTGGAGAGCGCACGTATCATGCATTCATGTATGCAATGTGATGGCATCACGCAGCACTAGGCGCTGGAAGAGCAGGGGCCTCCCCCGCAACCTCCGGACCAGAAGGTCCAAGGTCAATGCAGGCAATGAGCTCCGAGAGGTTTCACTGAAGATCCATGGTGGACGAGATCGAATGCTGTGGTATATGAGCCGCTCTCTCATCGCATTCACACCTCTCTCGTCTCCCTGTCCTTTGATTCTGTCCGACGACAACTGACACCAGACTGTACTGATTGAATATGAGGCCATATGCCTTGACCTCGGCCAGGTTCATGTTGAATTCCTGACACTGGAATGAAGTAATATCGAGAACGAGAAAAGGTCAAATATTGATACGCCAACGCTTTTTCGCTTCAATATTGCCAATGCTGACTACCTGAGGCGAGGCGTAACTGGCAGTGGTTAAGCATAGACACAAGGCTTCGGCAGGTCATCGATTACTTCGGCTCAGTTGCTTGAGATTTCTGCGAGCTAATCAGCAAGGAAAATAAACTCGTTGCCTACAATTAAGGGATGCTGAACGTAGAGTGACGTCGTCTAGACTTGTAAACACGCCGCGGCCTCATCGCAACTTGTGAGAGGCGTCCCAGGTTGTGCCGAGGAATTCTAATTGGTGTGTCTCATGACCGCACGCTCAGCTCCAGCTGGATTTTCTTTACTTGGTCAAGGTCAACTGACCACATTGAGACCGACACGTAGCTGTGAAGGTTTAATGCCATACTGCAAGATCGATCTTGAGAACGCTTCAATGTTGCGAGTACCCTGAAAATAGGTACTAGTTAAAAGGCCACCCCGTCACGCTAAACGGCCACCCAAAAGTGGGTCAATTGTGGCTTGGTCGCGCGCAAGGTCCGATACCGCAAAGTTTGGGCTCCAGAAGATAGGGGGCGAATACCGCGCTGTGGCAAGGAATGCCGCTTCAAGCGACCAAGAAAAGCCGCCGCCCGGCCGCTGTGATCTTCTTCATCACTGCGGCTTCAAGTCAAGTCTTGGTTGGCCTTCCTTGCCGTCACGATATTTTCAAGCGGCCCAATGCCGCCGCCGCCGTTCCCTTCGAAATGAATGACGTTGACGAGCTCTGGCATGGCAGAGCACAAGCCCTAACGATGCTCCTCACGATCCACTCCTATGCACGGGAAAGGCCGGCCCAAGGGCTCATTGAACCTCGAGGCAGCAGGAGGTCGTAACGGCCACGCGGAGAGAGCCGTCAGCACACGATATCGCGGAATCCGACGAACGCAGCGAGGCCACAAGGCCGCCGCCGTCCACAGCGCCGGCGGCTCTCCAAAGTACGAAGACGAAGGCTACGGGTAGAAGCGCAAGGCTGGGGCAAGGCTGGAGGAAAGCTGCTGCTGCTACCGTCAACACCGCCGGCAGCGCTGCTGATGTGACCAAACGGGGTTGGAATACCTTCAAGCCAATGGCGATTCGTACGAGCCTGGCACAGCGATGCCACGAGCGTATCAGCGTGCCGTACGCCGCACGCCTGACTCTGACGATGAGCTTACTGGCCCGGGCGAGACGCAGGGCACGATTCGCTGTGCCACGCAGCCAATGCCGATACCCTCAATTCGTCAAGGAGGTGAGGATATAGAGGATGAAGACGACCCTTTAGCCGATTTTAACGAGATGGACCGGCAGGTGGATGAGGAGGAGTCTGTACAGCAGGAATTGTGTGCAGAGGGTCTACTATAGCTACCGGCGTTAACGCTGCATTTGAATTGACGGAAGTGTGTTTTCTACGACCCCAAGAACATGGCCCTACGTACTTGAATTTGCATCACGGCCAGCTTCACTTTGCGGCTTCAATTGCGGCTTCAACATGCCCTCTGGCGCGCACCTCGATGCCGGCAGCGAATGCGCGCACACACCTTTGCGGCATCGGCGCTGCGCGGCGACCAAGCCACAGTTGACCCACTTTTGGGTGGCCGTTTAGCGTGACGGGGTGGCCTTTTAACTAGTACGTGAAAATACAGCTTCTGCCCAATGATACCAACTGAACACTAAAAAAAAACCAGATTCCTCATCTAAATCGCCCAAAAATATATATAAAACGCTTGCTTATTGACCGAAAGATACCACCAAATACAACTGCCAGCCTGGTCCAGCCAGTTAAAGCAGCATCGCAACCATTCCCCCGACAACACTCCAAAGTTTCAAACGCACACTCACTTGGGTAGCGTCGCTGAAGAGTTGAGAGAGACTTGGGCTGCCAGGCTGTATCCCGCCAGGCTGAGCTGGATAACTAGGCCCTCCCGCGATGCCGGGAGCTCCGCCGCCAGGAGTTCCGCCGCCGGATGCCCCCGTGGTGGAGCCCTTCAGTGTGGGTGAACCGAAGTCGGAGCCGCCGTTCGGTGGATTCTCCTTGCCAGGATTCCCATTTGGAGTGGAATCTGCATTGGGACCCTCTTTAGAACTCTTCTTGGGCTTCTCTGGGGAATCTTTCGTGGGACCATTCACGACGTTTTCCATGGGAGAGACCACACTGCTCGGAGGAGTCTCTTTGCCAGAGGCCCCCTGTGGAAAGGAATCTGTGTTGGGTTTGTCCTTGGTATCGTCTTTGGGATTCTGCTTTGGACCCTCCTCGGGATCCTGCTTGGAATTCTCGAGAGGCGCCCCACTGACGAGCTCCAACCTGACGCCGGCTTCGGCGATTTTCTGAGTCGGGTTAGATCCCTCGCTGGCAGGGGGGTCGCTGAGCAGTGATTCGCTGCCACCGTGGCTCCCAGGAGCAGCCGAACTGGCAGAGGCCTTGAGTGGAGAGTCGCTGAGAGGGGCCACGCCCTTGGTATCTGTTGGAGATGGGCCCTCATTGCTGGTCGACTGGCCGTGCGAGCTGCCGCTGGGGCAACGAGGCCGCCCGCTCTGAGGGTCAGCGGAGCGGTCGGTGCTAGACCCACCGGCAGGATGTTTGTCGGTAGGTTGCCAGTGTGGATGGCTTGGCGGAGGGTGGGTAGGCACCGTTGCAACACTGCACCTGGGACCGGAGCATGGAGCTTCCATGGCTACGGAGCTTATGCTGCCAATCGAACGGCTCGGCTCCGAGAGAGAGCAGCGCGTACTGGAAATCACTCTTGTTCCCTTGGGCCTTGTCGGCCCTATACCGTCGGACGTCACCTCCTCGCGGTGCTGGCCAGACCCGCGTTCCTTGTCTGGGCGCTTTTGGTCAGGGTCGTGCATCTTCTCTTGGTGGGATTGGCCAGACTCAGGCGTTTTGGAACTGGAAGAGCCCCTGGAGTCCGGCCCATCGGTGTTGGGGGATGGATCTTGTGCAGGGGCTGTCGGGATGCTGCATTCTGGCCCTGAGCAATATGTCTTCGTGAGGACTGTTGTAGTGGCAGTCACTTTGCCGATGGAACAATTTGCTTCCCTCGGGGGGCAGGAAGTGGTCGTAACGACTCGTGTAACCTTCGAGGTGGTTATCGATGGATCAGAGCCAGGCGGAGCATAAGTAGGCAGGCTCCAACCATCGGGCTGCTTGTCGCTCGCCGCGGACCCAGGACCTTTCTCGGGGTGGGCGTTGGGTCGAGATGGATTCGTAGCCGCTGGGGGAGTGCAGTCTTCTCCGTCGCAGTAGATCCTAGTGGCAGTCGTTGTCCCCACACTCCCCAGCGGGCAATCTGGAACTGTCGATGGGCATCGCTTGATGCGAAAGATCTTGATGATTCTAACCGGAATCTTCCTCACCCCATCCGGGCTGACTGTACCCGTCTCCAGCGCCTGAGTCTGGACTGGCGTGACAGGGCAGACCGTCACATACCACGGAACCACCACCGTGGTTACGCGACCGACTGGGCATACCGTGATTGTTGACGGGCAGGCTGTTATCGTGCTGCTGGTTGTCTTGTACACGGTCACAGCGGCCATTTCTTCCGCGGCAGGATCGGCTTCCTCGGACGGTGACGAGGGGGTCAAGTGTTCACTAGGAGTCGGGTCGAAACCTGATGGACTTGTCGCAGAGCTGCCTGCAACAGCTGCATTGGTGACGGAGGCTCCGTCAGCGGCCGAATGTATGCTATACCCTGAGCTTCGCGAGGCCGAAGGCAACATCGCCAAGCTCCCGATGGGTTCTGAGCCTTGGGCCGGAGCACCGCCAAACCTCAAGTTTATGCTTCCCGAGGCCGCAGGGTCGTGCGGCGAGAGACTGGAGGCAGCCGAAGGGTCGCTATGCCCCGAGCTTCGCGACGCTGAAGGCAAGAGCGCCGAGCTATCAATAGACCCCGAATCCCTGAATGGAGCAACACCGGATGTCGAATCCACGCTATCCGAGACGGGAGGATAACTCGACGAGAGACGAGAGGCCGTCGAAGCCGAAGCTTCATTCTCCGACAAACCCTCCTGGGCTGTTGCGAGCCCCGCGAGACTATTCGAGGGTGCAACAGTAGGCTTTGAGGCTTGAGCGGGACCAGACGAAGTGTCTTGGGCCTTATTCGTTGAGGGTAGAGCAGTGTCGGCTGCCGCCTCGGGGTCTTTGGAGCCTCGGCTGAGGCTTGTCTCAACAACGACTGGTGTCGCGTGCGAACTCGGCTCCAAGTACGAACTGGAGGTAGTAGTGTTCAAAAATACGAACCGCGTCCTTGAATTTCGGGACATGGCCGTCGGAGTGAAGACAACATTCGCCTTTGAAGTCAAGGAAGGATTCATACCAGGAACGATTGAGTGCATACTTGACGATTTCTCCATCGTTTTCGTGCTTGAAGCCGAGTCGTAGCCGAGGGGTGGAGTGGCCCTCTCTGAGAAGGGAGCGAGAGACGATGACATGGCAGTGGCGTTCGTCGCTGAAGCTGATAGTCCATCTGGGGATCGACCGCTGGTCCTCGACTCTCCGGTGAGAGCCGACGAAGACTCAGCGGCTTTCGAAGTCGCAACCGAGCTTGAACTCCAGGACCGGAGTTTGGTCCACGAAACTCGCGCGAGGTTCGACGAGCCGTCCGTGGCGTTTGTCTTCAACGTCGAGGCTGCGGGGCCTCTCGTGAGTGCCGACGAAGCCTCGGCTTCTTTTGTTCCTGCTGTTGATGATAGAAGCGAGGATTGACCACTGGCTTCCGGCGCACGAGTCAACGTCGACAGCGTTTTCGTGGCATTCTTGCTCGAAGCCGAACCGGCATCGGAAGGTTGGCGTTTGGCCGATGAGGACCCCGTTCTGCTTGGTGAACTTCCATATTCTTTGCTAGTCGAGGTCGAGGTGGTGTTTGAATACGAAGCTGAAGTATCCAAGGTTGGTACAGAGCTCGGTCCCTTTGTCGTATTGCCTACAGTCGTATTGCCAACTTTCGAGGGCGGAGTAACATATGTAGACGCACCGGCAGATTCCATATCGGATCTACTCGCGTTGGAAGCTGACTTTCCAGGATGCGAGACGGCGGAAGGAACCTGAGCCGGGCTCGGAAGTATTCTCATCGCTAAAGAACCCAACGACTTGGTCTCCGGTTTGAGCTCAAAGTACCGAATGTCCCGGATCTGAAAATTGACATCCTTGAAAGCGCTAGGATTTTCGGCCACGAAGGCCTCGCATGTCAGTCCCTTAGTCTTCGCGTGGCAGGTTTCCTCGCCCACGTGGTCCGGCACGTTCCAGAATACCGTCCCCGCTGGATTGCCACAGAAAGCAATGTCAAACATGATTTTCTGGCTTTGAAACGCCTTGTCAATGTTGCACAATCTCGATCTCAGGTGCATCGACGGATTTGTCCACGAATCAGTGTCGATCTCGTCCTCGTCAAGCTTGTCCGGCTCTGTGCCATGGGGCCAGGTATAAATCTTGATTTCGTCATTCGTCCACAGAAGAGCCTCTTTGCGGTCGTTAGAGTCCCATTTTCCTGTTTGGCTGTTAAGCACGAGATGAGATAACTTACGGATGCCACCGGTGGACGAAGCCCAGATGCTGTTGTCCTTTTCTTCCGTTTGGCAGCCCTGGCCGCTGGCGTGGCTGGTGGCAATGTTGTCGCAATCTTGCGCAAGAACTCTCGCCCCCTGCTCTGTGAGATCCAAATTGCAATTGCCGACCTCGGATGGGGTTCCAACGTGAATCGTGGGCTTGTTGTATGTATTCAAATTCCAACCTTCGTAGAGGTCGATCTCGCCGGGACTTGGCCACGCTCCATCGCCGAGAGTCCAACTAAGCAGGAGTAAGATCGAGAATGTCATGGACACATGTGGGCAAGAGAGACTTACAAAGCTGGCCAAGTGCCGCACACTGCTCGAGGCAAATGGCTGAATCGCGCGATGAAGAGACCATGCTTGTACGACTTTTGCGACTCGATCCTGAAGGTATCACGCCCACCCTGTCCCGTTGGATCTATGACATTTTCGTGGTCAACCCCTAGGTAAATGTCACCATTTGGTTGAATCCTGGTGATGTTCTTCTTGCGCGCATTCGTTTTGTCTTGGTATCTCACAAAGGACCCATTATCATCAAATGGAAGATGACCTCGGCCCTTCTGAATAGCGCCGACTGTCAATACTCGCCTCTCTCAGGGCAAGACATGAGTCACTCACTGTCAAGAAGTCAAATTTGCTAAAAAAGTTGTCTTTGTCGATTGTTTCGGCCAGTTGAAATGACTTGGCGCTTGTGTCGCCAGCCAAAGCGAGGAGGACTGAGACGGCGGTGAGGAGGGCCGGAGCCATGACTCCAGTCTTGTGAGGATAATAGCCAGCTTATCTCCAGAAGAGTGCGTCACCCCAAGAAAAAAATGACAGGTGGGAGTAAGAGACCGATAGGTAAAGAACGATTCAAGGATAAGCGTGGGACCCTCCTCAGAAGTCGATGTTAACGACAGGTTGGACAAGCGAGGCGGGTGCTCTATAAGCTGGAGATCATGGCGTCTCACTGTTGGACAACCAGCGCCTTTAAAGGCGGCTACCCAGAGGTTGGTTTCCACATGGCCATGAAGCAAGCCCCTGGCTGTGAAGCAGAATTGTCTGCTTGCAGTCCCTGCCGCCGCCACGAATTCGAATGCGAACGGCGGAGTGGGTTGGTGGAGAAGCCTCGCTGCATTGCTCCCGTCTTCAAGACGGGTATGACAGGGCAGGGATGCCGAGGCGATTCACAAAGGGTTACGATCGTTCGCCGTGTCGCAACATACATACAACAAGGGACGAATGTTTGTTCGCGAAGAGCTCGATGGCATTGGCAGAGGCTTGGTATGCGCATAAACTCTTAAAGATGCCATCCGTGAGCACCAGGCAGCATGAAAGCGGCAGCCGGCAGGGATTATTGTCAGTTGTGAATGTCTGAAGGGGGCGAGGAGGTTGACAAGGGCAGCTTTCGAAGCTCGGATAGGAGACCCTTGTTTGCGAAAGCCTATCTTCCGCGGCTCAGGAACGTAAAGACTCCTAGTTGCGTGCGGCGGTGGGCTTGGCGGAGCGTTTAGAGTTCAGGTTTTGCTGTACCTTTTTACACTGATCCATGTTCGGACCTGAGCCGTCCATGTTTGTAGGCTTTTCGATGCTTCATCTCCAGCACAACGGCGACGTACTCGACAGAATATTCAGGGCGTTTCACGGCCCTTGAGGGCTGGTCGCCATTCTCGCCTCTTGTTTAGTGGCTTTGATGAAAAGGGGGTTTTCCGTCCGGATTCTCGAGGGCGCTTGCTAGGATATCGTCAGATGTCAATGCCAAGGACGCGTGGGGCAACATTGGTTTTTACATACTTTACGTTCTTGGCGGATCAGATCGCTTCATTGTCGGGGCATCCCTGACGGATCCCGTAGCCGTGTTTGCTTGAGGCTGGGGTGATCAATGATATTTGTCAATTCGTAACGATTAAAGTTAATGGCTGGCGTGAACGTCTAGGGACTCCGTAAATGGAGAACAGAGTTTCTGTCCGCACTGCCACACGCAAACGTTTGCGATGTTCTCGAGTCCTATAACATTGCAATTTGACTGTATCAATATGAATAGCTGCAGCCCGCTTGGTATGACTTTCTCGCCATCCTGATGAACGTCGAGAGGCACGACGAGCAGCATCGCTCCGGGACCCGGACAAACGTGCATGTGTTGTTAAGCACACCTGGTACATACATTACAAATCACGGAGCAAGTGCCGTGGTCTTTTAAAGATGCAGAGAAAGCCTGTCAGTCTTGCACTACGTAGCATGCTTGCCGAATAGAAGCGTGGTGGATTTTACATTATCCAGCTCGCAGCCTGAAGTCTCAGCGTTACTGAGAGGCCGCTTGTGGGTCCCACCCATTCGCCCTGGTGGCTGGGCACACCTATATATTGCCACGTGCACAACTCAATTGAGGAATCAAGTCTGCCTTGAGGCAACTTGGAAACAGCGAGAGTCTGCATTCAGATCAGTATTGGTCGTGCGGAGTCATGCACATATGTCAAGACGGCGAGGCCTAAGCTGGGTGGTGGCTCTTGTCAACGATGATTCGAGATCAACCCGATTTCTGTTACGACCCTGGGACCCATTCGAGGCGGCGTGCCGACAACCTACCCCTTTGCAACCCCGTATAGACTCTTTATTGACTTCCAGCAAGGTCAATATTCGTAGAAAAGAGCCAGAGGGTCCCGGTACCGAGTGTCGGGCCCAGGAACAATGTTAAGCTATACATAGGTGCTCTTGGGCATAAGTCGCTCACCAATGGCATTGCGAGTACAATCTTGCATCGAGGCAAATTCTATACCCAATTTTTTCTTTCCAATCCATAAGGGTGGGAATATAAGATGGCTCGCTTCGGAAACTCTCGAACTTCAGCCTAGGTTAGGGATGAAGGAGCTTTTCTAGCAGTCGGTGACTCGATGCTATAGGACAATAGCCTTCCGGAGTGCATATGATGAGTATAACTCATCGGGCGGCAAAGTCAACTGCAAACGCAGTGCTAGCAATTGGCTAGTAAAAGAACAAACAACAGTAACTGTCAGGACAAGAAAGGGCCTATAATACGCGTTAGTAACACCTCTATCGGGGGTGCCCTCATTTTGCATGGTGTAGCGGTATTTTACCAGCTTGACGGTAACCGTGAACAAGGAGAGGCCGGGCATAGAACACTCGGGATGGTACGGATTTCATGCCGGTAGAGTCCTCCTTGGATTCAACCCCATTGATTGAACAGCATGAAGAATAAGATATTTGCGAGAGCCTGTTTGCTCACATGATCCGGCTCGGAAAAATAGTAGAGACCTATAGTGAACGGATCCGAGGGTAACTCGTACTATGCATGGTAGTACGCCGTTGGACAGTTTCCGTGCATCCTTGGCGAAGTCTACATGTAGCAAGTTATACTTCATTCATGTTCATCGGTAAAGCAAGTACGCATTCCTCAGCCAGCCTCGGGTGTGACAGCTAGATGAAACCCCGCCCGTTTCATGTTCAAAGTTTCTTTAGCGATAGTACGAGGCTTCTCTAAGCCCCTCTAGTTGGAGGATGATCTCTGCCAAGATTAGAAAGTAGTCTTCAAAAGATGATGAAATTATAAAACAATTGTTCAAATACATTGATTGCATTGCAAGATACTTAGTCAATTTGAAGCTTCTAGTAGTGGGCACGGTCTGTCGCTCCCTTCGCGGAGATACCTTTTGCTGCGGTAGATCGAAGAGTCGACCCTGAAGTCAAATTGATCGCATTGTTCGTTTAAAGTGTATGTTTTTTTCTGCATGCATATAGTCCATTCCGCTGAATAGATTCACCCGATTTACAGTTATACCTGCAACGTTTATCGTACGCGTGTCTCGGCGGGAAGCGTTTCACGTCAACAACACCGCTCGCAGACCTCTGATACACGTTAATGAACGCTAATTGAGTACCGACTTAAATCTGATTCTTTGTCTCGGCCATGCTCGGATTGTCCGCATCTTGGTAGGGGGCAGCATTCGAATCCACCTGTATCCTTCGCGTTCCCATTCCGGCCAGCCCAAAGACGCTGGCGGCAGCTAAAGCAGCAGCAACCACAAAAGTCCGAGTCACCGCCTTGTTGTACACGTATATTACGGTGTCGAGATCCGCCGGGGCCACAAGATCACGCACAGCCGTGGCGCCAGACCCCGTGATGAGCTTCGGATCGACGCCGGGAAGCAGCCTGCCGATTTCGGTCGCCAGAGTACGAGCGAAAACAGAGTTTGCGACACTGACGAAGACGGAGGGACCCAGGTTCCGGCAAAATAAGACGACGGCGACACCGATCGGGGCGTCTGCCTCTTCGAGAAAGCTTTGCACTGCTACGCACGGCTGCTCGGTTGAGGCCCCGATGCCGAGGCCGGCTATGACTTGGAAAGGGATCCATCTATTGGGACCTGATGAGGCTTGGAGGGTAGACATTAACCCGGACCCGACGGACACGAGGACAGTTCCCGCCAGCATGAACGGCTGGACGTAGCCCGACTTGGTGACGATCCAGCCGCTGCTGAAGATGGCGGCAATGAACGCAATGCAAAGGGGGAGATAGCGTACGCCCGACTGCTCGGCGGACACGCCCTGGACGGCCTGGAACCATAGCGGAATCTAGAGAAACGAGGCGGTCAGCTGGGCGATACGATGGCGCGGGACAAGGGCCTTTACGTAGTAAACCAGGATGAGAAAGGCACTCTCGAGACCAAAGGTGAAGATGGAGGCAAACAGGACAGCCCGCATCCTGATGATACGCGGTGGTACGAGAGCCTTCTCGCCCATCCACCATTGCTCGATTGCAAATAACACCAGAAGCACACCGGCGGCAGCAAAGCAGCCTATCGTGCGGTTGTCGCCCCATCCGTAGTGGGCGCCGCCAAACTCGAGAGCCAAGATCAACGACGTGATGCTCGGTACCAAGAGAACCATGCCGAGGTAGTCGATCCCGAGCAGCGCCTTTGTCCATGCAGGCTTGGTCTCGTGCTTTGTCGGCGGCGTCCTGACCCTGACGAAGAAGAGTGTGGCAATTGCAGGGGGCGCTGCGAGTGGGAGATTGATATAGAAACACCTGTAGAGTAGGTTGCTGGTCAGCTCCAGCTCTCGCACTGGCTTCAGGCCCCAAATGGTCGTCTTATCTGCCCCCATCTTATTCGACGGGTTCCTCACCATCTCCAGCTCAGGTAGCTGTTTGTGATCAAGCCTCCGACCACCGGGCCGAAGACGGCGGCAATGCCGTACACGATGCCCAGTGCGCCAATGTACATGGGCAAGCCCTTGGGCGGCAAAGCTCCCGCAAAGAGCGCAATCGTGCCGCTTGAAAGGCCCGAGCCACCGCAGCCTGCAATGGCCCGGCCCGCGATGAACATGGCAGAGGAACGGCTGAGAGCGCAGGTGAGAGATCCAATGTGGAAAGTCGCGAGCGAGACGAGATAGATGAAGTTGACGTTGAACTCGCTGTACAGTCGGCCGAAGACGAGCTGGAAAGCACAGAGGGTCAAGAGATAGGACGAGCCGTACCACTTGAAGGAACCGTCAGTAGGCGCATCGGGGACTTGGGAGCTGACAAGCTTCCCGTTGCAGCGGGCGATTGGAGAGGAGGCATACGCCAATGTCGCTCAAGGACTGAAACTCATCCGTGATGCGCGGTATTGCAGTGGAGATGATGCCCTCGTCGAGAAACGTGCACATGACACCGAAAATAATCGACAGCCAAATCGCAAATACTCTCTTCCTCGACATGTCGTCTGCGACCTCGACGGGCTGAGAGGTCGTCTCTTCTGACTCGCTTGACCGTTGGCGACTGGAGCTCCCGACTCGATCATCGTTGACTTCGATTGCGGCCGAGTCGAGCGGGCGAGTCGGCGGGGGCGCTGCAGATTGGCTCATGTTGTTGTAGGCTTGGTGGAATATATGCCCTCAACGCTCATTTTTTGGCCTTGTTCAACGAGAGTCAGGATGGCATCATGAGACGGGGGCCGGCAGGGGACTCGGATCGGTCGACCACGCTGCTGGATAGGTCAAGGATAAGGTCGATCTCTGCTACGTAGCAGATGTCTGATATATGTTGGCACCTGTTGCTCTTATACCTATTTCCTTATGCCCCGGCCAGGGTGCATGCAAGATACGAGCTACGCTCCGCTACCCTTTCCACGGTCATGCTATCCGTCCCGGCGTCGACGGGTAATCGGCTGGAGCCGGGGTCCTAAACGGGGTATTGCTCCGCCCTGCCCCGTGGAAGACCCTTCCCGTCGTCTGGGCGTGGATAAATTTTCAGGTTGCATTAGGCTTCGATGGAGACTAAATAAAGGGCCACGGCTACCTGTGCCGAGTGAACTCCCTACTACTCGCGTATAAACAGCCTCAAGTCACACTCTCATGTTAATGGCAATGGCGCCTGCAAACCTGACCATGTCAAAGCCCCCCGAAGCCAATTATTTGTTTGGGTGTTTCAATCCCTTCTTGCGCACCGGCAAACCCTCGTTTACTTGGACGGCGGCCAGCAAAGGGTCCACCCAGCTTTATTGGTCTCGAACCAAGAATACCCATCCGGACCACAGCTCGGAATAGGGATGGGACAAGGGCCCTTTTGCATGATGACCTGTCGTCGTTGCTCAATGGATCCCGTCGATACGAGCAAGTCGGTAATATTATAACCCGATTCGCACAGAGCACTGATTTTGCGCCGTGAAGTGTGGAATATTGTCTTGGCTGTCCTTTCCGAGCATAAACATGACCCGCACCCGATCTTCCCGAATGTGGGTCAACAACTGCAGGGCGAGGATGGCCAGGGACCGCAAGCAGGCTGTTTGGGCCTCGTCTTACAGTTTATTTATAGAACTCGGCCATGATCACAGCATAGTACACGCACACATATCAGCAGTTTTCGTCATTATCAAGACCGAACGCCCGTGCATATAGGGAAGGTTGGGAAAGGCTCGGTCACTTCTCCGCAAAAGCCCAGCGAACCAGGATCCAGGAAATGCAATGCAGATAGAAGCAGTTGTTTATTGAATGGACATACAGTAAAATATAATCATTCACGTTGATGCAACCTAGGACACGACTTCATTCCATAAGTCATGTTCATCATTCACGTCACCCAGTGAAGGGCTCGGCATGGTGGCAATTTGAGAATGAAGCCTTTGATGGAGCATTAGGAACATATATCCAGTCCAACATAAAGTTTTTGAGAAGCTCTCCGCCAGCGAAACCGGCAAACTGACCGAAAAGAGCCTCTCCCTTGCCTTGTCAGCCTTGGGCATTTAGCACTTGCCCGGCGTAAAGTCGTCCTGGGCCTGCTGCAAAACCTGGGTGATCTCTGATGCCTTGCGATGGGCGATATCCTGGGCCGCCTGCGGAATCTTGGATACGAAGGCGGCGACGAGCTGGCTGCTGGACGAAACGATATGGTCGATCTGAGTCCGCGTCCGGCCGCACTGCCCTGCGGCTTGGACCACCGAGCGTCTGGCCACGAGCTCCTTGGAGAGAATACCCCCGTGGTCCCGCAGGCTTTCAACGGCGGGCAACAACTGGAGGGCCTCGGCGAGCTCCAGGTTGGGAGAGCCTTGGACAAGTGTGGTGCCGGAGTTGATGGTGGCAACGAGCGACTCGGCCTTTGAAATTACGCCTCCCACGTCACCCTTGAAGGCCTTGACGGTGGTGACCAGAGCGTCAATGTCGGCCTGGACCTTGGTCAAAACTCCGGTGACGATCTTGATGTCGCGTTCGACGACAGGCCCGGCGAACGCGCCAGCAGCGAGGCATACGAGGGCGAGAGGGGCGGAGTACTTCATGATTGCTTGCGCGAACCGGTCGGAGACTCTTCTAAGCCTTTGCAGAAAGAAAGCGGTGGTGCTTGAAACAAGCGGATAGAAAGCTGGTTGCTGTCACTTGAAATGGACAAGGAATCTACCGAAAGCAGTGAGGAGAGTAGAATTCGGAGAGTCCACGGCCTACAAAGACTCCTTATATAGTTGCTGGACTGTTTAAAAAGCTGTGTTTGCGCCTGGCGTGAGGCACGAGCCGCCGAGGCTGCAAAATGACATGACTTCGAGCCCGACCAGCTCCAATTTCCAAGTACGGAAGGTGTTGCAGCGTGAAGTCGATAAATCGGTGGGGCGCGGCGGCCGAGTCTTGACCGTGCCCCAGAATCACGGCAACCCGTGTCAAGGTTGCGGGGAAACACAACTGACAACAACCTGATAAGTGCATGTCAGGTCAAACAGAGCATTGGCATTGGACGGCCAAGTCATTTATCACACGATGGAAGCTCCGGAGAGGCGGAAATAATAGCAGAGACATGTGATGCCGAGCCACCAGCGTGTTCGCAGGCACTCCGTGTAAATCCTACATTGTAGTCTTTGTACTTGGCAGAGAGCGTGTTCGGTATTCGATGCTCCGACGCCGGATCTGCCTCCAGGCCTTTACAGTCCGCACATGCTTGCTGCTCGGGTTAAGATTCCCCTTCCCTCTGCATATGTTCCTCGTGGTCCTGAGGTAAAGATCCGATTGGGCAAGGAGTTGTAGAGGTCGGCAGGGCGGCATTGCTTCAGACACGGGACAGTTGCGCAGCGTCATGCAAGCGCCATGCGGATGGAATATATAATCCGCATGCCCGCTTTCTCCAAAACGGGCGCGGATCGCGAGCTTGACTGCCGACTCCAACACTCGGTGTATGTCATGGTGACACACTAAGATGCAGAGGTCAAGAGCAAGCCAAGATGCTTGTGGCGCCTTACTCAGTTTGCCGAGAGCAAGAGGAAAGCAAAATTGAGATGAGACAAGAAATTGCCTGTGATCCAGTGGGTGATGTCCACGGAATCGATGTGCATGCTGCATTGATCTAGCCTGTTGGAATAGCTCCCCTGGCCACGAGGAAGTATCAACTCCGAGAGGCCTCAAGAAGGCCCGAGTTCAAAATAACTTCCTCAACATTGTGAGACAGCGTCAAGCCCGCCAAGAGACTATCCGGGGGGTTGCAGGGACTTTCCCGACCTTTATGTCCTATTTCAGCTGCAGGAAGAGATGGTTCAAACGCGTCTTGTCCTTGAGAGCAGACTGGTAGCCGGAGTGACTTCTTCCTTCACCTCCCAATAGTACTCGCCGGATGGAGTTGGCAGATTATTGACCAAGTTCAGCCTCTTCAGCAGCAGCTATAGCAACTTGATGGACGAGTCCACCGAAACATACATGTAGTGACTCGGTCAAGTTGTACGCATCCGCTACATGCCTCGAGTCGATTGAACCGCGGATTAAAGTGGTGGGGTTGGTTGCAGGCCACGGCAGAAATGCAAGCTGGGTTGATGAACACCAGAAGAGGCTCCTTATGTGGCCTAGAGTATACTCCTAAACCACTTAGCATGAATCTTTTTTGCCATATACCCAGGACCAAGACTTGGTATAAGCCGTCTACGTTGAGCCAAATTATTGGATGCGGCTATTTGTCTCGGACAATATGCATCCTTCTTTAGGTTATCGTGTTTCAGCTGACGGTTTAATTATATAGGAACCCGGAGTTTCTCCTTGTTCTCTTAGCCTCGAATCATATTCATAAATGACTCTAACTTACCAGGCGGCAGTTGTTCGGCAAATACGGAGCTCCACAGCTGGCGGATCAAGCAGCAAGGCCTCTCACCGTGTTAGCTGTCGTCATCCGGTAACTGATTGCACAAACAGCATGCGAATCGCTCATATTCCCGATGACCAAGGGGCGCTCCAACTCCCTTGAAGGTAAGTGCTGGTTGAGATATTCACCTAGGCAAGTGAAGACGAGCTTTCTCATCTATGCTCAAGTTTCCGGCTCAAACCGTTTAATGTCAACCAGTATAAAGATCCCCACGCCCATCTTTCTTGATGCAAACTTTTTGCCCAAACAGGTTGCCCAACCCTCGCTACTCCCCCAGTCATGATCATGATCCAGCTCTAGACATGCATCGCTGTAAGCAAATAAAAGCAGCATTAGGCACCATCATGTCCTCTCCTCGATATCAAGGTCTCTCTGCAGAGAAAGACGAGGGACACGACGAGACCCAAGCCGGCAAGCCCAACGCCCGTGTAAAGCGCCCCCTGAAATCCCACAAGCCTGTCTGCGCTGGTGAGTCCGCCGCGGTGAACATGCGACTCGACGGTGCCGGCAAATCCGACGCCAAGAGCGATGCCATAATTGACGACGGTGTTGACCAAGCTTGCTCCGATGCCTTGGTGCTCCTTTGGCACGGCGTTTGAGACGATGAGGGTGGCGGCAGGGAAACTCATGTCCATGCCCCAAGGAGTAACGCAAATGGACACAAATATCTGCCCCCAGTACGTCTGGTCAGCCGGAGCGAAAGCAGTCAGAATGGCACCGACGGTAAAAGCGAGAAGCGCAAGCGTCATGACTGCTGCGGGCTTGACCTGCAGAGGGCCGAGGAGCTTGCCGGTCACGACGGCAGCCACGGCGCCCGAGACGGTGACGGGACTAAACCAAGCTGTCGTCAGCAGGGGTGAGAGGTGTCGAATGTCCTGCATGATCTGGACCAGATAGAGGGTCCAGATGCCAAAGGTGGCCCACCCGCAGACGACGGCGGCCAAAACGAAGGCGACCTCGGCGTTGACGGCATCAAACGGCAGCAGGGGCATCGGGCTGAGTCTGGCTTCGATGAAGATGAAGGCGGCGAAGAGAAGCATGCCGAGGATCAGGGGAACGAGGACCGTCGCAGTGGCCCAGCCGTCGATGGGAGCTTGGGTCCAGGCAAAGTTGAAGAGAATGAGGGCGACAACGCCGACGAAAGCACCGGGCAGGTCCAGGACTCGCACCCAAGCCTTGCACCCCTGAGTCGGGACCGTCTTTCGTGGCAACTGCGGGATGGCAATGCTTGCGGCGACAGCGAGAATGGCAAGCCAAATGGCCATTGCCCAGAGCGCCCACGGCCACCACGCCAGCGTGAGCAGCGAAGCAAACAGACCGCCACAGACGCCGCCGATGGGGGCGACTGCGCCAAAAAAGGCAAACACCATGGCCTTGCGGTGGCCCGGGGGGTAGGCAGTGCCGAGGATGGCGAGGGCATTCGGGAGGCAGATGGCGGGCCCAATACCCTGGATGACGCGAGCGAAGACGGCGAGCTTGAAGCTGGAAAAGACACTCAGGCCGGCGACGAGAGACCACAGAGAAAACCAGCAGAAGCCGACAATCAGCATGCGCTTGTACCCAAAGACATCGCCGAGCCGGCCCGAGAACATGATGAAGGTGCCGACAGTCAAAGAATAGCCGGCGACGAGCCATGCGAGATGCGGCGGGCTGGTGACGTTGAAGGTTTGCCCGATTATGCGCAAGAGGACCAGCGTGCCCATGAATGCAGCTTCTGTTGCATCGCATGTCAGGGTACTCATCGAATGTCAGTGGGGGGGAGACGTGGTGAATTGGACTCACGAGTACAAAACTGCGCCATGCAAATCACAAAGACGAAGAAGGCCTCCCGGGGCATGGAGAGCGACTCCGAGGCCCAGATGGTCCGAGCACCGGTCGATTGGCGCCGGAGGTCATGGCCGTCGTCGTGGGCCGGGCCGTTTTGGGTCGATGGTTTTTGCACGATTTTCTCTCGGTCATCGGCCATCATGAGGCGGACACATGTGGCAGCGGGAGACAGAAGGGGGGGGGGGGGGGGGTGGTCAAAGGCCCGAGGAGCTCACAGTCGAGCTTCGATGGCGAGGGTTTGTCAAGGAGACATTGGCGCGGACTAGAAGCGACAGAAGCGACAGAAGAGGACGACACGGGCGACGACACGGGCGACGGCACGGGCGATGAAACGAGCGAGACACGGCAAAGCCAGCTGAGAAGGCCTGCCTGGTTGGGCGAAAAGATTTGCTGGCTGCTGCGGTGACGGGTGGGAGGGCCGAGATGACGAATGGCCAATTACTAAGCATCAGGCTGCTGCTTGCAATCATGTTGACGAGAAGGCGCAGCGACCGACGGTTTCCGTCGACGAACGGCGGTTGGCGAGGGCGGTTGGCAAGGTTCTCGATGAAGAAGAGGAGGCGTTTGAAGCTTGGCCGTCACGTGGCCGCCGGGCGTGTTATTCCGACCGCCGGATATAGGATATAAAAAGGAGGAGTGAAAAAAGAAAGGTACAGTACTTGGTAGGCAGGCAGGTAATTACTTAGGTAGGTAGGTAGGTGGATACCTAGCCGGGACAATGGTCGCAAATGCCCTTCCCACTGCGCTCGCCACCACCTACCTTTCTCCTCGGTCCCAGCCGTCGCCGCCGCCGCCGCCGCCGCCGCCGCCCTCTCAGTACAAGGCGTTCATGCGCATGTCCACATACTCGTCGCAGTTGATGGGCGCGTACTTCTTGGGCCGACCCGGTCCGAAACACCCCGGCACGCAGTCGATGGTCCGGTCGCCGTCGGCGCAGACAAAGTACGGGATCGAGTATCTCGCCCGCGTCATCCGCTGCCCGAGGGCTCTGCCTTGGTCCGCCGGCGTGCGCACGCGGTGCAGCGTCGACTTGAGCTCGTCGTTGCTCCATCGCATCAGCAGGTCGCCAATGTTGACGACGACGGTCCCGTCCATGTACGGCGCCGGGTTGAACCTGCCCTTGTCCGAAATGTCCTCGACCTCGAGCCCGCCCACCTCGTCCTGGAAGAGCAGCGTCATGGTCCCAAAGTCGGTGTGCGCCCCGATGCACTCGACCTTGCCCTCGCCGAGCAGAGACGCGTCCACCGGCGGGTAGTGCAGGAGCCGGATCTGGTTGTTCGTCTTGGAGTGGTAGTCCAAAAAGTAGCCCTCGTCCAGGCCCATGCCCACGGCAATGGCCTTCAACAGCTTCACCTCGACGCCGTAGCAAGCGTCGTAGAAGCGCCCGAAGAACTCCCTGAATCCCGGTACCTCGTGCTCGGGCGGCCAGATGTTGGGCATCCGCGCGTTCTCGTCACTGCCAATCTCAAACGACTCTTTGCAGTCGGGCACCTTGCGTGACTCGGAGATGTCCTCGTCGTCAAACATCATTTGCGTCGTCTTCTCCACACCGACGCCCGAGTAGCCTCGATGGTGCCACCCGTATGGCGGATGGGGGGCCTTGTCCTTGACGCTCTGCGGCAGGGCAAAGAACTTGCGGCTCTGCTGACATTAGAGGCTGCTGTCGAGTGGGCATCGGGAACGCCATACCCATGCAAATGCTTCGTCGACGACGTCCTGCGGCACGCCGTGATTCTTGACGTAGGCAAACCCAACGTTCTTGAAGGCGTCGTAGAGCCTTGCCGCCGTCTCCTCTAGCTCCCGAGGACTATCGGATTCGAGGGGCGCCAAGTCGACAATGGGAATGCCCGAGCACCGGGCCGTTGTCGATGCGGCCATGACCAAGGGCGCAATGATGTGTCGAGTACGTTGGAATATCAGGCGAACCGAGCTTGACATCCGAGCCGCGGTGAGGGTTCACGAGCCCAGTGCAAGATAAGACTCCGAGTCCAAGGCTCAGATGGCAGCTCCGGTCCGTCACGGCGTTGAGTTTCCCCTAGCCTGCGGGAAGATTGAGTCTTTTCCGCCGTTTATCAACACGTAACCTATGTTATGATATGTTATGAGATGATCTGCCCTTGGGCCGGCCCTCTCGGTTCCCGCCGCGCGAGGTGAAATTGGTTAGTTGGCAACCCGAGGCGTGGGAGTGGAGCAAGCCACTGCTGGCCTCAAAGTGTTGAGACGGAAGTCAAGGATTGATTGTCCCAGAACCCAAGGGCCGGGCCTATGTAAAACTGAACCGCATTGGACATGACGCCACCAATCATCTCTTGGACTGCTCGCCAAGTTTCAGCATACAGGTACTTACTATGCATTTTTTTTCCGCCTCGAGATGCAGACGGTGCTGCAGTGCAGAACATACAGTACGGACGTAAGGGAGCGGCACACGAAGTTTGCCGACGTACATGACGTACATTGGTTCATGGTAGGTGGCAGAATTCCGATGCCTTCACCCTTGATCGCTGTACCAGATTGATATTACCGGCATGTATCCGTACTGTGTAGGTAGTACTTGGTGTGTACCTCTACTGATCCATACCGTACCCAAGGTACCTTACCTACAGTGTGTTCACTCGTTTATGTACTCGGGATGAAATACGAATACGCGTACCGGAAACTGCATAGATCAGCCGCCAGTCTCCCATGGTGGGAAGACGTCCTTTAATTATCCACGAGGCAAGATTCCTCTTCCCGGCCTTGCCCGTCACCGATCGACTGCTACCTAGGTATCCGTACTGTACCTGGTCTATGTATTCGTACTCGCGGGACCGAGGCGGGCGCCCGGCAACGTCCCGTGCCTATACTATCTATCCGTACTCTGTACAGTAAATGCTCCTTACCCCTATAGCACCAATGCCCTGGCACTTGCCTGATCTGTTCAAGGGCGTCGTCATGATCGGCGAACTTGGACCCAAGCCTCGGGCACAGTGCGACTGCTGGAGGCGGGGCCCTCGTCTTCAGCCGTCTCGCCCCTCGGGCGCTTTTGCCGAGAATTGGGCTAGAGGGGGCCGAGTGAACTGAATCAATGACTCGGACCAGGCACAAGAAAAACTCGGCTGCAGAGGAGTCGAGAGGAGTCGAGAGGAGTCGAGAGGAGTCGAGAGGAGTCCAGAGGAGGAGGGGGTGGTCTCTCAGCGTAAATCAAGCTGCCAAGAAACATGTCGGTGCCGGCATTCTCCTGTCGTCACCAAGTTGCTCACCCGGGCCCGGCCTCACGTCTGGCAAGATGCAGATGGCGCTCAACCTCCGTGTTTGGCACATCCCGGTGTGCCGTCTGAAGATCCAACCAAGGGGATCGGCGCCCTCTAGAGCAACGAACTGTCTGGCTGTAAAGGGCGCAAGCTACGGATGTGCAGCAGACGTGCGCACACAAAACACTTGCTCAACCTCAATCTCGGGTGGGATTTGCCCAGCGGTGGGACTGAACCCGCTCGGTCTTCGAATGGATCCAGACTTGACGTCTTCGCTCCTCCCCGTCCTTTGAATCACCGCCATGCAACGCATCAATCATCACTCCACGGCAATAGACGATAGCGCGATTCATTCCCGGGTCTCGGTCGCAATGACCGAACCATCCATCTACGTTTCCCCCATGGTCCAGCTCCTCGCAGTCGAATGACTTGCTTGGCCTTGGGTGGTGATGAAACACGGGAGCCTGCAACAACAGGCGATCTTTGCGGCCGGCCGTGGACAGGTCGATCCCAGCCGTTTGGGAAAGGAGCACACCGCGGGTGTTCCTTGCGATCGTCTGCTAGTCATGTCCGTGCTCCGCCTGTGCTTGCGGAACAGAAGGGTAGCTTCCAGAACCCACCCTGGCCATGCGGACCGGCAGTCCCGAGGTTGACCACGACGACCGGCATGTTCGACTCTGTGGTCAGCTCCGCCGTCTTCATACTTGCCGCCTGCAAGTCCGTGACGTTTTGCAATTTGTGGAATCCCCCGGCGGAGCCAGGTTCCATCTCGGGACCTGGCTGTCATTGAAGCACTCACGAGCTTGCCGTTGCCCATCTCCCACTCCGCGTTAAGCTGTCAAGGCCCTTCACCTTCGTCATCAAGATTCAAAAGACCAGTCTCCGAGCTTTGGACTTTGCATGCTGGTCCCCATGCATGCCATGGGAGCTTACCACCGTGGGTTATAAAACCTGGTCGTCTTCGACAGAGCTGTCCCAGGATTCCCCGAACCCCGACGCTGGCATCGTCATGAAGCAAAACACCAACCCCTTAACACAACGTCCCGCATGTCGGCCAACACGATGTAACGAACCGTGTAGCATCCGATCCTCGCTGACGTTTAGCCATCAGACGAAACCCCTAGGCTTGCACACAGGCAATCATCTGTGCGGGCAAACTTCCATGTGTGTATATATATGTGTGCGCGTATGCTCACGCCGTGCCTAGATCTCTTCTTGGCAGTGTTCCCTTAATCATCTCACCATTCTTTCTCTTTCTCGAGGTCCCAGTGACCCGAGCCCGTGTTCTTTTTTCTTTCTTCGCAAATCTTTCACTCATCTGTGCGGGCACATTTCTTAAATCTTCTTCATCATGGCCTTCTCTTCAGTTATTGTCGTTGCTCCCTTGATGTTCACCCTGGCTAGATGCCATGGGGTCATCGTCAATGCTCAAGGAGAAAAGGGATCTCCTCCCAGTGTTGGATTTCAAGGTTGTTAATAATGACTCGTCTGTGTATTGAACCATGGCTGACCTCAACGCTCCCCAGTCGACCCTTCCATTGCCCGCAACTGCATCACCATCAGCCCTTGCCAGCAAGACACTACCATTATCCGTGATCAGGAAATCAAGACCAATGTCGTCAATCAGTGCGGTCGCACGCAGCTGACAGGAAACATTGACGTTGGAGAGAACACGGAGAATGCCCTGGCAGCTGGACAGGTCACCCAAGTGCAGTCAGGTAGCAGCCTCCAGGTGACAATTCACCAGGTCAACGCCGATGGTGCTGGCCCCTACACTTGCGATATGGACCAGTCCGGCAACACCGGCATCGAGTTCACGGTGAGAGCCGGACATGGAATTTCAAACGCGGAACTAGGCTGACGTTGTACAAAGAATCTCACAGTCTCAAACAACGTGCCCGGAACCAACGGTTTCTCGCAAGCCAAGGCCGAGGCATTCGATATCAATGTTCAAATGCCCGACAATTTCAAGTGCGAGGGCGGTGAGTCTCGGCCATCATATCCAAAGACATGCCCCTCGACGCTGAACTTCGCCAGGATCCACCGGCAACATATGCACCATCCGCTGTCGCAATAACGCTTTGGCTGGACCATTCGGAGGTTGTTTCGCAGTGCAGCAGACCGATACCAAAGGGGGAAACAACTCGCCCGCACAAATCAGCACAGCAAATAAACTGGAAGACGTACTTGATCAAGTGCAGCAGGACCAAGCTGATTTCGGCACGGCCGTCAAGGCAAACGAGGTTGCTGGATCCGACGAGGCTGAGCAGAACCGTGCTGCCGTGGAATCCATCCTTGCGAATAAGGTTGTGACCAAAGAGTTTCCTCAGGAGACACCAGACGTGAGCAACAACAACAACAATGACAACAACGACAACAGTAACAACAACAACAACAACAACAACAACAACAATAAAAACAACAATAACAACAACATCAACAAGGGCCAGGGAGGAGGTGGTGGCGGAGGTGGTGGTGGAAGCCCCGGGCAAGGAGGAGTTCGCGGAGGAGGTGGGGGAAGGGACCAAGGAGGAAATGGAGGAGGGCAGGCCAACGCACAGAAGAATCAACAGAAAAACCAGGGGAAAAATCAGAAGAAGAACCAGAAGAAGAGCCAGAAGAAAAACCAGAAGAAGAACCAGAAGAATCAGCAGAGGAGGCAGAGGGAACGGCGGGAGTGGTAATCCAAAAACGGCAATACCGGATATACACGGGGCTTCATGAGCAAGCCTACGCCATCTGTTTAGATACACATTTCTCGTACATGTAGATTCCAAAGTCGGCAAAAGCTGCATATATTACGTACCAGTTATATATATGGACTGCTCTAGTTCAACCCCTTATCCAGCGGGTCCAATTCCTTTCCCCTCGATAAAGAGCGTAGTAAAATATTGCCAGTCATCGTTGTCGTCGTCGGATCGTTCCCCAACGAAACGACGTTAGCTACCAGCTCCACAGCCGCCACTGATTTGGCAGTCAAGTCTCAACCAGGCTATAGGAGTCTCTTTCGCTCTGCGTGGGTCTTCTGTCTTGCATTCCCCGCCACTATCTCTCCTACAAATGCTTATTCTCTACCTCAACTGGAGACTCGGGGTCCGCGACCTCATATCTGGACCCGTTTGCTTGAAAAGGCCCTTCTTCGCCAAGCCCTGGAACGGGGAACACGAGATTAAGCAACCAGAAGACAGCAAAACTGATAAAGAGGCCGACGAGAAAGGTTAAGTTATAAAGACGAATCCACCCGGCGAAAGATGCGGATGCGTCTGCGTTGACGGTTCCGACTAGGCCCGCTAGATGCTTCTGTTAGCCTACTTGTTGTCCGCAGCACGCTGAGGGGCAACTTACGCAGGAGCGGCCACACGCCGGCGACAAATGCTGCAAAGGCTCGCCAGTTGCAGCCATGATTGAACCAGTAGATGGAAGATGCGTCGCCCACGTATAGGTCTTTGAGCTTGAGCTTGTATTTTCGAACGGCGTGATAGTCTGCCAACAAAATTCCGCTAAACTTTGGTTACTACGCTGCCCGCGGGTGTTTTGTTTATGGGAGACGACGACTTACGTTGCAGGCGCTATGAAGACACCGAATCCGCTCATGACCGCCAAGAATTGGGTCGCGGATGTCAACAATTGCCACGGCCCGCATTCCATTAGTTCGTTGTCTAGATGAGCTTTGGGGGGAAGACACTCACTGTGTTGCTATTCCTATAATCGCCATGATGTATGCACCTCGTCTGATATTGATATACTTGGGCCATAGGCCAGCCATATCCATGCCACAGCTCATGGCATTCAGTACCAGCGAGATCTGAATCACAGTCAGCGAATGCCATGACTCTTGCGAAAGACAGAGTGTTAGTACCGAGAGTTGTGAGCATACCAGCCCGGTGCTGGCAAAGAAGACTCCTGCGCGGGCTCCGGATGATGACTCGTAGTGGTCCTGGATCTTGGCCAGGAGGTGGATGGGGTTCCACTGAAGCGCTCCTCCCAGTAGATCATGCGAAGCGCTGGTGACGACGATGCCAATGATTGCGGTCACGGAGATGGTTATGGGGCTTGCGAAAAGCTGAGACGCGGTCGGCGCGTATCTGCGACTGGCATACCTCGTCCAATCTGACTGACCAAGGGTACCGCCACCCCAGGCGCCCAAGATGGATGTGATTCCGTACATGAATGCCCATCCGATGTTTGGCGCAGTGCCATCTTCTTGGAACATTGTACCGGGACCGCGAACCTGAGATACAGCCCTTCAAGTTCGAGGAACTGATGAGCATTGTTCAGGGCGCCTCGTGAGTCACATGGGACCGAGTCGACTTACCAGATAAGAAGCCCAAAGCAGGAGCAGCAGAAAAGGACGAAACAAATCACAAAGCCAGTCTGCAGCTTCTCTGGCCGAATAAGAACGCCAGGCACAAACAAGCACATCCAAACGATCAGCCCAATAAAGTCGTTCGTTTGTAGGTGAGAGTTTGGGTCAAAGGAGTTGGGAAGATGCGCAAAGCCTGCCATTGTTTAGTCCATGAACAGAGGTGGGAATCTGGGATGAGCCTCTTACCCGGGATCAAGGCCCCAATTGCGACCCTCGTGGCCTGACCGCCCCAGAACGCCTGCAGGCCGAACCAGATGCTACCGACAAACACGCGGATGATGACCGGAACTAGAAGCTTGACATTTAGGAAGGATGGCTGGGGCCCGGGTCAAAAGAGCAGACTGACAGTAAGAGCCACGCATTCCCCAAGAGAACCGGCTGCAGACTGTGAATCCTATGTGATGGAGTTCGCCCATCCAGCCACAGGCCACGGCAAGCAATCCCGTCATGAAGCCGCCGACAATCTTTGATGAAACTTGGTGAGTGCGTCATGAGTGTCGGATGTCAGAATACGCAGACATACCACGGTACCAATGGCTTGCTGAGGGCTGAGCCCAAACGCCAGGAGAGTGCTCCCCGTTGACCATGCTGAGATGTTGGATCCGGACACGGTCCAGTAACCTGACATTGTAGATGAGCTATGGGGACTGAGCCGCGCAATGATGCGCAAGCTGCCTCTTACCGAGATATGACAAGACTCCGAACGTTCGCCTCGCCGGTGGAATCGGGATCAGGTCTCGATTACACCAGGTGGTGTTCTCATAATGAGCATCATTGTCGCGAGGACTTTAATTGCGTTGCGTTGCGTTGCGCATCGCTCAATTAGCTGGGCACAAGCACATCAAGCATGAGAGTGAGAAGCTACCATTCAAGCTTCTGCTTGGCTGCAGTCCAGTCTACGCCCATCGCTCAGACATGCGGTGCGACAACTTCAATGTTCAATGAGGGTAAGCGCACCGTTGAGGGCCTTGCAAAACCGGCGCCGTAGGGCTTTATTATTGCATTGGCGGTCCACTCCTCCGCGCGCCGCAGGGCTGCTCCGTAGTGAGCTTACTTCTCACCGTTACACTGCATCATGCGCGTCTAATTATACGGCCGACTGAGCTGGCCCTTCGAGCGACCAATAGACACAGGGCCAGGCAGAGAGGTTGGATATGTACATACGGGTACGAAATATTAGCCGTGGCTGCCGGGAGAACAATCGTCGTGAGCCCGGAAGGGCCCGGAGATAAAGAGCATCAAGTTGTTGAGCATGTATAAACTGTTATGCTTCCTTCCCATCGCTTTGTCTCACATGAAACTGCAAATCAAGCACACTTTACGGCCCAGGCCAACAACGGCTCAAGTTTCGAAGGCGACCGGGCATTCTGGTCTGAGAGGTGCGATAACTGCAGTCATCATCCTTATTTGTGATCAACTGAATGGTTCTGCCCGATATACCAAACATCCCTTGAAAGATGGGCAAGCGCATAATTACATGGTTCCGTGAGATGGGTATCGGAGGTATGAAATCCGCTTCGTATGTACAATCTGCCACGCATGCTTGCACGCAAGGCCACATGGAGTATACTGGTAGCACATATATGTACTAATACGCCGGAAGAAATTTTCTCAAAACGCTAATCAGTTGTGAATCCACTGAGAAGCGGATCTTGTCATGCTATGATCCGTTTCTCGCCCACACCCATACAGGAAGTAGAGTATTGTACAGTAGATATGTTGATAAATTCATATGTATGCACCGGTATTCATACATGTACTCCATACTTGATACATGGTACTCCGTATCCGCAGTTTGTGCCGCTGACTGCACAATGTACATACCGGTAGTCTGACAGGGAGCGCCCATCCATAACTGCGGAGGAACAGGGATTTTGACGAATTAGATGGCTACGTGCTAAGCAGTATTAATCACTGAACTGCCATCGTAATTGAAGTAGGGGTGGCGCCTTATAGTACCGCTGCTACAAGGCCCTAATCCTAGCTCCTAGAGGCCTTCGTGTTGACACGATACGAAGAAAGTACTCCGTAGGCGTGGGATGGTTTGCTCTATCTACTGTGGAGGCCGTGACCTGGGGGCTGTTCCTCCGCAGTTAAAGGGAGCATGATACTTACACATAGCTTATGAGCACTGCACTGATCCTCGCTAGATTTCGGTACGCATACCTAGGTAGACCGCATGAGTAAGAAGGGAGAGTCAGTCCTCTGGGCAAAGGAGCAGAGCATGCAGGGGGAGCTGTCACGATTAGCCGGACGGGGCGCACAAAGGTCTGGTGCTCACGTCTGTCCTTAAGGAGTTGTGTTTACACATTGGTATACGTACTCCGTAGAATGCATGCAGGTGCTAAGACAGCACCCAAACGGCAAAAGCTTATTATAACCGGGGAAGCAGGCGCGCGAAGCCTATTGCTTAATACCCGTTATTAGCCAGGCCCTCAGCGGGTAGCCTTATTAGGGGGGGCTAACTTGCTGCTCACTCTATTGTTAAGTCGAAAAGGCGTAGGCAGCGCCCAGCCAACGGGTAAATGGAGGTGTCCAAGTTTCCACAAAATACGTCCAGAAGTTTAAGCTCTCCTACTTCTACTCTGGTAGGCTGAAAGCTTGTATCACGAAGTCGACAGATTGACTATTCCGCTGCCTACAATAAGCTTTCTCTTTTTAGCCGGTGGTTATGTTTAAATCATTAGGTAGCAATCTTGTCACGAGAGTTCCCTTTGCGATTGTCACAATTACTATTAATCCCCCCTTATCACCCCTGTAATTAGCTACCAAGTTTTCTCGTATTGCTACCTTTTGAGGACCTTTTCCTTCACCCAAAACGTTACTATGAAGCTGACTGTAACAAAGAACAGAGTTGGCATCAAAGCGCCGAGTGTGGCTACCTGGTAACTGGCCCTCACCTGCTCGGCCACTTGGCCAGGAAGCTCCTTGATGCAGTCGAGGCTCTGACGAACCCTCTCCTCGATCTCACGCGCCTCCGTCCCGCTATCCAAGCGCGCAAACAGCTGTAGTCTAAGGGTCTGCTGAAGCACAGCAGAGTTGACACTGATGCCAATGCTGGACCCAAGAGATCGGAAGAGGTACGAGCAGGCAACGACCATGGCGCTGTCTTTGGGGCGTGCGTGGGCGAGGAGGCCAACTAGCGTGGTCGTCATACCTGAGTGTTTGATGGTCAGTGAGCGCGCAAGTTTCAAGCGGAAGCCAATCGCTGGTCCAGGTCAATGGGGAAGCGTCGTGAAGTAATATCTGGTCCCAAGAATGGCTGCAGAAGAAGGACCCTTACCGGAACCTCCACCAATGGCTGTCATTATGAGCCCAATCGTCTCGCCCGGGGTAAACCTATGCCAGACCGATAGAATAATGGGGAACACGCTGACGAAAAGCACGCCATAAGATCCAACTGTGACCCAGTAAAATCTCCCGGTTTTCTTCACAATCCACCCGCCCCCAAGTGAGGCGACGACGCTGAAAATCATGGCGGGCACAAGCAGGACGCCGCTCATGGTCGCGCTGAAGCCCTCCACAGCCTGGAAATAGAGTGGCAGGAAGAATAAGATGCCGAAGTAGCCGGCCGACCCGAAAAAGTTGGCGAGGTAGCATGCCAGTATGTTGGGGTCGAAGATGATGCGACCCGGGGCGAAAGGATTAGTAGCGACTCTGGTTTCAACAAAGATGAAGAGGGCGGACAGAGGCAAGGTCAGGCACAGAGACACGATGGTGAAGAGGTGAGACCAGCCGAAATTAGAGCCGAAATCTAGCCCGGCGAGAAGGGCGACGACGGCCAGGACGAGGGTGAAAGCCCCCAGGAAATCGATTCGTCGCAGCTTGGCGAGCCAATGGTCGTGCGACGTAGGCGGGATGTCGAGAACGAAGTAGACGGCAAGCCATGCAACCACGCAAAGCGGCGTTTGCAAGATAAAGGACCTTGTATGAGTCTGATGATTAGCCTCTCGCGCCCCAATGCCAGGCTGCTTCCCCCGAGCGGTTCTCGTCGGGATCACGGGCCACCATACCAGCGCCAACCGAGATAGTCGGCTGCAATTCCGCCGAGTGGAGCTCCAGTCGAGGTGCCGGCGGCAAAGATGATGTTGATGTAGCCTTGCCAGATGCCACGATCTCTCAGGGGCACAATGTCAGAGAGGAGGATAGCCACGACGGAGTTCATGCCACCGCCGCCGATCCCAGCGAGCGCGCGGAAGGCACACAGCTGGAGCATGTTTTGCGCGAGGCCGCAGCCCAAGCAGCCGACGCCAAAGACGGCATAGGCAAAGAGCAGGCACTCTTTCCGGCCGAAGATGTCACTGAGCTTGCCGTACAAGGGCTGACAGCTTGTGAGGGTGAGAAAGTAGCTACACCACACAGTCAAGAAGGTGTTGTTTTAGCCTGTGAAGCTTTCCCAAGACGACAGGAGGAAGGACGGAGAAGGATGTATGCACTAAAGAAGAGTGAGAAACCAAAACTGCTTACGAGGTGGCGATCCAGCTTATGTTGTTGAGCGAGTTGAGCTCATTGCCAATCTTCGTGCCCGTCGCAACGGCTAGGAGCTGATCAATTGCGACCAGATAGATCTTGACTCCTCGGTCAGCATCAGGTGAATAATCGGGTGTACAGGGACACCATAAGCTTACCCCGACACCCACAGCGGGAAGTATTAGGTGCATCTTCTTGGCCATGACCGGGTCGCCATCTTTGGGCTCATCGGTCCCTTTGAGCGCGTTGTTGCGACCGTCTTCGACATCGGCTGGAGAGCGAGAGGATGCTTGATACGAGCCATTGCTTGCATTTCCCAGGAGGGGCGACTCCTCGGTCGCGAGAGCCAGCTTGCTCGCCCGCATTGTAAGGTCGTCCGGGTCAGGCTCAAGGGGAACTCGGATGGGCGTATCTTGGGCATACGCCGATGGATGAATGATGCAGCAATGGGAGGTAGTCCAAGGTGGACGCTACAGGCGCCGACAAGACATGCTCGGCCCTCGGACTGGAGGCCTAGGCTGAGGAAAAATCCTCGCGATCGTCAATCCCTCCCTCACTTTAAGTAGGAAGCGACTACGGATACATTAGTGGCGCTTTCCCATCCGCGATGTACGCTAACTCCCGGGTCGGGACGGGAAGGAAAAGAAGGAATATGTGGGAGTTGGTGATGTCGGTGACTGGACGGAAGATGCCATCGGGGAAGTCCAAGGCAGGTGTCGACAGAGATATATATCTACTTCGTAATGCACCTCGTAACCAACATTGCACACAAGGATAAGTAATGTATTCCAAACTGTTGATGTGTACTCGGGAGCCAACATTGATCAGGCAAGGAGCGGCAAAAAGTGTCAGCTGAAAGGCCTGGCTCTTTGGACCACGAAAAGGAACATTCAAACTGTCTAGACCGCGTGGCTGACTGCCGACCCGGACGGGGCACTCAGGAGGCCGTATTACACTTCATTGACCCATCCGTTGGCCAATCAGCTCGTCAATTGTCGCCATCCGGGTGCACAGCGCTGCTGTTGGTCTTACATCGGCTTAGGGCCTTTCGCGCCATATTAGGTGATGATCCTCGAATCACGCTCCTGCACAGAGTCCCATGTGTTGCAAGGAGATGTATCCTGGGCAGTGGGTTGAGCGAGACATTTAGTAAAACCCACTCGGGGGTTCTTCATGGCCAAACATGAAGCTTATGCTACAAGTCGATCCCGCCCTTCTGACGTCTCCATGCGGCGGCTTTCTGTTCCAGACACGGCTGCAGACTGCTACATCGGCCAGAGTGCAATGGAACCACACGGCACTGCTTCGTCAACCATTTGATCTGCGACGAATCGATTCACGCCGGAACAGCGGGCTACATGCACGGAGTAACTTATGAGTGCCTACTCTTGAGCCGGGCTTATAGTACGTAGAAGAAGCCCGGCTGGAGAAGTGCCTCCCTCCCCTGCCACCTGACAAGGTCCAAGTGACAGGTTGTGCTCCCTAATTTCGCCATCGTTCTGCGGGCTGGCACCATGTATCATCCGTACATGGCTCTGATGTCAAGTTGACGCGGCGCAGTGTTGTGTCTCGGTATCGCGACAACCGGCAAAAGATCGACCTTGCCGCCTTCTCGGTGCAGTGCCTTTCGAGGTCCGCTAACGAGCCGTAAGGCGTATCGATGCGCTGCCTTACTTCTTAGTGATACTGCCTACGAAAATGACTCTGGCCAGGTGTCTCGACAGGTAACACTGAAGTGGGAAAACTGGGGGACTTCAAGGTCTCACAGCATTAGAGTAGCCATGGTTCGTTGGTTCCCTTGTCTGGATTCGTGCATACTAGCCGCGGCGGCACAGCTGTCCAAATGGCCGCCATGTCTCACTCATCGTTTTCCAGCTTCGGAGTGTTTGACCTTGGTACTTCTTGATGCGGCTGTTCTTTACGCCATTTGCATCCCTGCTTTGTACTTCGTACGCAAGAAGTAGTTGGCCTGTATCCGTACATTACACACGTACGGCCAGAGAAGTCCACGGGAGGACACAGGTGAAAAGCAAGACGATATGCTCATCCCTCTAAAGCCGCCGGGAATGGAAGGGATGCCATGTTGGTCATCTGGAAAAAACGAATGTCCAACGTAGCCAGTCTCCAACGTCGTCGGTCAGGAAAAAGACCCAACGGCCACAGCACAGGTACACTTAAATATGCCGATGGCGTGCTGGACACCTAGGACAGCTCATAAGATAATAGCCAGCTTTCCAAGGACCTCGAGGTATCGAGTGATGTCACAGGCGGCACAGAGGGACGCGTACAGTAGTATTCCTTACCGCAGCCCAGGATCAATGTCTCAGCCACGTACGGATTGAGGCGTTCTGTTGAATCGGTGCAACCCCTTGAACCCGCAGCAAAAGTCCCATGGCATTGGGCCCTCTCTACCGTCCGTTGACCGCGTATGGTGCAATCCGGACCAGCAAGTCGCCCTTGTCCACCGCGTCCCCGGCGACCGCGGCAATTGTGTCGATCCGTCCGCTGACTGGTGAACTAACATTGACCTCCTGTATCCGACTCGTTGAGTAACGTCCGAGAAGGCAGTGGAGGACCTGCGGCAGCTGGCTTTACATACCATCTTCATGGCGCCCACAGTCAATAGTGTCTGCCCGACCTTGACGGTTTGTCCGTCTTGGGCAATCACTCGAACAACGGCCCCTGCCATGGGGGCCGCCACCTCACCCTCAGCATGCACGTCGGCCTTTGGCAGCTTTCGTCTTGGCGTGGCTGACCCGTTGCGTCAGCTCACAGTGAGCAGCGCAGTGGACGGGAGATCATGCAGTCAAGGACAGGAAAGCCGGGGAGAACCCACCCTTGACGTCTCGAACAGCTACTGAGCAGAACTCTCCGTTCAGCCGGAAGAGCACATCACGCATCCCTGTTGCGCTTTCCAGGGGCCGGATCGCCACCATCTCCGCAATGACGTCCCGGTCACCACCCTTCGGCAGTCGTACTTCTTGGCCTATCTCCGGAGGTGACAGAAAGTCGGGCGTGCGGAGCGCGGTGAGGTCACCGAAATTCCGCCGCGCCTGTCGAAATTCCATATAGACCTGCGGAAACATCACGTAGCTGGCCACATCGTACTCGGTTACAGGAGATCCGGGGAACATGGCAGCAATGTGCCGGCGGACGCGGTCGAAGTCGACCGAGTCCATTGTCAATCCGGGCCTCTTCTTGACCACGTCCCTCTGGCCGCGAAGCACATGGGTGCGAAGAGGCTCCGGGAATCCATCAAAAGGACGACCCATCAGGCCCTCAAAGTACTCAACAACAGACTTGGGGAAGTCTAGCGTCGACGCCCGTTGCTGTATGTCCACTGCAGACAGCTTGCGGTCGACCATGAACTGGGCCAGGTCTCCAACGGCTTTCGACGTCGGGGTGGCTTTGATGATGTCACCGAGGAGGTGATTCGCATCTTCGTACGCCTTGAGCGTCTCGGCCCACTGGTTCCCAAGCCCGTTCTGGCGAGCCTGGAAGATGAGGTTCGAGTATTGGCCTCCTGGAATCTCGTGCCTATAGACCGTTGGGTCGGGAGATCGCAAGTCGGCGTCGAATCCCGCGTACATCAGTCGAAGCTGTGCCCAATAGGCATCAATTACTTGGAGCTGATGGAGTGATAATCTCGAGTCAAAGCCCGAGTTCTCCAGCGCCACGACCATGGCACTGGCTGCGGGCTGGGACGTGGCCCCCGAGAGACTGTCTACCGCTGTGTCGACGATATCCGCACCTTCCTCAACACAGGCGAGCATCGTGGCCACTCCGGCACCATTGGTGTCGTGCGTGTGCATGTGGATGGGCATCTCGGGGTACTTGGTTCGAATGGCCCGGACCAACGCTCGGCCTGCTGCCGGCTTCATAACACCGGACATGGACTTGACGGCGATGACGTGAGACCCATATTCGACCAGGCAATCGACAACTCCCATGTAGTACTTGAGATCGTATTTGCTTCTCGGGTTCAGCATATCACCAGTGTACATAACGGCTCCTTCGACGAGTCCGCCGGCCGCATGAACAGCATCGATGCCGATTTTCAAATTCTCCAAGTCGTTTAGGCTATCAAATACCCGGAAGATGTCGACTCCTGTGTCTTTTGCGAGCTTGACAAAGTGAAAGAGAGCATTATCGGGGAGACTAGACACGTCTTTGTCAGTCTCCGAACTCTGTGGAACCGGGAATCAGCAGCTTTACGAAGAATAAGCGACCCCGTTCGTACTCCGGAGGAGCATCTGGAATGGGATGTTTCTAATGTTTGTATGAGCGATTAGCAAATGTTGCCGGCCAAGGGTGAATTGATTGACGGAAACTGAGAGATGAGCACGTACGGCACAAGTTTCCGGAGCTTTCGCTAAAGCGGCCCGTCAGTTTTATCATGACCATGGCAATAGATAAAAGGAACTGGACACAACGAACCAGACGCTCCCATGGATCCTCGTACAGGAAGCGCAACATCACGTCAAACGTTGCCCCTCCCCAGCTTTCTAGACTATAGGCTTCCCGGTAAGCATGGCTAGTATATTTAGCAATCGCCTCTAAGTCGTTGCTCCGCACCCGAGTCGCTAGGAGAGATTGCTGCCCATCGCGCCATGTTGTATCGGAGATGAGAGTGTTGGAATGAGTTCGAACTTGGCGCGCGAATTCACGCGGTCCCTCTCGTGTGAGGATGTCACGCCATCCCTGACGACATGGCTCGGCGCAATCGATCGCTTCGCCCGTTTCCGGATCCGTTAAATGACCAATGTCTATATCTCGCCTGAGCCCGGGTGGTTTCTAAAAATCTGTGAGAGAGATGGAGCAAGTATTGGTTTGGGGCTGATTGGCCCTGCTCATACCGTTTGTCCTTGAACTTGGCTACCGTTCACAGCCGCAGTCGCCAAGAAGCGCATCAAGCCCTCTGCCTGGTCATCCGGGGCTTCCGGATAAAACAATGTCGGAGTACTTTCGACAAATGAGGTCCAGCAGTTGCCCTTGGCAAACGTTGGATCTTCGAGTAGGCGAACCAGAAATGCAATGTTGGTTTGAACGCCAAGAATCTGAAACTCTTTGAGGGCACGTATCGCTCGTTTCACAGTGGATGCCATGTCAGCGCCAGAGCATATGCATTTGACCAGAAGCGAATCGTAGTATGGGCTGATGCTCGCGCCCAGGAAGCATTCGCTGTGGTCAAGGCGCACGCCTCTGCCGGTTGGCAGGCGACATCCCCGGATTGTGCCAGAATCGGGGCGGAACCCCTGTGAGGGAATTTCCGTGTTGACACGACACTGGACGGCGAACCCGGTGCGATGAATCTTGTCTTGAGCTAAGCCCAACTCTTTGAGCGTGGCTCCGCAGGCAATTCGCAGCTGCGCACTGACAATGTCGATTCCAGTGATTTCTTCCGTGACCGTATGCTCGACTTGACTGTCAGAGGTGATTCTTAGTATAGCAGACGTCAGTCCCCAATTACTCCCTAAGTCCAACGTACATGCGAGGGTTCATCTCAATGAAGTAGAGCTGTTCGCCCTCGACTAGGAATTCGACGGTCCCGGCATTCTCTACAGTTGCTGCCGGGTTAAGAACCACCCACGGTAGCTTGTTAGGAAGCAGTCACTTGCCATAGTTTATTCCCTTTGCCAACCGAATGGCAGCATCCAGAACGCCCCGCCGCACGGCAGGCGAAATGTTGGCGGCCGGCGCAAATTCAATGATTTTCTGGTGATTGCGCTGGACGCTACAATCGCGCTCGAAGAGATGAACATGATTTCCGTGCCCATCGCTGAGAATCTGGACCTCGATATGCTTTGGGCGACACAGATAACTACGCTCGCAGAAATGTTAGCGGTTGGACTCTCCAAACGTTGGCCACGCTCAATTGCCAATGCATGTAGCGAAGACTGACCGTTCCATGTAGACGGCGCCGTTTCCGAACGCTGCGCGAGCTTCTGATTGACTGGCGGCAATGGCTTCTTCGATATCTTCCTTCCGACGGATTACTCGCATTCCCCGGCCACCGCCTTCGGATGTCAGTGAGGTGAATCTCCCTTGCACCCGCGTCAATGCCCACGGGCCTCACCTCCGAAATTGGCCTTGACGACGACGGGATATCCGTGTCTAGCCCCGTTTTGTGATTTCAGTTGCCTGTAGTTGCATGGGAAAGATGGACAAAGCGCAATCTGAAGGGTCACAGAATGTAACATACTCCTCTGCAAACTCGTACGCCTCTAGCAGGTCCTTCAATGGGCCATTGGTGCCCGGGATGGTTGGGATGTCAAGACTCTGAGCAATCTGTCGAGCCGCTACCTTGTCGCCCATTTTCCTGATGATTTCTGTAGGCGGTCCGACGACTGCGAGAACCAATCAGCTGCATAATCGTCTCAGTCAATTGAGGTTGCACGGGATTTACATGTGAGGCCCGCTTCGCGCACCTGGGCCGCAAACTCGACATTCTCAGAGAGAAAACCATAGCCTGGATGACTGCTCGACCATGAGAGTCTCTCCTAGGCAAAGCTTGGGCCAATTCAGGTGTATGCACGCACACCAGATCAGCATGGTGCTGCTTTGCAATGTTCACGATGCGGGCACCGTCCAGATACGCCTCCCTACGAGCAATCGTTAAGCCCGTATCAGGTTTCAAAGGGGCCAGGACATACAATGGGCCCAAATCGCCAGATTCGCCAATCTGAAAGCAGGCGTCGGCCCCTGAGGATCACTTTAGCTGACTGCACGAGACCAAGGGGAGAGGACACTGATAGCGGGAAGCGAACTTTGGAGATAACCAGCCAGACGGTCCTGCTCGGAATAAATGACCATCGTCGACATGCCCACTTCTCCAGCCGCTGTAACGATTCTACTTGAGATCTCGCCTCGGTTGGCGACGAGGACCTTGTGGTGCGCCATGTCGCGAGATGTGGTTGGATACAGTGACCAGGCAGAGATGCTCGGCGAAGCTGAAGAAAGTAATGCAGTTTTTGCGGAGCCCAGGCCGTATATAAACAGTTGGGCAGGCCCAACACCTCAGGCTGGTCCGTCGTGCATATACGTGAGTAACGTGACATCATGCCGTGAAGCAAGTCGCACCCATGCTGAACAAGCCATATTAAGAAGCGAAGGCCTCTTGGGTCTGGACTTTGACCAAGGATGCTAAATGCCTCGGAAACGGCACGGAAAGTTCAAATAGGGAAGCCGACTGGGCGCATTGCAACGTCTCACAGTGACGTGGCACTGCCGATCAAAGATAGCGAATTAAAGACAGGGGTTCTATTTGGGACTGAGATTCTAGATCTATACGGAGAAGTATCTATCGCAAGTGATAATGCCCTAGTGCATTTGTGCTATACACCGGTGAGCCACGACAAATGTCAGCTACATCAAGACGAGCCATGTACAGCAGAGTTTCTTCTTGTAGCCTTTAACGGCTGATGCATTCAACTTCTCACTCTTACATGCCATTCACTCTACATAATTTACCTCGGGAAAGAAACCGCAGGTCTTACCACTTGTAGAGTGAGATCGCGGATTTTGGGGACAGACACTTATCTCTTTCAGAATCAGTCGACTTATAGGTGAAACCAAGGGTTTGGAGACGCGAGGGACGGAGTTCTGGCTTAGCTAATAATGGCCTTCGCGGCGCAGGCGCGGCGGGGGCTAGGGAGTGAGATATTTCAGTCCGAAATTCAATAGGAAGAAGGTATACTCGGTAACGACAAGAACGCCGGAGAGCCGGTATGCTCCCTGTGACCTCCCTGCCTTCATTGAACGAGGGGACGAGTATAACACCACTACCGGGGAAAGGGTTTAGTACATTGAACATGCCTAGGTTGGCTGCAGCAACATCTCGCGCCAGCTGGCCAAGATGCAAAACCACAACCCGGCACCACACTACGGAGACGGCCAGGTCGTGTGGTGAGGCACGTCCGCCTTGGGGTGAGACAACGCTCCGAGTGAGCACATTGAGAATCTTGCCGATTTGCATGCCCAAGAACTAGCTTGAGCTGTGCGCGGCCATCTGGCTCGAGATGCTCTGACACGTTTCACGGGAGGCGTGCCTAGGTTGACGATTACTCTACCCGACGGATGGCCATAGGCGGTAGGCAGTTCGTATGAGTAAAATAACTCGATTTGCCTAATAACACACACTTATTTCGAGGCCCACCGCAAATGAATCTTGGGAGCCACAACCTGCATTGCCAAATGGCCATCACTAGCCTTTCGTAAATGCATTCGGAGTCATTGCGCCCTCAGGAGCTGGCGTTGGTGACCCCTAGTCGGGCCGGGTTCTCCCGATTGGAGTAGCACTCTTTCCTGTCGTCACCTTCCAAGGCAATATCGCACTCGTCTATATTATGCTTGTCTACCACATTGACCTGGCCATGTCTCCGCCCAAAGCCAGACACCATATTTTGCTCATGAGCTTGATTAATATTCCGCAGTATAGGACTATCTCAACTCATATCTCGGCCCCCATGATTTATTTCAAGCCTTGGTGTACAACTGTGAGTGCGAGAATTAAGACTTGGGGGTAATATCGACACATGAACTTGTAAATGGAATAAAAATATCAAGCAACGCGAATGTCTTGCTTTTCCTTCCTAAATATATTATCAGCCTACTTCAACTTTCCGACCACTATACTATAGCTCGACTATCGTTGACTTATCTAGAGACTTTCTCGTCTCTTTGCCATCAGACTCGCTAGCATCCCTTACAACTCTGTATATTATTTTCCTAAGCCATCATGAAGCTCCTTTCTGTTCTCTCCTTCGTCTTCCTGGGTGCCGCCGCTCCTTTGTCAGGGGGTCAAGATGACGAAAGGCCTAGGATTGAAGCTAAACTGACGAGCCTTGATGGACTCGACCGCACACTCGAGGTGACTAATACTAACACAGAACCAATCTCGGAGTCAAGGGCCAGCAGAGCCCGTCTCGGCACTAAACTAGGGTAATAGACATAGAAGAGCCTGGCCCAGACTGGATCGACCTACAGACTACCAAGGAGACAGCCCAGGCCACTCTCAATTAACAAAGATACAAGACAGTAGGCATTCACCCCTGGGCAAGTGCTCCGGCCAAACTGATTGCGGGAGACGACCTCACTCTCTATTATTGGTACCTTAGGTCCAATAGAACGGCCGGGCACGATACTGGGCACTACCGAAAGATGAAGAACGGCTGAAATATAAAAAAATGGCTTAATAGCAGCACCCCCAACCTTTTATTAGGGAGGCCGACCGTCAGGAACCCGTAAGACGCAGCTATCGGGAGATTTGGGCTGGGGATTAAGATATTACTTCAGAGCTCTAGAATAAACGCGTGTTAGATAACATATCGAGGGCAGACTTCGATTCGTTAGGCCTAAAACTTCCCGCAGCGATTTGGGCCCCGTTTCTCTGGTCGCGGAAGTTGTCCAAACTTCACACATGCTTTGGATGTACCCTAGTCTAAAGCCTACGTTTCTTCGCTATCGCTATCGTTCGTCATCACTTCAAGGGGACTATACAACCCAATAGTCATAAGCTTCTATGAATTAAGAGCCCGTAGAGTTCCCGATAGGGTTGTCACCGGGTCAGACGGCATAAGAAGTTCGACACTTGCAGCCAACGTCGTTCTTACCGTTACTGGAGTCTCCTCCGCCCTGACAGGGGGAGGGGCAAGTCCGCAAACGACTTCGTGCACGGCAGCGTGCCTGGAGTGTCGCTATGCTTGAAACCACCGGAAGCGTAATCTGCAGCACGGCGACGCCGTTTGGCCCATCAAGTCGCGCATAAGGAAAATATGTCTGATATGTCAAGATAGCAACTCCCCGTGCGAAGATTTGTCTCCACCGTCCCACCTATGTCAGAGAATCAATTATATGCATGTAACTTACTCACGTGGCAATAACAGGTTCATATGCTGCATGTCCTTTTAAATGCGCCGATGAGATAGCGGGTTGGCGTCATACGACTGCAACCCGCATCCCGTGGTGCCACGGCTCTGAAATAGAGGATCATTAATTAATACGCCGCTTCTATAGGGTTCAGTTCAATATACCTTGCCCAGAGCTCTACGCATGTACATGAAAACCGAATACTGTGACGTAATCGTCGTCGACAGTTCGCCGAAAATCGGCAGGTCATTTCATTAGTTTCAAGGATTTGGGGGCGTCGACCAACATTGTACGAAAAGGCACCGTGTTACCCAGAGCCTGGCCCATCGTCCGTCCCAGTTGCCATCCAAGTCATGCATGCAACAGACCAAGAGATGTCACAAGAACGATTCAAAGTCATCATTGTCGGAGGCTCCGTCACAGGCCTCACGCTGGCTCACAGCCTGCATAAAATCGGAGTGGATTACACAATCCTAGAGAAACGATCGACTATTGCACCGCAAGAAGGAGCGTCGATTGGGATCCTACCAAACGGAGCTCGCGTGTTGGACCAACTTGGACTATATGGGGCCATCGAGCGGGCCACTGCACCTCTCGGGGCTACCAATATTCGTTTCCAAGATGGCTTCCACTTTAGCAGTCCTTATCCGAAGAAGATACTTGAAAAGTGCCTACGTCCCCCTCCACTCCTGCAGTTTATCGGTCCGTCACTAATCCAGCCTATCACAGCTTTGGATACCCTATTGCCTTCTTGGAAAGACGGAAACTGCTAGAGATTTTGTACGATGCCTTGCCCGATAAGGCCGAAGCCAGGGTCAACAAGACAGTCTCCAGCATTGATCAACAGACAGGGGACGGGAAAAGCGGCGTCCGAGTCAGGACCCTAGACGGAGATGTGTACGAGGGTGACATGGTTGTTGGGGCAGACGGAGTGCATAGTAGAACCCGGAGTGAAATGTGGCGCTTGTCCAGCTCGTCAGGACTAGCTGAGATCTCGGCGAGCGAAAGGAGCAGTAAGTCCCTTGCTGCGCTGCAAATTGTCTGGCTGATGATGTATTCCAGGCATGTCGGTCGAGTACTCCTGCTGTTTCGGCATTTCTACGGGGATGCCTGAGCTCAAGCCCGGAGAGCAAGTCATGCGCATCTACTATGGTCGAACTTTGGTGGTGATCCCGTCCAAAGATGGGCTAGTCTTCTGGTTCTTGATACAAAAGCTTGACCAGAAATACAAGTATGGCGATGCCCCTCGCTTTACCTCCGAGCAGGCTGCCGCACAATGCTTGCAACTGGCGGATGCCCCAATTGCAAAAGACGTCCGATTCGGGCATGTGTGGCGGAATCAACAGATCTTCAACATGGTCGCTTTGGAAGAGAAGGTCTTTCAGACTTGGTCTTTCGGCCGTTTGGTATGCATCGGCGACAGCATGCACAAGGTATAGTATCTTTTGCCCGACCCCAAGCTCATTCATGGATGCTGACCGGTGGCCGATTACCAGATGACAGTCAACCTCGGACAAGGCGCCAACTGCGCCATTGAAGACGTTGCCGTCCTTTCCAACCTGCTACGCGACTGCCTGGGGAAGAAAAACGCCACGAAGCCAACATATAAGGAGCTTGATGCCCTGCTGCGCCGCTTCAACCACATGCACTTATCGAGAGTGGCTCATATCTGTAGCATGTCATGGATTGTTACACGAGTCCATGCGCAAGATGGACTCATTCCAAATATTGTGGGGAGGTATCTAATGCCATATTTCGCAGGTCACTTCGAAAGCCGGCCTTTCAACATGATTGCGGATGCCGCAGCTTTGGATTTTATACCCTTGCCGCGATCTTCGTTTCCGGGTTGGAAGAAGTATAGGACCAAGCGGACTGGGGTTGGACCCTGGATTGTGGCAACGCACCTGTTGTTGCTGTTGATCATGGTGAAAATATTTTTTGCTTACAGGTAGTGACTTGAGGAAAAGATCCCTTGACTTGATGCCAAGTTTCGCAACAATTCTCCTCGCTTATATTGAGATGGCCCATAGTCTTCCAGATACACTGCCGTGCCGTATTCGTCTGAGCTAGTGGGCCGGCCCTGCTCTCCAGTGATGACCTCTTTTCCTCTTCCCAACATCTAGATTGTCCTATTTACTTCGTATATGCCCAAGACGCCATATCTGCCGCCCTTCCACACCAGTCACAGAAACCCTGATTGTCTGCCTTCGACAGAAAAAGTATAGTTGTCGATGGTTTACGTCGTCTTCTTTGAACTTTTGGCCGCAGCCTCTTCCCGCTCGAATCGACGAACGTACCAGAGGCAGATGCCATACGACCCGTCTAGCAAGAGGAACGTGCAGACGAACCAAATGTAAAAGGGAGAAGCCATGAACTCGTGATCTCTCCTCCAGTATCTGTACCGGACAACATCCTGGGGCACAATAACTAGGGACCCAAAGAATCGGGAGAACCTTGCAAGCAAGTTGGCCCATAAGACTTCTATTTCGTTCCAACACGGTAGACGGGGGTTGCTTTGGACGTACCATAGGAAGTATGATGCTCCACGCGAGTGCCCTCGACTGATCAGTTGGCTTAACCCTCCAACAGTCAAGAGGAGCTGGCAGCCGTAAGCGCTCCAAGCCTGGGCCAGAGCGGGCCCGATCTGTGCGGCCAGCGCCAGATGCGCTGACATCCAGCCCGCAACACAGACAATGAAGATTATGGGGATATTCCTTTGTACCAGTGGCGCGTGGGCCCATTCTCTCGGTGCATTTTTGATGGCGGTGTACATGACGCCGCAATTCAGCACCAGCCCCGTGTAATGAACCCACTTCTCCAGGTCGCTACCGAACGGGTAGATCAAAGCATAAGTCAGTTCCCAAGCGAAATTGCAGCATAGTGGCATCAAGGCCATGCCGTAGGTCTGATCCCGCAGAGATTTGTAAATCATGCCGACATAGTTGGTCGTCCAGCCAACGCCCATCAGTAGTTTGCAGGTGTCGGCAATCCAGGCAACATCATGATACTCGGGGGGCGCCCGGGATAGGTCAGCAACGTTCATGTTTGCGAGACGTGTTGCAGTAAACGTTGGATTTTGGATATACAGTGATTCCGAAGTCGAACAATGAGAAAAGTGCGGATTGCAGATGGGTGCCTTGAGTTGTAGCAACTACTTTGTCCAAATATGAAGGCAGATGTGGAAAAGTTTCACCCGGCTACTTGTTGGCAAGCCTTCTGTCATCTCGGCAAGTTGAGCGAGGGTTCGGGGTTTTTTGAGCGATTGAGTGGGACGAGCTCCGAAGTCACCGCATCGCACTCTGCATTAGGGGTCATACGACGTATTCCACACGGCAAACGTCCCCGAGCAAACACTGGTCTCCACGGAGTTCCGGGCTATGATACGCGCGGAAATCACCACGCAGCAAGCCCTGTTGCTCTATTAACACGGCCCTCTGTGCACGAAATAGAGCCTAACCGGCTTGCCTGGACATGGGACGGTAAAATCGGCAGGCCAGTGGAACTCTGGTAGATTAGGTTTTGCTAGCCCACCACGTTTGTCCATCCATGATCCACGGCGATCACACCCCCATTGACCACATTCCACCCCGGCCCGTTGGACAAGGACACACACAATGCGGCCACCTCCTCGGCATCACAAGGCTGTGGCTTCAGGCACGAGAGGATCTCTGCTACCTTCTGGCGTCCTTCCGGGTGGCACCCAGTCCGGAAAGCATCACTTATGTTAGTCTCGATCATGACGCCCAGTATCAATGCATGACAGCGAATGCCCTTGGGACCGTAGAAAGCAGCAGTGCTCTTGGTCAGCCCGACTAAGCCATGCTTGCTTGCCGTATACGCCGCCCCTAAACCAAGCTATTAGCCTCTGCATGTCTGCGTAATACCGGGCGAGTGGAAGGCTTGCCTGCAAGCCAGCCGGCTTTGGCTGCTGCGGATGCAATGTTAATGATGCACCCATCTGGATTCGGTTTCTGCAACATGCTGCACACGGCCAATTTGCTGAGCAGGAACGGAGCTGTTAGGTTTACCCCCATCACCGTGTCCCACAGTTCGAGATCGAGGTCGCCCACTGGCTCGAAGCGGTCCATGACGGCGGCATTATTGATCAGGATATCCAACGTCCCAAATTTGCCGGCGATCTCCTCGAACAGATGTTTCATGGCGCTCCGGCTTGTAATGTCGGCCGTCACGGCGGTCAGGGAACCGATTTCCGCCATCTCGGCCGAAGTCTGCTTTATTCGTTCATCGTTGATGTCGCAAATGACGACGTTGGCACCGGCGATGAGAAACGCCGCCGCGATTGCTTTCCCAAGCCCGCCAGCTCCTCCCGTGACAAGACAGGTTTTCCCGACTAGGGCAGCCGACTCGCTTCTGGGCACTAACATCGCGCGATTGTGGCTTCAAAGAATAGCGATAAGATTAGAGCAGGGTAGAAAGATAGGTTGTATGTTATACAATCATTCGGTTCCGCGTGCTGATGCCGTTCACGTAAAGGGAGCTGTACAGTGGTGCTTTCGTGTTTCCTACGGTATACTCGCCTACTTGAAAGGGAATACACAGAGTGACATTTTATACGCTGGGCTGTAGTGGTATGCATCTACAGGGTCCCAGGTGGTGGTAGGCAGTAGACATAACAAAGAGTTTTATTACCCGGTTTGTAGAACTGAATCCTCGCTGGGTCCTTGTTTTGCTACTCGACAAACAGTCGAGCGTCGTAGGCTTCGACCGGTTCCGAGATGAGTATCAAGACCCTCACTCATCCAGTACTCGCCGACAATGAGAGCTTATTCACCGATCGAAAACGCTAATTCACCGATAGTAAGCGATGGCGGCCGTTTAATAAACTCGCCGACACATGGCTCTTCTCTGACGTTCCACACATCGTCTAGAAACTTGCCTCGCTTGGGGATGGAGCAAGCAGGTCAAAGAAACCCCACATGTAGTCATACTATATTCTGTCGGTGACAGGGCTGCTCCTTCGACGTGAACGAGCATCCCATCCAGGCTAACTGGTTTGGGAAACTACCTCGTTGAAACTGGGTGTTTCACGCCTCGGATGCTATGGAGATCGCAGGTCATAGGTCAATAAACGATTACACGTATGGCACCACGTCCAGTCTCATAGGGTGGGCCTCTAGTGCAATGTCGCCGGGAAACAAGAGTACCGAGTTCCAATCCTTGTTTCTTGGGTATGCCAAAAGCGCTCGAGGTCACTTCCATCTAAGGGCGATTCATAAACCCAGTTCCCGCAGCTTAAACTAAACGCTGGTGGAGGGGGACGGTCCTGGGCAATGCGGGACATCAGACAGTGATCATACACAAAATATCACTATCAGAACCGCGTTTTGCTTCTGAGATACAAGAGAGGCCGTCTGATATCTGACCTTTGCTAAAAAGCCAACCTGGTTTATCTGCAGCTTGGAGTGGCAGCATCCAGCAACACGGGAATCTAACCATGGCAGCCACAGCAAATAGGCAGCTATTTCGTCATCTCCTCAGGCTATCTCGATTCAACAAGTACAATCCTATCTTTACGACTTTCGCCGGAGGTAAGATCTGATCCCTGCACTGAGTTGAACCCGGACCTGACAGAGCCAAATCAAGCGTGGTCCGTGTTGTTGGCAGGCGCGGCCGAACTCGCTGATCAACGCTCGGCAACTTCGCCTGCCTTCGTCTTTCGACAGACTACTTTATGCTTCCTTGCCGCGTACCTGTTTTGCGGTGCTGGCATGGTTTGGAACGACTGGATTGATCGAGATATTGACGCCAATGTTTCTCGCACCAAGGACCGTCCCCTGGCATCGGGTAAGGTCACCACGACTGAGGCCATGATATGGATGGTATTACAAGCGGCCCTGTCTTGGGGTGTGCTTGAAGTACTTCTCGGTGGCAAGGACGTGTAAGTTCTGTTCCTCTATTTCCTTTGGCGCCACCCTCTAATCATTGGCCGGTCTGACTGTGGCGCGAACAGATGGAAACATTTCGTGCCCGTTATGGTTGCATCAATTCTTTATCCATTTGGTAAACGACCGGTCGCCCGGACGCTGCGTATCTACCCACAGTACATCCTGGCTCTTACGATCGCCTGGCCCGCCATCCCAGGACGGGCCGCCATTTACGGCCAACACGAATCCTTCTCCGAGACAGCCCACCAGTGCCTGCCTCTCTGCATCATGGTATTCTTCTGGACCATTTACCTGAACACGGCATATAGCTATCAGGACGTGGTTGACGATCGAAAGTTGAACGTGAATTCCTTCTACAACATTGCAGGAAGGCATACTCATGTATTGCTCGTGCTGCTCGTCAGTCCGATCCTAGCGTGCTTGCCTCTATACCTTGCTGAATTCCGCTCTATGTGGCTCTGGATAAGTTGGATGGGGGTTTGGACCGCGGCTTTGGTGGTACAGCTGGTTCGATTCGACCCACAGCAGCCTGCAAGCGGAGGGTCCCTGCACAAAAGCAACTTTATCCTCGGCGTCTGGACGATCATCGCGTGCGCGATTGAGGTATTTCTCAACGATAACGTGAGGCGTTTTTCTCCCGTCTTCTAAAATATTTATTTTATACAATAATCGTTCCCAGAATGTGTTTGTAGTGACTTGGTTAAGAAGGTCATCAGCCCAGCCTAGGGAAGTTACTCTAGCAGTATCCCCAAACCTTTTTTTCGGTCACTTCTGGTTATAGGCATTCTTTTAAACAAAGGCTTCACCCTTGGGGGGCGCGACCATCTTTCTCAAGTCCTAGCAGGACAGGAACGAACTCCTAAGATAAATCCAAGAAGCTTCATATCAGTGTTTGTGTAAACCAAGTTTTGCGCGCCATCACTAACCAGGGGCGCCCGTGGCTAATATGAACGAGATCGTAAATTCCACTAATTGCCGGTAAAGGCAATCCCCGGCGCTCTTGCGAGAGGACACTCAAGTTATCAGGATCACTCGCTTAGCGTTTTTCCCACGCTCGCCGTTTTGCCTCGCTTGTCAGTTGTTGGTCGGCCTCTACGTCATGTCCAGTAGGCACCTTGAGTTTAATAGAGACGGCCAGGAGCCACCTCCGCAGAGGTATGAAGCATCGACAGCTTCTGTTCAGTGAGGCGCTCAATTGCCTTTTTCAGACGTAGTCTGGCTGCAGGGTAGATATTGACAGACAAAGCGAGCGGTTTGGCAATGGAAAGCATGTCCCCGCGCTTTTTAAATTATTCCCAGCTTTGGCTACCAATGACTCTGTCGACCGGATAATTTCGTTCACTCAAGTTCAATCACCACGGGAAACTAATTACGGCACAGCTCGGAATTTACACGTCGAGAGTATTAACTTAACCAATGACAGGACTGGGATACGTACAAGATTACGCTTGGTGAAATGTCAGCTATATCTTTCGGTGAAGTACCAAAAATAGTGAAATCGAGCAGCGACGGAGGCGCGGTCCTTGTCTCACACCTTGATTGCTGACACCCACCGCTGCTTACATCGATCGGCGCTTTTACAGCAGCTGATGCGGCGACTTATCTTCCTGCTTCGAGGCGTTGACGCGCTTCCAACGGGGCCGGTCAGATGGAGGCGCCACCGACATAATTTCCGCCGAAACCAGGGACGTCGGCAGCCGGAGTTTGAATCGACTACGTCGAGGGTGGGGGCGAAGCTGTTCCTACTAGGACGATCTCTTACGGCCAGGAAGTGGCTTCAATAGCAAGACCTGCCGTGCCGCACACTGCGAGTTGTAGTGTGCAACAGCAGGAACCAGAGCGTTGCCATATAATTAATATATGTGTCAAGCTGGTAAAATACCGCTACACTATGCAAAATGAGGGCACCCCCAATAGAGGTGTTACTAACGCGTATTATAGGCCCTTTCTTGTCCTGACAATATGGTTTCCCGTTCACAGAGCAGGGGCCGTGAACGGCAGTTGCGTCTCGCGCCCGCGCGGGCCAATTGTAGCTCTGATGGGTCTGCACCTCTGCCCGCATAATGTTCAGCGTCTGCACCGAGTGGGAGAGCTCCGGAAGCCCACCTAAGCCAAGCATGGGGCTGAGTCGAGGCATCCCTTTGAAAGCCCGAAGGTTGCAAGTATGGGCCTACCTCATGCTCTCATACTTCAAACCACCCCGAGTGCTATATGGTAAGTGTGAGCACAAGGTAGCATTGTGTAGAGAGCGCAGATCAAAAGACGTGTACAGAGAGATCAGGCCATAAGCAGCCTGGTAGTACGCTGCTCGGCGTGAGGTCTGTACGAAGTGGCCGAGGTACCCAAAAGATCCATACCTTACTAAAGCCTTTGGGCCCCTGAAAAATAATGTCTGGGTAACGGGCACTCACGTTACTTCGGGGGATTCTAGGTTTCCTAGGCGCTTTCCCATCGTTCCCGTACAAGCGCACGCTGCTGTGTAGCAGGAATCCTGGTTCTAATATAGGACTTGAAGCAATGCCAGATATTTAGACACACCAGAGTAACAAAAAATTGTTCGTCGCCGATAATTTGTTAGACTCAACTCTATTAGGCGAGGTTCTCACCATGTCCCAACCAGGGTGGTTTTCCATACCCAAGTATGGAAATACCCTTTCCATACTATGGCATGGACAGGGTATGGATATGGATCCATAGTATTTCAATACTCAGTCGATAATTGGCCAAATTGCGCCACTGACCGGGACCCCTACAGCGCCATCGTCCAGGGGTCTGAGGGCCTTGAACACCGCTAATTCCCACACAAACACAAATCGCTTTCCCCACCATTTTGCACCAACGCGTCGGACGAGTCAGTTGTCGAACTATGGATACTGCAAGTACGTTATCCTTCTTCGATGCTGAATCTATTTTGTCGGACTCTACGACATCAAGATCTCGCAATACAAGAGGCAAAGCGGCTATCGCAACGTGGAAGCATGCTCGCGTTGCAGCAGAGGGGGAGGAAGAGTTTAAGGGCCGAAATCGCCTTCTCTATTGCAGTCATTGTCCCCAGACAAACCCGTACAGAACTTCAGTTACCACTAACTTTCGAAAACATCTGGAGGGAAAGCACGATATTCGAGTCGTGGAAGATTTGACTCCTCTTCAATCGTCCATCTTTGAGGGGTTTGAGCAACTCTACCAGCAAGCACGGGACTTGGGCCGCACAACGGAGATTGAGTCGGAGGTCTTCAAACGCTACCTGGACCAAGACAAGATAAACAAAGCCTTAGCTTTGCTGATCGTCGCACGAAACCTTCCTTATCGAATTGTCGAATCCCGCGAATTTCACCTCTTCATTTCGACCTTGAACCCGGTCGCGAAGGACTATCTCCCTTCCGCCCACTCGACTATTCCACGAATTATCGACAATCATTTCCAGTCGGCCAAGGATATCGTGCGAATGAAGCTCCAGTCAGCAAAATCCAAGGTTCACCTCTCGCTTGACATTTGGACGTCCCCCAATCGGCTCCTTCTTCTCGGAGTTTGCTCCCACTTTGTTGACCACGCACAAGAAGCACGACGGAAAGCTCTCCTTGCACTTCGGCCTGTGGCGAACCATTCCGGGGAGGAGCAATTCGTTACACTTCTTCCCATCTTGCGGGACTTTGGTATTCTGCGACGCCTTGAAGCATCGTTGGGGATAATTCGAGCACGAATGACACCTCTGCCGGGCAGTGAGCACGTATCTCAAGGAAGAGGGCGTCAAATGGGATCCTGAAGTTCACCGCCTCCGATGCCTAGGCCACGTTATCAACTTGGCAGTTCAAGCTTTCCTGTTCCAGAATTCTATTGACTTGAAAGAGGGCGAAATATGCGAAGACGCAGATGACCTGGCAAAGTTCAAAGGCAGCGCACCGAATTTCGCCGCCTTGGACCACTTGGTAAGCTCCACAACCTGGTTGTCAACATCCGGAGTTCATCAGGACGCAGTGGAGAGTTTATGGAACTCGCTGAGAGGGGCATTCCACTTGACAATCGTACGAGGTGGAATAGCTGGTATCAAATGCTGCATGTTGCCACTCAGCAGGAAACTGCCAGCGCTCTGGACACCTACACCAAGAATCATTTCGAAGATCTTTCTGCAGATTTTCTATTGCCGGAAGATTGGGCCCGGCTCCGAATAATTGAGAAGATCCTTCAACCGTTCGCCCGAGCGACATTAGCAACACAAGGGGATCATGCGACCCTGGACAAAGTGCTCTTCACGATGGACGTCTTGATCCGATGCTTTGATGAAGCCCTGGTACCATGCCTTCCATTCCTCTGATCTCCTTGTGCAAGCGCTGAGATGGTGCAATAGGTCTCGTACAAATCAGACACCGAGCTGTCCTTTAGGATCAAACGAGGGTGGGAAGTCTTTGACAAATATTATAGCAAGACAGAAGCATCGCCCTATTATGCAGCTGCCTTGATCCTTCATCCCAGCTATCGCACAACATACATCCAGGCAAATTGAAGAAGAAGTGGCAAAACCTGCGTTCAAACAGGTCAAAGACCTTTGGCTCACATACCGAGACACTGTGGATGGCGCCTCTCGCAACATTTACTAGATGACGATGATGACGAGGACCTTGACGCGTTTGATCGCATTTCAAGGAACCTGCAGAATTGCACTCGACCGTCAAGCCAGGACGAGTACGAAGATTACATTTCATGTGATCCGTACGACATTACGCCGACGACGGCCTTGTCATGGTGGCTTCAAGAGCAACAGAGAAAACGATGGCACAAGCTATCACAAATGGCCATAGACATCCTATCAATGCCGGCGATGAGTGATGAACCTGAGCGGGTGTTCTCAGGGGCGCGTCGCACAATCTCATGGAAAGAGCCCAATTGGACGCGAAACAAGTCGAAAAGGGAGAATGCTTAAAGCATTGGCTCAAGAACGATATCTTGCAAGGGGCCGAGGGTGGTGGCGGGTCCCCAGATTTTGGGTAAAATCCTGGCTCAACTTCTACGCCTGTTTCCTGCAAAGGAGCAAATTTCTGCTTGGCATCCCCTTAACCGGTCGTCTGTCATTACGTTCACGTTAACTGTTCCTTGATTTTTCATTGATTCATGTCGTGTTTGGCACGTTTTGCCGAGACCATATAGGTGAGCTGTTGCGGGATGCGCACGGACCAAGAATGGAAAGGTGTATTGCAATACTTGCAATAAATGTGGGGCGATACTCCAGTATGGATTGCACACCTTTCCATATATGGAAAACCACCCTGGTCCCAACCAACATCCCCCGTCTACTCGCAGAAGCTATCAACCACGGAGAAAGCCTGTTGGACAAGCCAAGGACCACTCGTGGACTCGGTGTCATGTACTGAGCACGAAGAAGTATGTCGGCCTTCGTATTCAACCCCATATTTTGGCGAGACTGAAACATTCCGTCGGTTCTAATAAGGGACATGCTCGCAGATAATCCGCGCTCCACTCAACTATCTTCTTGATCTGCCTGGCAAAGATGTTAGGGGCAAGATGATGTCAGCTTTCAACCAGTGGCTTCAGATTCCCGACGATAAGCTGGATGTCATCAAGCGCATCGTCACACTGCTTCATAATGCATCCCTCTTGTGTGTAGGCATCGGAAGGCATCTATCTGCAATTGCTGACTGCCGTCTCTAGAATTGACGACATTCAAGATTCCTCTAAGCTCCGTCGCGGGCTGCCAGTCTCTCACAGCATCTTCGGAATCGCTCAAACAATCAACGCTGCCAACTATGCATTCTTTCTGGTTCAACAGGAGCTTCCCAAGTTGGGAGACCCGCGAGCGTACGAAGTATTCACCGAGGAGCTACTGAACCTACATCGCGGACAAGGTATGGACATTTATTGGAGAGATGCCTCCATTTGTCCCACCGAACAAGAGTACTTCACAATGGTCTCCAATAAGACGGGGGGGCTGTTTAGGCTGGCAGTGAGGCTGATGCAATTGGCGAGTAAATCCAACCGGTGAGTACTTTCAGAACGGCGACAACGGGAGGGAAAGCGCTGACGTCTCTGCATTCTTGCCAGGGACTATGTTCCCCTAGTCAACGTGCTGGGGGTCATTTTCCAGATCCGGGATGACTACTTTAACCTCCAGAGCGACGCGTACATTAAGAATAAGGGATTTGGCGAAGACCTTACTGAGGGGAAATTCTCGTTCCCCATTATCCACAGCATCCGCTCGAATCCTGCAAACATCCAGCTCTCCAGCATCTTGAAGCAGCGAACAACGGACCCCGATGTTAAGCTGTTTGCAGTTGAGTACATTGAGTCGACTGGCTCGTTTGATCATTGCCGGCGAAAGCTTGCGGAACTGACTGCCGAGGCCAGAGCACTGGTGGAAAGCATGGGCGACAGTTCCGATGAACATGTCAAGGTCATTGACCACATCTTGGGAATGCTTGGACTTGAGGGATGTGGGCTACCGCAACAGAGAACTGGTGCATCGCAAGGCAGCTAATCTGACAGTGCATTTAAACATGTATTTGCAGAACCTGGGGACAGTCTATGGGCAGAAGATTTCGTGCTTGTACTTAATTATGAACTCAACTACACGAAGGGTTCATCTCTTTCACAGGCAAATAATAGCATTGCTGCCCTCTAGCCATCTTAGGAGAGATTTCACGAGGGCGTGTTCCTCAACCTTCGGAAGACGCTGCACGTGATACCATACAGTCTTGAGCATGCTAACCATCGGCCTATCGGCGTGAGATCTTAGAATCTGACGTCTGGTCGGCCTGGTATGTCCATTTAAGACGAAGTGTTATGTTCTACAACAGAAAGACAGCTCGGAGAAAACAGCAAATTCCAGTTCGCTATATGCATACCCTTTGAAAGGCCCCTGGCCCCCTGCTAGGACTTCCCTCCAACGCTTTGCGCTCGCTCAAGTGCCACCCTTCGCCGCCGCGGTGGCGCTCAGTCGTATCACGTAGCTATCGTTTGTCACAAGGAGAGGGCGTTAACCCGCAAAGTCTGAAGCAAGTGGGACAAACAGCAGCACTCAGGCGCTGTATCGTGTTATACAAACAGAGCGATACTGACCGGTAAGGTCAGCGGGTCTGTGGAGCGCGTCGCCATCATTCCTTCGCCTCAGAGCAAACCTTGGATGACATTAACAACACCGGCACGCAGGGTGGATCATTTGCCAAGAAGGATACTTCCAAAGATCTAGTCTCTGGGAAACGCGCCGAACCCATAAATAGTTACCAGCAATCGGGACACGGCGTTGTACCAAGAGATGTCGCGCCACCCTGGGCCCGGCTACAACCGTAGCGAGTAACCCAATCGGCCCATTTGCGATGGTAAAGGACAAATCCCCTCTATGCTTTCCCGAACATTTCCCCTGTCTGCCAAGGTGCCATGTAACCTGACAACATCGCCGTGGAGCACAAACGGAAATTGTTGTAGTGGCTGATGTCGGCAACTTTGAGTCTGCTCCGCACAGCCTTGAATCCCCTGTCGTGTCGAGATGAGAGGCCGCGGCTCTCATGCTCGTATGACTGCACGGTGTAAATCAAGTAATGCTCAAAGTGCCGTAAGCTTTGCACGATGCCTGGCTCTTTCTCACCTCCCCAAAGGCTGGGTATATAGACAGCTAAAGGCGATTGCGGGTTCTGGTAGCATCAAGCTTCAACTTGTACACATAGACGGACGGCATTGCCTTCAAGCTTCTCTCCGAATACTCGCAACATGTTGGCCGAGATCATGCCCGCAGAGTTGCCGTCCTTGCTTATCTGCGGCTCGATAATACCAAATCCTGACGATGCCTACCTGTCTCGCCTACGCTCAAGTCTCATCCACAACCCGCACCTGGCAGACTTAAGGGATGGAGTCGCAGAACTCCCCCATCTCTGGTCGTTGCTTGTCGCGAAAGAACCTTCTCTTCAGCATGTCGATGCAGCGCCGTTGCTTCAAAACTTAGCTGAATGGCTCACATGTGGCAACTCTTGCGCTATGTCCACGGCTGGGCGAACATCGAGGAGCACGCTCCTAGCAGTGTTGACCGTCCTCGCACATATCACGGAATATACGACCTATTTGAACAATCACGACGGGGACGAGAACGACGAGCATGCACGCCGGGATGCACACAGCAGCAACTTGGGAAACGTCCGCGATGGAGGCATTCAAGGACTCTGTGTCGGACTCCTCTCCGCTATTGCGCTCGCGTGCTCAAAAAATAGGACAGAGGTGGCCAAGCATGGTGCTATTGCTGTGAGGCTAGCCTTGTGCGTCGGAGCTTTTGTAGATCTCGACGAGATGGAGTCGCCAGAATCGACCATCTCCCTCAGTGCGCGCTGGCCGCGAGGTGAGGGAGATGAGTCGTTCAAAGCCGTGCTTGACAGCTACCCCCAGGTAAGAGCGCTCGAAAGCATGCGGAGACAATCGAGCATCCCAGATGCTACACCTGGCTAACTTGCGACCAGGCCTACATGGGCGTCCGGATGGACATCTGTAGCGCAACCATCACAGCCCCCAAAGGGGCAGCGACGCCTTTGATGAGACATCTCGAAGAGAAGGGTGCTGTGGCCAAGAAAATAGGCCTGCAAGGCCGCTTTCATCACCAGGGACACCACGCTGCGTTCCGGAAGTTGGTCGATCTCTGTGCCACCCTGCCCATGCTCCAGTTTCCTCAGCAAAATCGGCCCCTGGTGCCCTTGAGGCGGAATGACGATGGACGTGTGGTGACGGACGAGGTGCCGCTCCACGAGATGGCTCTGCAGTGCATCCTAGTCGAGCAGGCTGACTGGTATACCACAATGACGAAGTCGGTGGCAGCCATGGCCCAGGGAGCTACGGCTTCACGTGTTGAGATCAAAGCAAGAGTGCTGGTCTTGGGCCCGGTTGACTGCATTCCCCGATCTGCCCTGGCCCTTTGCCCTCTACAAGTCGTTCGCCCCTTGCCAATCGAAGGTTCAAACCACGGATATCCTGATGACTCCATTGCCATAATCGGGGCATCGTGTCGGTTCCCTGGCTCGGAGACCCTGCAAGAGTTCTGGGACACGATCAGAGACAGGAAGACGGGTAGTTCTCTGGCGGCCGCGGGCTCCTTTGACTTTACCTTCTTCCGCAAATCCCCTCGCGAAGCCGAGTACATGGATCCGCAGCACCGGCTCGCTCTTCATCTCGCCTACGAGGCACTGGAATCAGGGGGGCATTTTAACCCGTCGTCGTCGGCGACGGACAACGTAGGTTGCTATCTCGGTATGTCGTCGTGTGACTACGAGGACAACGTCAATGCCCAAGCCGCAACCGCGTTCTCCTTCACCGGCACAGCGCGTGCCTTTGCGAGCGGCCGGATCAGCCACTTCTTCGGCCTCACCGGCCCGTCTATGCTGGTAGATACGGCATGTTCGTCTTCTGCAGTGGCAATCCACACAGCATGCAAAGCCATCCAGTCGGGAGAGTGCTCTATGGCACTGGCTGGAGGCGTCAATCTGACGACCGCGCAGTCTCGGTCGCATCAAAACCTGGCCGCGGCATCGTTCTTAAGCCCAACAGGCCAGTGCCGGCCCTTTGACGCGGGCGCAAACGGATACTGTCGCGGCGAAGGCGGAGGCTTTGTTCTACTCAAGAAGCTCTCGTCGGCAGTGGCAGACAACGACTGCATCCTCGGTGTCCTGGCGGCGTCGGCCATCAACAACAACAAAGGAAGTCGCTCCATCACGCTGCCGTCGTCGGAATCACAAAGCCATCTATACCGGTGCGTGCTCCAGAAGGCCGGGATGGGCCCGCTCCATGTGTCGTACGTCGAGGCACACGGCACCGGCACCAAAAAGGGCGATCCCGTCGAGTCCCAGAGCATTCGACAAGTTTTTGGAGGCCGAATTCGATTGGGATCGCCGCCTCTCCGCTTCGGCTCTGTAAAGGGGAACGTGGGTCATGGCGAGGCAGCGTCGGGTCTGGCGGCTGTCGTCAAGGTTCTCTTAATGCTACAGCATCGCCTGATTCCGCCCCAGGCCAATTTCTCGGTTCTAAACCCGGCCATACCTTCGCTGGATGAGGCCAACATGGAAATCCCCACACGTCTTGGGCCTTGGAAAGAGTCCTTTCGAGCGGCATTGGTCAACAACTACGGTGCTTCGGGGACCAACGCAGCCATGATTGTTTGTCAGGCTCCGCCAGCACCATCCGAGCGGACATTGTTGACGGAAAAGCCTCCCCAGTACCCAATCCTCATTTCTGCTCACTCCGCCGCCAGCCTGCGCCTATACTGCCGCACACTCTTACACTTCATCGAGACTCGGCATGGTGCCCTCGGCGATGCCTTGCCCCCGAGTGTTGCCTTCTGCCTAGCCCAACGCCAGAACCACACTCTCTGTTACCGCACCGTGTTCTCGGCCAGCTCGATTAGCGAACTGAAGAGCCAGCTCTCGTTGCAGGCTCAAGACGACCAATTCAAGTCACAGAGGCCACAAGGCACTCCAAAACCCGTCGTGCTCGTTTTCGCGGGCCAGACGGGCCGGCAGGTTCGTCTTAGCCATGTTGCCTACCTCAACTCCATCTTGCTGCAGCGTCACCTGGATCGATGCGACCGCACCTTGCAGACATTGAGTCTTCAAAGTCTGTTTCCTCGCATATTTGACTCGGAGCCTATCGACGACCTAGCTGACCTGCACTGCATGATGTTCTCACTGCAATACGCAGTCGCCCATTCGTGGATCGACGCGGGTCTGGAGATCAAGGCCGTGGTCGGCCACAGCCTCGGTCAGCTGACGGCTCTCTGTGTGAGCGGTGTGCTCAGCCTGCGTGACGCCTTGAAGATGATTTCTGGCCGAGCGTCACTGATTCAGGGCAAATGGGGCCCGGAACGAGGCTCTATGCTCAGCGTGGATGCGGATGCTGCAATCCTGCAGGCCGTTGCGCAGTCGCTGCCCCGGAGTGATAGAGTTGAGGTTGCGTGCTACAATTCCTCGACGCACCATGTTGTGGCGGGGACGAGAGCGGCCGTCACCGCTTTCGAGGACGCCGCTCGCTCCAGAGACGTTCCTGTCAAACGGCTGGCTGTCACCCATGGGTTTCACTCGGAGATGGTTGACTGCATCATGCAAGAGTACCACCAGCTTATCAAAGGGCTCGTCCTGCATCGTCCCGGCATCCCCATCGAGCCCTGCTCGAAATCATTGGGGAGCTGGGACAGCATTACCCCCGAGCTGATTGCTCGACAATCCCGCGAGCCCGTCTACTTCGCTGATGCCATAACCAGAATAGAGCAACGTCTGGGGCCCTGCGTATGGCTCGAGGCAGGGTCTGGGTCTACCGGCGTTACCATGGCCCGCCGCGCGCTCACCGGCCGCCCTGCCCCCGAACGCTCAGCCCATTCCTTTCACTCGGCCCGGCTTGACGACCCGGAGCCGGTGACTTCTCTCGCCGATGCGACGCTTGGTCTATGGCGCGAGGGGGTCCGGGTGCAATTCTGGCTGTACCATGCCTCCCAGAGATGCTGTTTCGTGCCGTTGGAGCTGCCTCCGTATCAATTTGAAAAGTCTCGACAGTGGCTATCTATCGTTGACAAAGTCAAGAATTCAGCGCTCGAAGGCGCGAACCAGCAGCAGTCAGCGCAGGAGGCTCCAAAGTTGGTCTCTCTGGATGGAAATATGCAAGATCTCGATGCAGAGGTTATCGAGTTTTCCATCAACCAACAAAGCGAGGAATACACCACCTTTGTGCGAGGGAGAACCGTCTTCGGGCGTATCCTGGCTCCCGCTTCGGTTTACATAGAATCGGCTGCTCGCGCTTTCAGCCTGCTTCCGATGCACGCGCCATCTGGCAGTGCTTCTTCTCTATCCGTGGAGGTGGGCGACGTGAAACTGCATGCACCATTCGGCCTAGACCTTCAGAAACGACTCCGCTTGACTTTGCGGAAACGAACAAGCTCGAGATGGTACTTTGTCGTGGAAAGCTACTCGCATAATGAAGACGAAGGCCAAAATTTCAAACTCCAGGCATCAGGAACCATTGGATGGCAGGAACAAAGTCGAACATGTCTTGGGCCTCGCCGGCCATTTCTTCGTGGCCTTTATCATCGGTGTGAGCAACTACGTGAGGATCGCAGCGCCTCGGTTGTGCAGGGCGCGTTTGTCAAGAAGGTCGTGGGCCGGGTGGCAAGCTACGCCGACAGCTACTTTGGAATTCGGTCCATCACATCAAAGGGTCTCGAGGCCGTGGGCGATGTCGCCGCGCCTGCCGTCGCATCACAATGTGGTGCAGGGGCATTGCTCAGCCCGCCTGTCTTTGATAACTTCTTGCTTATGGCAGAACTCCATGCAAGCAGTCTGGGGGACTGTGTGGACGGTCGCACATATATCTGCAGCGGATTTGACGCCATTGTTCCCCAAGCTTGCCCTGGAGACCCGGCTTTATATCCCGAAGACCATTGGACAGTCCTTTCCTGCCTGGATCGCGAAGATGCCAAGACTGTTGTGAGCGACATCTTTGTGTTTATGGCAGGCCACAAGACACTCTCCCTAGCAATTTTGGGAGCCAGATTCGTACAAGTTCCCCTCAGATCCCTACAGAGGGCGCTCGAAGGATTGAATGGAGTCGGCCAAGCCAAAGAAAGCCTGTTTTTGAAGACTTTGGACGAGAAGGCGCCGAAAGGCACATGGAGTGCCTCAACGGTCATGACGTCTGCCATCGATGGTGCTTTTGGCTCCCAGAATACTGAAAACACCCCCCAGAAACAGATAGGTGACTTGCATGCTGATCTCCTCAGCGGGAATGTGCGTCGGAGCGGTTCTCTTTCCAGCATATCTCAGCTCACCCCGAGCGATGATGACAAGGACATGGACTCTTCCAGCGCTTCCTCCAAGCGAAGTCTGCTGCCAATTGGCTCGAATACGTCCAACGAGAAGCAAGCCACTGCTCTCTTCAGCCTTCTCAAGGATCATCTGGACTGTTCCCAAGGAATCTCACCATCTACCCCCTTGGGGGCGGTCGGCCTGGACTCGTTGGTTGCCATACAGCTTCAGTCAGACATTGAAAACATCTATGGCAAGAGAACTAGCCTGACGAATCTTGACGAGAACACGACATTCTCAGACCTCTGTGAGATGGTTCTCTGTCAAAACCTAGCTGGCCAATTGGATTCCAGCCCGTCGTCAGTTATAGCCACAAAGAGCAAGCCAAACTCCAGGGCCCTCAGTGAGCACAACGGCGGCTTCAAACATGTCGTTGTCGCGACAGGAAGCCACGATACCTCCAAAGAGCCAAGAGAATTTATCACTCAGGCAGCTCTGGAGTTCGGTCACCTCAAGCAGGAGACCAGCTTGTTTGCCAAAAAGACTGGATTCGCAGGATTTTTCTCGGGAGTGTATCAAAAGCAGATGTCCCTGGTGATTGCGTATATTTTGGAGGCTTTCAGCACTTTGGGATGTAACCTGGACACCCTGCGAGAAGGAGACTCGTTGCCTCCGATCTCTTGCACGCCAAAGCACGCAAGGCTGGTATCTCGGTTCCATGAGATGTTGGAACACACAGGCCTGATATCTCGCCCCGATTGTCAGCTCCTCTATTCTCGGACGGGAAAACCCATGTTTCAGTCCATACCTGCGGCGGATTTATACCGTGACATTCTGGATGAGTGTCCACGTTACCGACCAGACCATCGGCTGCTTAACGCCACTGGCTCTCGCCTTGCGGACTGCCTGTCCGGTCGCCTGGACCCACTACAGCTACTTTTCCAAGACGAGGCCTCTGTTCAGCTGCTGGAAGACGTGTACATCAGCTCTCCCATGTTTGCGACGGGGAACGAGATATTGGGAGAGTTTGTCAGCCGACTAGTCTCGCATCGTCAGCGCCACGATGGCCACGAAAAGCTACGGATTCTGGAGATTGGGGCGGGCACGGGCGCGACAACTCGGCTCGTCCTAGACAAACTGCTGAAATCAAACGTTAACTTTACTTATACATTCACAGACGTTTCAGTCGCACTCATCGCTGGTGCTAGGAAGAAGCTCGAAGCTAGATACGGCCAGCAGAATATGCAATGCCATATGGAGTTTGCCCCTCTCGACATAGAGCAGTCGCCTCCGCCAGGTATGGAGTATTATTACGACCTCATCATCTCGTCAAACTGCATCCACGCAACCCGGAGCCTGCGGCAATCTTGCGCCAACATCGAAACGCTCCTTCGGAGGGAAGGCGGTATGCTATGTCTTCTTGAGCTGACGCGGCCTCTCGGGTGGCTGGACTGCGTTTTTGGATTGCTTAACGGATGGTGGCGGTTCGACGATGACCGGAGACATGCGCTGGCGGCGGTGTCTCGGTGGGAGGCAAGCCTCCGGGATGCGGGATTCTGTAGTGTAGATTGGACTGACGACGGCACGCAAGAATCGCAGCAATTCCGGTTGATTACAGCATGTCGCTAGAGACAGGCAATAAATCAAAAGAGTTTTACTTGGCAGGGAGGAACTACTCTAAGGCCCGAAGAGCTTACCCACTCTAGTTCCCAACTACCTCGCGCCGCGGAGTTGTGTTCGAGTCTTTTACTCTCTGTACTACTCTCTCTTCAGGGCCAACCCCTATCATAGCTCAACGGGACGGTCTTGCCGTTAAGGCGCAATGTCTATGGCGCCAAACCAAACGGAGGCGCCTTCTGAACGGTGTAAGCATATCTTCCTCATCAAATTCAGAGGCCCGATTAAAAGATAACGCCATCGCCTTACGACAGGCCACTATAGAGCGACGCACGGCGGATAGTGGCATACCCGATTCGTGGATCCCAATGGTCACGGAAAGGAGGGTTCCCTTCGCCCAGCAGGTCGCCCCCGAAGAAGTTCGCGACGTCATGCTGCGCACTGAGAACACCTCCCCTGGCTCCGACAGCATCACAGTAGAGATTTTCCGTTCTGCCTGGCATGCTATTGGAAGTCTCATTCATCAGCTCTATCAAGGCTGCCTCGCCATCGACCACCACACGAAGCCTTTAAGAGAGACATATAATAAACCACCAGCATTCGGTCTCTACAGTATCGTTGCCAGGCATAGCTATAATTGAAGAGTTCGGTCCTTCAGCGAGCAAAGACAGCAACGACAGCGATAATAGTAGTAGGGAGGGCGCTTTCATCGACCGGTCAGAGCTCCACAGACGATAAAGGCTCTCCCGAGGAAGAGGAAAGTCTAGAACAGGAGCCTTTAAGTAATTTTTAGAAAGTTTCCTTGGATTTGGCTTGGCGTTAGGAATTTAACCACTCGTCCACAGACAGCCAAGTCGACCGTACTTATTTGCTTAAGCGGTATCCCTAGCCTCAAACCGCTTTTATAGACTTTCGCCACTGCCAGGTCATACACTATAAACCTCTCCGGCTTAATATACAACCTAAGGCTTCTATTTCTCAATATGCCCTATCACTTCGGACGTACCCTCTGCTCTACCTTATACGTAGACCGCATACCAAGCAGCCGGAGCGGCCGAAACCTATATGAATGCTATATATGGTTATAGGCTCACGATCGCTATTCGAAGAACAAATTAGTCTCTATACCTTAAGCTACGTCCTGACTCGGCCAGACACACCGCATTTCCTTCTACGATAGAGTGATAACAGACATACTATTTCGCACCGGGGCGATATTAAGGTCTTAATAGGCAAATCTTAACCCTTTTTTTTATATATATTATTACTCGTATATAGCCTCTAAGGATATAGCGAGGCTAATAAGGGCCTAGGCCCTTATTAGTAGCCCTAGCTAGCTATAGAGCCTAGGGGCTTAGAATTAATTAAGGAAGGGTAGCTATAAAGGTAATAATAAAGGAAAGGTTAGTTTAGTTCCTCCTACGTAGTAATTTTCCCTCTTAAGGGCTCTAGGGCTCTTAGGTTACTCCTTTTTAAGCTACTTAGCTATCCCTATCTTTATTTTAGCTAAGAAGGTTAAAAGGGCTTCCCTTCCTTCCTTAGAGCTATAAAGAATAAGTAGGCTAAGGGCCCTCTTCTATCTCTTAAAGGTCTAGTAAAGGACCTTTCTTTCCCTCTTATAGTTTAGGCACCTTATCCTAAGGTGCCTAGCTATATACCTTCCTTATTTATAGCGGTAGTTATTTTAGTCTACCTTATTAGTCCTTTTTAAAAAGGAAATAAAAAGCTAGCTATAAAGATATAAGGAATAGTATTCCTACTATAAATAAAGCAGCTATAATATACTCTCCCGATTATATAAGCTAATAAGTAGTATATTAATTATAGGTAAAATCCTATATTATAGAGCAAGAATCGCCCGTTATTTTATATATTATTATATATTAAACGGGTTGCCGGTTATCGTATAATCGGGAATCGAAGAAATAGAGCTAGCTTAGAATACTAGCTAAGACCTCTTAAGAATACTAGTATAACCAACCTCCTTTAAACACGAATATTAGTAGAACTAAGACACTTCTAGCTAAACTAAAGATATTACTAAATTCCTTAGTCTTAGGGCTATACGGCAGCCTAAATTCGGTCTCGAAAAATTCTTCCGTTTAGCTATAATTGTCTATATAAGATAGTATATCCGCTAGTAAATAGAGATTAAATTATTAACTTTAATACCTCTTCTATATACTAAAACACTACTAATAAATTTCATAGAAAATCCTACCTTATACTCCTTCTTCCCCTTTATTATATAGTCTTATATAATTCCGTAATTTTATAAAATTCCGCTATTACTTATATACTTAAAGAAAAGAGAAGCTAGTAAAAAGCTAAGAGGGTCGGCCTAAGCTTCTTTATAAAGTCCTTTTTTAGGCTAAGGGCTAGGCGGGGGGTCTTTTAAATAAATATATAGTACTTACTTAGGCCCTTAGCCTTAAGGCCTTTAGCTGCCTTAGTAGTATAAAGTCCCTTTTAATAGTCCTTAGTAGCTTACTAAACCTTTCTTTATTAATAGCTAATAAAGACTAAGAGGGTTCCTTAGGTAAGGGCCCTTAAGCTTCTTTTAGCTAGTTAGTTAGCTAGCTTCTTACTAAAGATCCTTAGGTAGCTAAGGTATTAATATAGCTATATATTATAAAAGGCTTCTAAGCTAAATAAAAGCCTTTTAATATATATAGCTAAGTCTAAGAAACCTATAACCTTTCTTATAATAGCTTAGCTATTTATAAAGATATAGGTATTTATAAATGGGTTAAGGTATAAGAGTCCTTAACTATTTTAGGTTATAGGCTTAGGCTATAGCTTAAGCTATATAGTTATATATAAAGGGCCGGATCCTATATATATATAAATAGGCTAGCTATATATAAAAGAGCTCTATATA